AACCCACTCAAAAAAAATGAGCAAAAGCCTTCTTGGTTCCACTCATCACCACTACTTGCTAGGAAAAAGCTTGCGTGCGCTTCAACAACGAGGTGCTTTCGGACTTTATGGAAAATCAATATTGTCGTCTCATGCTAACAGCATCAGCAGCAGCAAGAGAAGCGTCGACGGGAGAGCAACCTTTAATGTTCGTCATTATCATTCGAGCCAGAGAGTGTTGAGAGAACGAGAGGAAGATTCTTCTTCTCCTACTGTAGTTTTCATTCCGGAAGTGGGCTATGAACTAAAGAATACCTTTTCAGAAGGAAATCCTGTATTGGAAACCGCACAGCAAATGGATAAGGAAAAATTGAAACAATTATTGAAAAGTGCAAAGCCTAATGCCCTAAGAAATGTTTCGAAAATTCCAAAAGAACCTGATGCCATGATGAACCAAACATTATCATCATCAAAGCCCAAACTACCAAATCTTACTCAACCTCTATTTGAAAGTAGCAATATTCAATACATTGTTCCAGGAATTCACTTCAACGCACGAGACTTACAAGTTACAAAGTTAGAGAATGGCTTAACCGTTTCTACTTTTTCGAAACATTCGAATTTGGTTTGCATTTGTGTGGCTTTCCGTGCTGGTCCGAGATATGAAAAGCCTCATGAAGCAGGAATTTCAACAATTATCAATAGATTAACATTTGCCCATTCGCGAAAGTTTACTGAAGACTTTGTAAAAGAATATCTTGAAGACAAAGTTCTTTATGAGTCAACCTCTGAATATGAAAGTCACTCCTTCTTCATTACTTGCCCAAAAGACAAGGTCGACATTGCATTTGAATTTCTCTCAGATACCATGCTACATCCAAAGTTTTATCAAAGTGATGTTGATGCTGCAATTGAATTACTCAAGTTTAATTTGGAAACAGAAATGTCAATTCCTTCAAGTCCAACAGTAATGACAGATTCCATTTTGAAATCATGTTTTGGTGCAACTCCCGAGGGCGGATTAGGAAATCCATCCCTTGCAATCAAAGAAGATGCTACGCCTGAAATTCTTCATGATTTTTATGACCGATTCCATGTTCCAAGTAGATGTACAATTTCAGCCATTGGAATTGACCAAAACAAGATGTTAGAACTGGTTAACAAATATATGGACTTTTCACCTCAGGCTCTACAAAACAATTCCATGCAAGAGCCATATGTTAAACCAATATGGAAACCTGGTGAATTATATATCGAATTTTTGGAGAGACCTCAGTCAGCCTTTTTACAGAACATTCCACCAAGTACATCCTTTGTTGCTTCATTTGAAGGAGTTGGACATAAGGATGTTGACGACCTTTTTACCGTCAATGTCTTGGAAACGATCTTGGGAGGTGGAGATTCCTTCTCTAGTGGTGGACCTGGAAAGGGTATTTATTCTGTAATCAATAGACATTACCTTCCAGCATTCCAGTTCAATAACATGATTGCTCAACACTATGCCTATTCTGATACAGGCATTTTCTCTTTCCATGCTAGTCTGAATCACGAAGAAATGAATCCAGGTCAACTCCCCATTGCAATTCTTACTCTCCTTTCCAAGATGCCAGAATATATTACCGATGAAATCTTGGATCAAGCCAAACAACAGTACAAATCTCAAGTATTGCACAGCTTAGAAAGTAATAACTCATTGGTGTTGAATGCTGTGAACGATCTTATGTGGAACAACAAATATTTTGGCGTAGATTTTCTTGTGAATAAGATTGATTCTGTGACGAAGAAGGATATTTTAGACGTGATCGATCGATTGTTCTACAGAGGAAAGCAGCCTGGACTTGTCGCCATTGGAGATGTATCCCAGTTAATGCAACCACCAGAATTCCGTAAATTCTTTTCTGAAATTTGCCAAGCAAAAAATCCTTCGGTTTTATCTAAATTATTCAGAAGAAATAGAAAGTAAATACATTCATGTGTTATTCTATGAATGATGAAATCATCATACTATAATTATGCCAATCTTTAAATGCTTATTTGGGGCATTCGTATGTTTTTCATTAAAGACTCCTTGTCTGTTGGCCTGAAGGGTCTGTCATAATAATTTCTATAGTACGGAAGAGCCCCAACACTGGTCATCAAAGACGAAATCTCGTCATAACAATATTGTTCCAGGTCAAGATGTTCTATGCATTTTGGATTTTGTTTGCATGCAATTTCAATAGCAAGCAATTTCACTTTTTGATTGGTCATGAGCAAAGAGCGGTCAAATATGCAATACTTTAACAAAAAACCATTTTGTGAAAAAGCCGTTTTACAAGCTTGTTGCAAGAATTCAGTCAACATGTCTTGGTCTTTCATGGGTGACAACCAACGATCCATGAGACAGACCACACGTATTAATTTTGGATTTTTCTGAATTGCATCCATTATTTGTTTCAACCCTTCGTTTGAAATGGTGTCATTTTCTGGTGACCTACTAAGTTTGCATCCAAATGCCAAGTCCAATAACTCCTTATCATGTTGGTAATCTTGAGAAAGGTAGGTAAATGAAATAGGTTCCAGTTGTAGAGCTGTCTTAATATTTCTCTTATCAAGAGAAATTTTTTTTGACTTTTCTTCTTTAAAGATGTATTTGCAGCTCTTTGGATTTTTTCTCATCATCTTGAGCAAAAATTGAGTGCTAAACCAAACTTTTGGCATCAAATCCAATAAATTTGGACTTTTTTCCAGCAGTGCTTCTACGTAATCCTTACATTGTGCCATATCTTCAGTGAAAAATTTTGGTAAAGTGCTGAATTTGTTATTTCTCAAAGCCTCTAATACAAATTGTTTGTAGTTTGGTGTCGATTTGGAAACATATTGCAACACATGAGGACTTGTTTTGAGTGCTATGGCAACAATTTCTGGATCACTCTGAAATAAATGTGCATATTTTAGCGCATATCCATTGCTTTTCACAGCTGTCAATACAATTTCTCTGTCTTCACTAAATTTTGGACAATATTTCAGAGCTTTTCCTTGAGCCCTTACTATATTTTTGCAATAATTTCTATTGTTCAACAAATGTGGTGGAAAATGTCGAACAAGCTTGTAATAGAGAGAAACGACCTTACGAGTAAACTTTTCATCTTGTAAAAACTCAAAATTCAAACACTCCTCCAATTTTGAAGCGTTATATCTCAGTTCGCCATGATTTGGACTCACCATATATTCCAAATAATTTACATAATATTTCGGGATGGTTTTCAAATGCACATCTAACTGATCATACCATTCAAAGCCCGAATATTCAAAACACTTCTTTCCATACAATTTGTTAATATCTATCATGGCCGGTTCAAAAAAGGAATGAAACAATTCATCCCAAAAATTGACCAGTGAATAGCAATCACTATACACACGAACCAAGATATGACTCTTCGAAACACCATCCGATACAAGGAGATAATTCTCTGAAAATACCACTCCAAAGCTCTGTTCATACCAACATTCAATCGGTAAGAGATGGAATCTATTTTTCGTTTTACTTCCATTCGTGATCATTAACAATTCTTTTAAGATCAACGGAATGATTATATGAAATTTCTTCTCCGTTTCAGAAATCATCTCTAAAGAAACTGGAGGTTCATTCAAGGGATAACAACTTGCCATATTCTCATCATGCCATCTCTCTCTCAATACTCTTCGGAAATAGGTTAAGAATTGAGAGGAAATAGTTCGGTTCAAAAGCCTCATCTTGAAACTCTCGGAAAGGCTCAAGAATTCAAAGATTAATTCCATCATTTCATGAGGGAGTTGAATCAATGATTTTCCAGTAGATTTGGATAAAGTAATCATGGTTGATGATGGTGTTGGATGATCAATCGTCGTCCACGCTAAAGAATTGTCATTTGGTGCCATTGATGAGGTCAATGTCATCCTTTTTTTGTGTTTCTTTCATGATATGAATTTTTCTTTCTGGAATTGAAACTTCACATTGATTGAAAGAACATCCATTGCTGATTGTCTTCACCATGTCTGTACTTGGTGTCAAATGTTGTTGTGTTCTATGTGTTATTATAATTGTTGTTGCTGTTTATTTGAAGAATTTAGAAACACCACTTTGTTTGTATTCATTTCTGGTCAACCAATCCATATCGTTCACAGCTTTATCAGACCATGTGGCTCCTCCAACAACAACTCCAAGAGCATCCTCTTTACGACTTGCAACAACCTTAACATTTGCCTTAAGTTTGCTCTTTGTGACGAGTGACTTGACTTCAGTTTCAATTCTTTCAGCCATTCCGTTGAACAATAAATTACCTCCACCAATCACAATATTTGAGAGTAATTTACCCAATAAATTCAAATCATTGTCAGCAGCTAATTTGGCAGCTTCGAAAATAGTAAATGGCAAACTTGAAACCTCGGCTTGAGTGATTCCAGCAAGACCAGGTTCGAACATGATTTCTGGAATCAAGAAACATTCCTTGTCAAGTGCCATCTTTTCGCCACTCATTTCTAATTCTTGTTTAAACTCTGCTGGATTTTTAGCAAACAATTCAAATTCAGCCTTTAGATTCTTACAAGTGTAAGCCATATTTGTCTTGATGTGTTGAGCGACACGATATTCATCAGCTGGGTCAACAGCAAATCCTGTTTTTGACATGACATAAATTGCATATTTGGTAGCATCTTGACCAGCCAATGTAAATTTATGTGTCAATCCATATTGTGGCTTTCCATCAACAATTGGTGTGACATAGGTCAATGCACTTCCAGATTCAACAGCTAACCCAAATGAATTTTTTGGAGAAGCTCCTCTAAATGACATGACATTTGGCAATTCAAAATACACATGCTTCACTCTGAAAATTTCAAACAAGAGTTCAGCAATACTTTCAATGTGATCATTTGGCATCATGGTTCCTGGCAATCCAATCAAAACAGGATAAACAGAAGGATCTTTCACTCCGATAGATTCGAATGCAAATGACAAGATTGCTTCAATTTGAAGCCAGTCCATAATTAATCCTCTCTGTATTGGATATCTGAGAACATAAGAGTCAGAATCTGAGCTTCCTTTTTTAGCACTTTTACGACATTTCTTAATGGCTTGATCTCCAACAATGATATCAGAAGGAGAAGAGGAAGTTGAGCTGAGAGGACAAGCAACAACAGTTGGGAATGTGACGATTTGATCGATCTTATCAGAAAGGGTCACTTTGGTTTCCTGTTGGGAATTATTGGTTGATAGAAGAAATGAGAAGAGAGATGAATTGTGAAAAGTGTGTGAATCATCACACAGAGTGTAAAAAATTTCAGTAATGATCATGAGGAGGATAGTGATCGTAACAATGATGAGACGGATGGATTAATGAAGAATTAAAATGATTGACAGGTGAAAGACACATCACGAAAAGTATTTTTCAAAAGAAAGAAAGGGAAAAGATCATGAGATGACCATCAGGAATTTGACGATATAGTTATAAACATTTCATCACCACAATAATAATCATTTTCACAAGAGTGGATGATAAGATTAACTTACAAAGGCTCCAAGGTCAATGACAATGACTATCATACAGCACCAACAACAAATCCAACACCACCAACATGAGTTGCATCAAAGGATTGATCATTAGAATTATTGATAGTATTATTGTAGACATATCCAAATAATTAATTTTTTCACACACACATGACAGAGAATGAAACATACCTGGACCTGAAACATCGTCATTGGTTGAAGATAAAATTGGCTTCTTCACAGGTGATGCTGAGGAGAATGAGGCTTCAGTAGTCTTCTTTGGTGGAGGCATGGTGTGGAATGATTGATGATAGAGGAAAGGTGAGATTAGTCACAAATTTTTTTTTCTGAATTTTTTTTCGTCGTTGACAGTTTGATGATTGACGACATGAGAGAGTTGATGGAAAGCATGCTTGATTTAGAGTAAATGAATTAAAAATTAATGTCGTAAAAGAGCATTTCATCTCATTACTAATTCAACTAAATAGTGCAAAAAGAATCCGAGATTATTTACACCAGAAAGAGCTTTGGAAAGAGAAGTCAATTCTTAAATCTGGACGCTCCAGTATGATATGCTTATCCATCACAGTCACATTCCTGATGAATCGTAGTCGTGGTCAGGCTCACTGGAAAAAACGCCCTTCACTTGCTTTGAAACAGCAACACCAACTTCTCATCAGCGTCCACAACGAGCACCTCGTTGATACGTATTCGATGTTGATGACTTGATCTCGACAACTTGCTAGAGTCCATACAATCACCTCCTGTTATTTGATGTTTCTCTCGATCAAGTGAATATAGTGCTGATACACAATCAAGTTACTGTGGACATTCTTGAGAAAATTTCGAGTTGAAATCAATCTCAATCAAATATTGTTGAACTGAGTTTTAAACAAGAAAATCAACACATATATTGTGGTCAAATTCACTCCATGATCACTACATCATCAAAAAGGAGACTTTCAAAATTTTACCAATTCAAAAGGTGATCGCGATTCCAGCGAACAGTTTCTTCTGTTGGCTTATTGTTCACAAAAAAATTCACTCGAGTTGGTGGCTACGCGATGAAAAACGCTGCTCGCCATTTATTTCGTGGTGTACAAGCCTCATCAACAACACTCTCTTTCTCACGGCTTTTCAGAGGTGTAGTTTTTGATACGCTTGGGTTAGACTCAAATCTCTTGCTCCGGAAATCCTTAAGTCATACATTGTCCAATGATCAACATACAAGGAACACTTTGTTCCATACATGGCCTTCTATGTTGGCCAAAGTATTACTTTCAAATGGTAAGTCATTTGAGGATTTAGTAGCACATTAATTACAACTATTCCAGAAATACAATATAACCCCGACAATTATGAATACGAAGAAACTTATATCCCTTTACACCAAGAAGAATTATTATTTCTCAGTGATTTAAGAAAGTACAATTTAAAGGATTTAACAGCTCCGTTCCCAAAAACATCGGATCCATTGCGTTTTAATCTGAAACATCGAGAAGAAACCATCAAACAAATATTACAAGTCGGCGCAAAACATCACGAAGTCTATCCTTTGCAGAAGAGCAAACAACAATTATGTTTTTTCATTGCAAAAGGTGGCAGTGGCATTGGAAAAACACGTATCCTCTCAGAGATTCCCAATATTCTTCGCAATGGAGAATTGGATGATATTTTCAAAAACACCAATATTATTTATTTTAACTTTGCAAATGGATGTTCTTTGACTGATACTGATAGAGATAAGAAGCCTGTTTCTATGATTGTATCAGGAATAGTTTATGCTGCTTTTGAAAACCCTTCAGAATTAGTCCAAAAAACTCCACCAGGTGAGAATGATTTCTTTCTCTATGAAGTAATGCGAATAATATCAAAAAAGCTACATGAAAAATATGGAGATACTGTTATTCCATTAGTATTGGCATTCGATGAATATCAATTGGCTACAAGACTCAAGCCGGGTTTACACACTTCCATTCAACATACATTAGGGTGGTATATGAGATTCATTCAGAATAGACATCAAATTTTATTGTTCCCAGCATTTGAAGGAACTTTAACTGAATCAGATGCCAAGATGGAGCCAGCACAATATACCTGCCCATTTATCACTTCCATCATTGAGACCTATGGACATTGCAGAGATTATGGCCGATATGGGGTTATCAAAACTTTATGAAGGAAGATATAAGGAATTTTGGGACATGATTGGTATTATACTAAGACACTTGGAGTGGGCTTTGGGGAATGTTGAGAAATTGAAAAGACTTGAATGGAATGATGAAACTATGAGATCTATTATGTACGCTAATGTTATTACTACTGTCATGCAGCAATATTCCGATAACTTGACTGATGAATATTTAGGAGAATTGGCTTTGAATACTATATCTGGATTGAAACGAAAAAAAGATGAAAAACTTATAACTTATATTAGAGAAGGCAAAGTTTACATAGATGTCTATGGTTTCATTGGTGTTCCTCTTGTGGTGATTGATGTATTAGCAAATAAGTTGAATTACATTCCAAAACATGTTGTGAGTGATTTTATTACTGTGTCAAATAAGTCACTATGGGAAAAATTCGAAGAATTATGCCTCAAAACTATGACTGCAAGATTGAACGTTTTATATACTCTCAACCATTCTAAGGAGCGCAATTTTCAGAGTTATTTAGAGGGGCATATTTCAAGTCCGACTTGGGATTTATTTCTTTAAAAACATCAAATGCCTCTTGGTTTGAATATAATTGCTTGAATGACAAAATATCAAGTAGAGATGAAGATGAAAACGAAAAACTTATCAATACCACTTGTGTAAAAAAGGCAAAAAAGAATCAAAGTGATATGGATGGGATACTTTGCCCATTATTTAATACAAAAACGAACAGAAGAATAATATTCGTCACACAAAATAAGTTCCAATATGAGGATTCACAAGAAGAGACTCTAACCCCAGCCGATATTGTATCCTATTACGAAAACGCTATGAAAACCCCATTCAAAGATTCAGATACCTTTGTAATTATTTTCACAAACAAAAAAATTTCCAGATATACAGGAGAAATGATAATCAAAGGTGAAATAATAACAACAAAAGAGGGAGAACAGAAAAGAGTCGACACTAGAAATTTAATACTCGTTTCAGGTGATTGCTTTTCCAATTTCTTTCATCCTTTCATTTCCAATATTTTACATTAAAGTGTTGGCAATTTTATTACATTCATAAATTTCGTAACTCTTGCTTTTTATTTTTTGTTTTCAAAAGGTTGTGAATTTCCATGTTTCGAAAGAGTAAACAATAAAATTCGTTTGTTAATTAAAGGAAGGACTAATGGGTTTGTGGTCTCTCCAAACACCCGACCTTGATAAAGGTCCGTTGTTTGTAGGATTTTCTGCATATTTTGTCAATTGACTTTATTCAGCAGAGTCCCGAGCATTCATTAAGATTTGAGAAGGTAAAAAACTCCAAAAACCGCTCAGTGGAAAAAAAGGAGAAAACCAAAGAAACGCAAGGAAGCAGGAAGGATGAAGGCAGAGGTAACGACTACATGTTGTGAAGCGCAAGAAGTCACAATGAAGCGGCAGAGACGAATGAAGTGAGGTCACATTTAAGCAATTTCTTGATAAATCCATGAAAATCATGATAAGATGATGGATTAAATAAATGAAAATTAAATAATAAAAATATTTCGTTAGCTCAGTAAAATTCTTGCCGAAAAGATTCGAATCAAGGTGGACCTGCACTGTCACAATGTTCTTCCTTACCACAAGAACATTCCGATCAGCGAAAAATATACTTGAATAAGCTTAAGAAAGCAAGTGGGTGCAAAGAGAGACTAATCATTAATATGCAAAAAAATTTTTCAAGCTCAACCAAACTCTTTAATTGTTTATAATCGAAACATTCGTGCCTTCACTACCTTCATGACATATCCTAAAAACACACAAACGAGCCGATGATGGACTCATTCCCATTGTGAAGTTGTGGAATCATCTTCGGTTGCTGGTATTGTTTCTCAATAGTTTTTTCCGCATCGAATATGAGAGCTCGTATTCTTCTGAGGGATCAGCTTGAATCAATCTAACCAATTATCTTGATGGAACCCATTAGATTTAACTATTTGCATAAACTCATGCGGTTGAAGCTGAGAAGTAGTAAAAGGTACCAATTTTGAAATTCATATACTGATGGCTCCTTTCAGGATGGTAAAACAGGAATGGGAATCAACATTTACAACCTTTCATCTCCAAGCACGCATTCCTCCTCTTAGAATTCATAATGAATATTCCAACAAGTTTCTGAAACAGCTTCAATTTTAACAGCAATTAGACATTGTTCCAAAAAATGAAAAAGCTCAAGTCTGTACCGACAGTCAGGTCGCATTAAAAGAATTACAATGGAAAGTTTCACCTCCTGGACAGAGAATTTAAGAAAATCACAAGAAGGAACCCTCAAACCAACTCCACAAAGGTAAAAGGACACCTTGACTTTGAATTTGGACAAACCCTCACAGGGCACATTATAGAGTTATCTTCCTAATCGTCAGGAATTCAAGTTCTTTTCGTTGACCAATGCCGTAACTTTTACTATTTTGAAAGTGTGTTGAATGATGTGATGACATTTGTCACGACTGCTGGATTGAGAGAAGTGGTAATATTGGATTCATAATCACTTGTATGCAATGAATGCATCGTACAGTCGACAATTAGTGGATAGAATTATTTCGAAATTTGGCGTCTTGTTAGTGAATTCCAATCAATTTAATTCTTCATCCGCATTGACACAGCTTCTCAAACAGACCTCGCAATGAGTAATTTAGGCCGGATCTGTCAACAACTTTGGCAGCGAGGACCATCCTAGCTAGATTCATGAATGGCTGTTCGCTGAGGCTGCAGGTTTGATGGGGCCCTCAATCATATCTTATTCTCGCAGAACATTTTCTAGATTTAGAAAGAATGCACTTAGGTAAGGCAGTGTGCAAATGTTTTGTTCTTGGTCTTTGCGGTTATAGGTAGCTCGGCCACGTTTTTCCCAAGTGCTTCCACCACTGTTTGGAACATGAAGTACTTTTTAGGTAGTAAAGTCTGTTGCTACTTTGTTTAATTTGCAAGGTACATTTTCAAGTCATTCTCTCAGAATAGGAGGTGCCTCTGAAGCAGCATTTAAAGGTTTCTCTCATCCCACAATTCAAGCTATAGGTCTTTTATTACCATTGAGCTGGATTCGCGTCTGAAATTGAAAAAAAAAATGAATCTTTCGGCATTCAACAACAACAGTAAATTCTCCATCCTTTCTCTTTATCGGAACTTGCTCCGAAATATGAAGTATTATCCCAGTGTTCGGAAAGAAGGAATGATACAAGCCATACGAGAAGAATTCCGAGCTTACAAGCACGAAAAGGATCCAAAGAAAATTGAAATGAAAATTGGTGAAGCCAGAGGAGGATTGGAACGATTGAAAGCCTATGCAGAAATGAGTAAAGCACAAAACAAGGGAGGAAGGTCGACCTTTTCAGTTTAATAATTAGATTTAATCATCGGACTGTTATGATTAATTGCATTACTGCGAAAATTGTTGAATTGAAACAAAGAATGAGTTCATTACTATTATTAATAATATTGAATTGAAACAACAAGGTATGAATTTGAGAGTCAACGGAAACATGATTGCTATTCTTAAAAGAAAGCAAATTTGAAGAATGAAATTTGATTTGTGAAGAAAACTTGCATTGACACGATGATAACAAAAATCTGATAAGCCAGGAAAGCTCCTTCAAGAACGCACCAAAGCTTCCTTTTGTGATTGTCAGCCACCTTCACAGAGCAAAACATGTCTCTTGTCATCAGTCGTTAAAATTAAAAAATTTGAAGCAGCCAAAAACCATTCTCATCATCGTCTGCAAAACCCTCTCTCGTAATCTTTCTCAAGTGCCTCTTTGTTGTGCACTTGCTTCTTTTCTCAAACATCAGTTCATTTATATATATTGAATTAAATCAATAATAACAAGAAATATAAACACCAACAATACTCATCACCATGGTCAAACCAAAATCTGTTACTCACATCAAAATTGCAATTTGTGGCAATCCAAATACCGGTAAAAAGACATTTGTAAGTTGGTTGAGTGTCTCACTCTTTATATCTCATTTATTATTATTATTGTAACTGTCATTCAATCATCATTGGATTCATTGTGTCGTCATTGTTGTTGTGGATGATGACTTTTTCCACGCCACATCAACACACTTGTTATTGTTGGAATACAATTTCACAATATTTTGGATCATCATGATCACTCTCTCTTGAACACATTTTCATTCTCCTCATCCTTTGAATGATTCCTCTTCATCACACAACAATTTTGAATCCTCCTCCTGGTGATGATGATGATGTGGTGATCTTTTGACGCCACACGACGATTTCAACCCATCATCATCATCATCATCACTCAACAATTACATCATGACTCACAATGATCATCCCAAATGGATCATCACCACCAAACATTGATCAACATTGTGTTTGACTCCAACACAGGGAACCACTTTCCATCAACGTGAAATTATGGACAAGAAAGAAGAAAATTCCAATAGATATACAATTTCGAATGAATGTTTAGATATTGAGTTTTTGTACATACAACCATCTGCCGGATCTTCCTTTGAAGATGTTCAACCAGAAGTATGTGTTTTTTGTGTGTGAATTTTAATATTGTTGAATCATTTGTGAAATTGTTGATGATTTATTTTATATAATGATCATTGGTTTCTTGATGATGATGATGATGATAATTGAAACACTTTCAAATGATGATGATGATGTGTAATTGAAAATGATGATGACATGTTGACAATTCCAAATGTTTCTTTATTCCAAATAATAATGACAATTCATTTCAAAAATTGTGATTATTTCACATATGCTTTCTATTGAATACTCACACATGAAATAGGATATACCATGGTATGACATTGATGCTTTCATTCTGTTCTATGCAGTGGATGAGATGAATAGTTTCACACAAATGCAAGTTTTTCACAGGTCATTCGATGTGCTACAAAAAGAAGAAAAGAACACTTATGGATTATTGAAGCCATGTATTTGTATTGGAAATAAGTGTGATACTGCTGAAATTGTAAGAGGTAAGTGAGAAAAGTCCAGAGTTTTTTGACCGACAATTTGTGACACGAATCACCATTTTCTCATTTGTTTTATTGATTCGAATTTTGAAATGGTAACGACCATTCTCATAACATACACCATTTACACACTACCACGAATTTTAATAATTCAAACGACCATAGAGGTCCCATTGGCCACTGCAATGAAGTTCAGTGACACTGCAAATGCTCCTTATTTTGAAACAAGTGCTAAAACTGGAAAGAACGTGTCAGCAGTTATTGAGGATTTAATCAAACAGATTTTGAGATATAGGAAACAAAAAGAATTATTGAACACAAGCAAGAACAAATCAAACCCAAATCTTCAATCTGACAAAAAGAAAACCTCATTCTTTAGAAGTAGGCGAGACGTTGAGGATGATGATCTTTTCAATTCAAATGCATAATTTTCATATTGAACACACTACTCGGATCGTTTGTTGCTCAATGTTCTGTGTGAATTCAAGCACACACAATAATAATCACACTGAAACTATGTAAACCTTAGTAAATTATGAATATTCTCATCATGTTAGTGATGACTTTTTTATTCGTGCAACAACAACAAATGTTTTGAGAATTCACAATTCTTCAAGGAATATTGTGGCTCAACGACGATATGGACAAACAGTTTCATAAAGTGCTTTACGAAAGATTAGTGGGAGGTAGCAGTTGTGGTGGTGACGTCACAAATATGGAATGTATTTATTTACATTACGAGACACCATCCTTTTTCTTCTTCTTCTTTCTTTTCTTCTTCCTTCTTCTGTTCTGATTCTTTCTTTGTTTTCTTTGGACCCATTCCGAAAGCTCCTTTCACTGTTTAGATCAAAATTTCAAATAGTTTGAACAACAGCAATTCATGAAGATCATAAGAAGAAATAGAGAATAGAACATTCACATGACCAATAATTTAACACACAACAATATATGAGATTATATAAATATCAAACAGATCCTTACCAAAATTCATGGTTCGATGATAGGGACACTTGCTCACATCGGAAGCACCTGCAGCCTTGTGCAACTTTTGCAACTTGGTTTCTTCCTTGGTATTGGTTTTCTTGACCAGGTCCATCAAGTCTTGATTTTCCTGAGTAGTGCGTTTGTTGTTGGATGTGTTACCGTCCTTAGGATAGGTTGTTACTTGAGAGGATGAAGAAGACATTTCCGGAAGAAACCTCTAAGAGAGAACGCACGAAAAGTGAAGAGAAAGAGAACACGTTCGTGAGAGAGTGGAATGTTTTTTGTTTTGTTGTCGCGCGTTCAATTAAAATGTCGGGACATTGTCGAGGAGTTCGAGTTATTGGAGAAGGAGTAACGAGATTCTCGGTTCTTTCAAACACACATCCCGGGACGTTCCAAAACTTTTCGCTCCCTTAGGTTGCTCGGTGAGGAGAGCATTGACTCTGATTTGTGTTTCATATGGAATCCAATTCTTCTTCTTCTTCTTGCGTGTTTCTTTCATAATCTTCAAGAAGAAAGAAACTGAAGAGAACGAAGAAAAAATGCCATTCGACTTTAAATTTGAAATTGGAAATCCCTTCTTGATAGGAAGCGGTTTTGGATTTGCTGGTTATGCTCTTGCTGCTCGTGCTCAACGAATTCACTTTACGAGAAGTAAGTACACACGCTGAGAAGTTATATATGACGAATGTTAAGATGATGATGTTTGAATTTTTTTGAATTTTATTGTTCTCTAATGATGATGATGGGATGGAATCATTGAAAATATGATGATGGTGTAATTGATTGATATATTATTGTTGTTGTTATTGGATGAATTTGGACCGATGGTGATAATTGTTGCGAATTATTATTTTTAAAACGAAATTGTTTGGACATACGGTGATGATTATGAATGATGATGATACTACAACATGAAAAATTATGATTACTATGATGAATGATGATTCTTTTGCATTGGATATTATTCGGATTTAATTGATTCCACTCTGAATGTTAATCACATGATGATGAATGGTTATATTATTCCTGATACACAATACAGGACCATGGCACTTGATTGCTACCATGTTAACCACTGGTGTTCTCTTTCAAGCTTATCATGGAATTCATGAAGCACTCACAGATGATTTGATCAGAAAGAGAAAGATCTATGTTCAAAGAAGAAGGAAACGTTATGAAAACAATGAGACCCCTGAAAGAATCAATGAAGACAAGGATTTGTACAAGAGTATCGAAAAGGATTTGGCTCAATAATTTCTCACTCATAATTATTATACTTAACATCATCGTGGTGGAGGATTTCAATATTACAAAAATACTAGTAAACATTCATTTAGGAAGATCATAAGCACTGCTGGCTCTACTTTTTCATGTTGTTGATCATGCTCATTGTGTTCACATTGTGTGATTGCTCACTCACTCGTGCGAATTCATTACAACACAAAAAATTACATCATCATGACACGACGCTGTTTGAAAGTTCTCACTTGTTTTGATAAATTCAAAGACAGTCTTAAAAGTAGAGAATGTGGAGAAGCAATTGCAATGGCTTTTAAAAGTTATGCCCAATCATCATTGCTTCCTTCCATACAATGTGTCAATATTCCACTTTCCGATGGAGGAGAAGGGTAAGAAGAAGAATAATTTTGATCGTGCTTGAAATGTGTGTACATTTCAAATTGTACAATTAATATCATGATTGGTGGTGCATTGCATGTTAATGAATCGGTTTTGAAAAAACATTTCTCAAAATTATTTCCAAAATTATTTCAATATTTCATGATCTGGTACTTTACAAAATTATTTCAAAATGATTTAATACGAATTACTTTATATTATTAATTTTATTAATTGTTAAATTCGAATGTATTTAACACACATAGATTTTTAGAATCGATCAAACAAAATCATCCCAATGACTACCAATTACAATTCTTTCCTGTCCGTCATCCATTGCATTCAAAAAGACATGAAATAGTCCAAGCTCCTTATTACTATAAAAAACATATTCATGACAATGAATTGAATACTCAAGAACATGTCTATATCTTGGAAATGGCGACTGTCTGTGGATTGGAACAATTAAGCATTGAGGAGAGAAATCCATTTGAAACGACCACTTATCCGCTGGGTAAGTAGAATCGAGAAGATCCATCGATGTGACACTTATTGTGACATTTTTAAAAAAGGACTTTTAATCAAACACATTCTATTGAAACATGATGAAAATGATAACATTCACATTTTACTTGGAATTGGTGGATCATGCACCAACGATGCTGGAATTGGATGTTTGAGCGCTCTTGGATGTATCAATAATTTTGTTTTTCTAGACAACGACCATGCCATGGATAGTGACAGCAATACTTGTACAGACAAACTCGAAAACTCGTTTGTTTTTTATGGGAAACATTTAATTCATCTCTCAGATTTCACAATCGATTTCAATGCTTTACCTTATCGATACAAAGATTTAACCATTGATATTGCGTGTGATGTGGATAATCCATTGATTGGAGATAGAGGAGCAACGTTTACATTTAGTAAGCAAAAAGGAGCCAAAACTCAACAAGAACGTGAAATGCTTGAGAAGGGAATGATTCGATTTGCAGAATTGGTTCGAAACAAGACAGGAGTGGACATTGCAGACATGCCTGGAGCAGGTGCAGCAGGTGGAATCAGGTAAGTTGGATCATTTTCAAGATATGGAAATCATGGTGTGTTTTTTACGTGATGATGAATGGATGTGCATGTCATTTGAATTCATTTGTGTGTGTGTGAAATATAACGATTTAAATATCTGACGACACTTGATGTCAAGTGGTGGATTTTATGCCATACTTTTTGGAAAGGTAGAATTGAAAAAAGGTATTGAAATGATTGGAACGAGCTGTCAATTGGAGCAACACATTAAGGATGCTGATCTTGTGTTCACAGGGGAAGGATGTTATGACGATCAATCGGAGGGAGGAAAGGTCGTTTCATGGGTGGCCAAACTTTGCGAAAAATACAACAAGGCATGCATCATCTGTTGTGGACAAAAGAAGAAAGATACAGTACCCAATGAGAATTGTTTGTTGCTAGATTTGCTTTCTCGATATCCACTTGAAAAGTCCATGAAAGAAACCTTCTCATGTTTGACTGAACTGACGAAGGAGAAATTGCCTCTCATTTTAGGGCATGCAGAAAGGTTGTTGAAGAAGGAATAATATAACTTGTGAGTGGTCAACGACGGCGGCAACTCTTGGGTCTCTTTAAGGCTGTATTAAGGAGATGATAGTCTTCCTGGATAAAGTGAGTGTTGGATTTTACTTTTATAAAATAGGATAAATTTACTGTGAAATGAATATTCATGCAAATAATTTAGAGTTTCTTCACACCATGCACTACTTAAAGTGTAAAATGTGAAGGAGCAAAATATACACACATGTCATGTCACTCAATGGACCTAAGCACCACACACTAAACATTCTTCTTCATCACCATTGGAAGGTTGTCCACTTCTCTTTCTTCGGCAAACAATCACTTGTTCCTCATTTGCTGCTGGCTTTTCATCAGTCGTCACATTGCCTTGCTTCATCATGACTGGATCGACAGTGAATTGAATGGCATCGGCAGCTGGTTGTGTTCTCAAATAATACATTCCAGTCTTCAATCCCTTACTCCAAGCATAAAAGTGCATGGAAGACATTTTGGAGATGGATGGAGTGGCAATAAAGACATTGAGTGATTGAGATTGATCAATGAATGGAGCTCTCTCAATGGCAAGATCCAACAAACTCTTTTGTTTGATTTCCCAAACAGTCTTGTACAATTCCTTAATATCATCTGGAATTCCAGCAATGTTTTGAATAGAACCTCTGTTGGCAATAATTTGATTCACAATATTTGAATTCCACATTCCCAAACGAATCAAGTCAGATACTAAATGTCTGTTAATGACTGGATATTCACCACTCAAGACACGTCTCGTATACACATTCGAAGTGTATGGCTCAAAACATTCATTATTACCCAAAATTTGACTGGTGGATGCAGTTGGCATTGGAGCAACAAGTAAACTATTACGAACTCCATATTTGAGAATTTCTTGTCTCAAACCTTCCCAATCCCATCTTCCACTCGTGATGATCTTTCCTTCAAAAGGTTCACCTTTCATGGTCCAAAATTCATGTTGGAAAATTCCTCTACTCATTGGACTTCCTTGATAGGTCTCATAAGGTCCTTCTGTCTTGGCAACTTCACAACTGGCTGTCAATGCAGCAAAATATATTGTTTCGAAAATTTCTCGATTCAAAATCTTGGCTTCTTCACTCTCGAAGGGAAGATGCATCTTGATAAAGGCATCGGCCAATCCCTGAACACCCAAACCAATGGGACGATGTCTCATATTACTCTTTCTAGCTTCCTCAACTGGATAATAATTCTTGTCAATGATCTTGTTCAAATTCTTGGTGGCAATTTTGACAATTTCAAACAATTGTTCATGATCGTAGGTACGTGTCGTCTCATTGACATACTTTGGAAGTGCAATACTTGCCAAGTTACACACAGCTACTTCATCTGGAGCTGTGTATTCAATAATTTCAGTACACAAGTTGGAGGATTTGATCGTTCCAAGATTTTGTTGATTTGATTTTCTATTACATGCATCCTTATAAAGCATGTAAGGAACACCAGTCTCAATTTGTGCCTCAATAATTGCAAACCAAAGCTCTTGAGCACGAACGACACGGCGTGCACGACCCTCCTTCTCATAACGCAAATACAATTCATTAAACTCTTCACCCCACACATCAGCAAGTCCAGGAGCTTCATTAGGACAAAAGAGTGACCAATGAGAATCCTCCTTCACTCTCTCCATAAACAAATCATTCACCCACAAACCCAAAAACAAATCTCGAGCTCGAATTTCCTCCTTTCCAGTATTCTTTCTCAAATCTAAAAAATCAAAAATATCGGAATGCCAAGGCTCCAAATAAACGGCAAAGGCTCCTTTTCGTTTACCACCATCTTGATCCACGTAACGGGCAGTGTCGTTGAATACACGAAGCATGGGAATGAGTCCATTGGAGGTTCCGTTGGTTCCTCGAATGTAGGATCCAGAGGCACGAATGTTATGAACGGACAAGCCGATACCACCAGCACTCTTGGATATCAAGGCACACGTCTTGAGTGTATCGTAAATACCTGAAATGGAATCGTCTTTCATGGCCACTAAGAAGCAAGAACTCATTTGAGGAGTGGGAGTACCAGCATTGAAGAGAGTAGGAGAGGCGTGGATGAACATACCAGTGCTAAGTAATTCGTAGGTTTCAATAGCCTTCTCAATATCGGAACCATGAATGCCCAAACTCACACGCATGAACATGTGTTGAGGTCGTTCGGCAATAACATCTCCGAGTTTGAGCAAGTAGCTTCTTTCAAGAGTCTTAAAGCCAAAGTAATCGAATTGATAATCTCGTTCCATCTTGATGGCAGCATTGAGAGTTTCGCTGTGCTGCTGCACGACATTGAAAACCTCTTCGGAAATCAATGGAGAAGGTAATCCAGTTCTTGGATGAATGAAATTTCGCAAATCAGTAATGACTTCAGAGAAGACGGCCTTGGTCTTCTTGTGGAGAGTGGAAATCTTCACTCGTCCAGCAAGTCTCAAATAATCAGGATGGCTGTAAGCCATGTAGGCAATACATTCAGCCAAAAGGTTATCAAGTTTCTCGGTGGTAATATCATTGTGGATTTCGGATCTCAATTTCTCCACAATGGAGTCCATGTTGATGTGTTCAAGACCTTTCAAGTGGTCCTGGAGTCTAATTCTAATCTTCTCATTGGAGAAGGGCTCTCTTTCTTGGTTTCGTTTCACGACCAAAATATTGGAAGAGTCGGATGACATGTCTACAATCGTCTTGAGAGTTGTAAATGATGAATCGTTTCGCTACTATATATATTGCTGAGAAGCGTTGTACGGGGAGAGTATTGTGTAATTATGACAACAATCGATGCGAGTTCCTCTGTGTGGATATCGAGTCAGCGACTGAATGGAAAGAATCGCACAAACAATGATGATGAAAATCTAGATGGATGAATCCTACCTAATGAAAGGAAAGGTAGATTGGATGACAACAAGTGTAAAGGTGTAAAACTATAGACGGAGTATGCAAGTGGTGTTGCAACTACTACTATTACTAGGCGTCTCACAATGAAGTGTGTTTAGCTTTTTTTTGAGAGTGATTTTTTGAAGGGAGGGAACTTTTGAAAAATTGAGGTCAACGGTGTGTAACGTCTAGTTAAAGCGGGAGGAAACTTTTAATCCTGGCTTGGCGCTGAAATATTACACTTGGGATGGATATTGTCATTTCTGTCATACATTTTTAGATCTCTTCCTTTCGTCTTCATCTCTTCATAAGAATAGAGTTTAAGAGGCTCAGCGCCTGGTTAATATGAAGACGATAGGAAGAGATCTATAAATGGAGATTGTGTTTATTTGAGCACCCGTCACCAACTCTTTCAAATTTGGAGGTTAATAATAACACAAAAAATTTTCCGAACTGAATCGTCACCCAAGCTCACTCACTCTCACAACCACTCTCTCATACAATCCATCTCCTCATCTTTTGCATTGCTGACTCACACAAAAAATACTTTGAATTGTATTTGAATACACATCTTGAACGTGTCAGAGTATTCATTTGAAAATGAAAAAGAAGGAAGGAAAGAAGGACGATTCCGCTTCAACGACCACGACCACGACCACCTCATCATCAACAGCCATCAATAAGCCATCAACTCCTTCATCCTCTTCTGCCACTGTTCCAACCAATAATACTCCAATCTTAACAGTCAACAGCACTAGTGATGAACATTCGAATCTTAACAACCAAACAACACCGACTGAATCCACAATGCACAGTCGACCTGAGCTTCCTTCCATACTGAACCCAACAGGGAAAACACACTCAAGTGCTGCTGCTGCCGAAGAAGCAGATCAAGTTTCTTCTCCCTCCTCTGAAAACTCAGATAAACCAGAGATACGTGTTGGTCAATTTCCGCATCCACCACAACCACGTCCATCCATTCTACATTCCAAAAGCATTGAAGGATTTTTAAATTTGTTTGGTCTGCTTCTTGTCACTTGGTCTGGCAATATCATGTACAACAATTGGAGACATGAGGGATACCTTATTGATTTTACACTTCTTCGCCACTTGTTACAAGGAATTGACTATTTAATGCTAATATGGGGCGGTGTTGTTGCATTTCACTTTGTATATTCTGTTACAAGTGAATTTCTTCTCATTCAGTATGCTCAAAAGAAGAGACTTTCTCCATTCATGGATTTTATTAATTGCACTATATATGTATTGGCTCAACTCATCTTGTTTGGAGTTCCATCTTACCTTGCATTCACCTCACAATATCTAAGTGCTATGTGTCGAACTGCATTGGCATGTCAAATCGTTGTGAATAGTTTCAAGATGCACAGTTACTTCATTACGAATCGATATTTTAGAGAGGAAATGTTTTATTCTGGAAAATACAAGGAGAATGGCTTCAAACCCATTCTTGGAATTCGATATGAGAAAATCAGACTTGATCGAAATCTGTCAAAGTTGCAACAATTTTATTTATTGGCCTTCGATTATCAGGAATACATTAGAATACCAAGCTTAGTCTATGAAATCAACTTCCCTAGAACCTCTCATATTTCTTTCATTTTCGTGATTAGGGAATATGGAGGTGGTCTATTGATTTGTCTCTTTATGTATTTCATCATGCAAAGGTATATGGCTCCATTATTGGGAGAAATTGAATCCTACGACTGGTATGATCTTATTATCAATCTTGCAATTCCATCCATGGCTATTTGGATGTTGCTCTTTTATTGCGTTTTTCATTGCTTCTTGAACGCAACCGCTGAACTTGTAAGATATGCAGATCGTGAATTTTATTTGGAGGTGAGTGAAGTTCATTCAGAATATTTATCACAATTTTTTTTGTCATGCATCAACAAATAATTTTTTGAATTCTTGGGAACAGTGGTGGAATGCCACAAGTGTTTCTCAATATTGGAGATTGTGGAACAGACCTGTATTGAAGGTATGTAATATGTTATTGTTTTTTGTAACACTAATGAATGGAATTGCAATTTCATCACAGTTCATGTCACGACATATTTATGTCGAATCCATGAGAAGAGTGAAAGGATTTAACAAAGTTTGGGCCGCACTTTCCACATTCTTTGTCACTGCAGTTCTTCATGAATATGTGTTAATCATGACTTTTAGAGTTTTTAGAGCATATTTCTTCACAATGGTCATTGCTCAAATTCCACTCTTCTATGTGACTGAGAAACTTAAGGGAACACGTCTAGGAAATGTATTATTGTGGTTTGGATACTTGTTGTGCTTCCCTGTTATGGAGTTGTTATACTTTAGGGCTGCCTTGAGAGAAAACAGCATGTAAATTTGTTATGAGAATCCTTCCTATGTGCTCTGTCATTGGTTCATATGTGCAAAATATTAGAACAAGAAGAATCGTGGTAGTGCATCGAGACTTACATAAATATTGTTTCTAAATTTCCAAAATAAAATTAGAGCCCAAGATGGATTGAATGGTATTGACCCACAAGACGATGAGTTGATAAGAATGTCGAGATTGTTTGGAAGATTATTTTACTTGAGAAATGAAAATAAGCTCATTTACTTTGGAGGATCAAAAAGATACATTGCGCCTTTCAATTCTGAATTACACACGATCAAACAATTGGGATTTTATGAAATCAAACTTCCTCCATCGATTCTTCGACCTTCTTTGGTATTTAAGTTCTCATGGACATATTTTTTGATGTGACAATTATATTTGCACGACTTGCATACAAGGTTAAGATTTTCCTTTCTGAGCCACCCGAGCACTCGAAATGAAATTAGTGAGCAAACTTGCATTCGAATTCAGTCAGAAAAAAAAGCCAGTCGCAAAATCAGTAAATTCCACATTTTCATACTGATTCCGAAAAAATCAAGACGAATTTTAAGGGAGAAAATGTTTTTGTTTATTTATTTTATTACAAAGCAATCAAGTTCGGAGCCATTATTATTTGTGAGTATTGAAAAAGTTGCTCCACTGGCGAGTGGTTTCCTTGATTTCCGTGTGCTGGTATATGAAAGAAGCAACCGCATGCTGGAGTTTGGCGTTTGTTTTCAATCTGTCAATGCTCCAATTGAACACTTGACAAAGGTAATCTACACACACTTGCCAAATTGGTTCCTCTTACAAAAATTAACAAATTCGTCTGAGGCCAATTCCTTCTTCTCGTCTCCAATTATAATGGTTGTTGTGTTAGACATGGAGGTTATAATATTTCCAAGATCAACATACATCTTACACAAGTTATCACGAACGGTATTCATTCTCTCGGGATGCTGATCAACCTTGGATTGCAACTTGATTCGTTCATCCTTCTCTTGTTCCAATTCTCGTTGAATCCTTTTCATATTGAATTGGAGATCATGATTAATGTCGACAATTCTTTCATACTTCTTTTTCAATTCTTCAAATTCATGGATCGTTGGAATGGTGGAATGCAAGCCCACTGAAGAGGAGAAGACTGGAGTCAAAACATCAGTTTGAGAAGAGAGTATTGTGGTGTTGGTCGGGTCTTTCTGAAATGATGAAGAAGCCAAGGGTTGAGATTGCACTGACAGTTGTACTGACGGTTGAAATTGCATTGGTGGTTGAGATTGCATGGATTGAGGCAATACCACTTCAGACAGATCTTTTTGAGTGGAGAATGCAGGCACGACCATATCTTTTTGAGAGGCAAAGATCATGGACAAGGGATCCTTTTGAATCACAGTAGAAGAATTCAACACATCCATATAGCAGGCTGCAGAATTATTCTGCTTGAACAAATCATTTTCAACAGAAGGTAATACTAATTGGTTGGTGTTTGCATTGACAAAGTTTTGAGATGTGATTAATGGTTCACTCTTATCCCACACCATACAATACAGTCCATACTCCATTCATGCAACGAGTTTACATGAAACTCGTCGGGAAGAGATGTGACCAGTTTCATGGCTTCTGGTAAGACTTTTGTAATGGTAACAATTAAGCAGTCTGACTTTTGTGCATTCAACGCCGGATTGGTGGTGGCATTGGCAACATGAATGAGCTGGGACTCTTTTCTACTTCCTAAACAAACCGAACGAACGTGAGAAGGATTACATGTCACTTTTTCAGTGGTAGAAAGAACATGATTCTCAATAAACACTTTCAGCTGGAGGTTATTTAGGATCTGTTGCAACACCGTCATGATGGTCTCATGTTGTGGGTAATTAGTGAGACAGTCAATCAATTGTTGTTTTGTTTTTAAAGCCTTTTTGATTTCCAATGGAGGTGGTAATTGACCGGACTCATCTTGCAATGTTTCGTCCTTCAACCGAGCACTGACATTCTCCAGAATGAGTCTGATGTGAGGAACAGTGACATCAGGCAAATCAGTCTTCTTCTTTGATGACCTTTTCTTTTGATTCTTGGTTACTGAAGTGGAAGCCTCAGTTTGACTGTTCTTGGATTTCAATAGCTGAAGAACTTGCTTTACAGAATTATAGTGTTCAGCTTTAAGGACTTTCACTTCCTTTGGGGTATGTTTCTTCTTCTTACTTTTAATAAGGTCAACTGAAGATGATGGCAACCGTTTCTTCTCGTGAGAAGAAGAGCCTTGTTCACCTGATTGTTGAGACATGTGTTGTAAAGTGGTAAGAGAAAAGAACTTGAGTTTTTTTTTTCTGAAAATGTTGGTAAAAAATACCGCTCGAACGTCAAACCAAAATGCCACGGTCAGTCTATTCTCACAAGAATATGGTTTCTGCTCGTGCTCTTGAGCGAGCTATTTTGAACTCCAACATGGAATACTCGAGTATTAGAGTTGGCAGAATGACCATTCCACAACAACATGCCAATGTATCATCATCGGAAGCTGTTGCTCCTTCTTCTTCACATCATCACCCTCTCGCGACCAATAATATATTACACAATACTCAGCCTCCACCATCAAGCGTTTCAAATTCTTCAATGCTTGGTAATCATGACAGACCACCACCACCTCCAACCTTGAACGACGGAGAAGGGGGAGAAGGAAACAACTCGGATGGATTTCTTCACACCATGGTGAATGATTTAGAAAGCAATGAGAGCTTTGTAGAGTTTTTTGAAGTGTTTCAAAAACAAGCACTGGTCATGATTATGAATCAAATTCCCAACTCACGTACTCCAATATCCACTCATTCCAGTAAGACTTTGGGAGAATTAATATTTGATATGCTACAATTATATGTCAAATTTAAGGCTAGCAAAGTAATGATGAATGAAATTTTCAGAATCTTGAATGCACTTCTTCCAGATACTTGTAAGTTGCCTTTCAATGTCAATACCTTACTCAAAAAGATTATTAATGTATCCAAGCAATATCAAAAAGTATATCATTGCTGTGATCAAGTATGTGAAGCTTCTAATCATTGCTGTTCCAAATGTGGAATGGATTGTTCTAATAGTTTTTTCTGGAGTAAATCTATTGAAACTTGCACTTCAGAAATGGTGGACTTGATTGGATTGAGAAATTTTAAAGCTCATTGCACTGTTCAACCAAATATCGATGAAATTAATGACTGTATAGACTCGATTGAATATGAACGAGTTGTGAGAGGCTGGAAAGAACCGGATGCCGTGTGTATTACCCTCATTGGTGGAGGTGATTCAGGTTCTGTTAGCAAAAGCAGCAGAGTGTGCTTCCTCTTGTAGCGTGGATTACTGAACTGTCATTGCAATATAGATATTCATTTCCACTCACCATGCTGCTTGCATATAGCAACAAACCCATTCCATTCAATACTCTGCTTGATCGATTTATTTCCGAATTATTGATATTGAATCAGGGAAAGGAATGTAAAACAGAACAAGGTGTGATATATCGTCTCAAGGCAAGATTGTTCACCTTTCTAGTAGATCTTGATGCGTGTTACGATTTATTGTGCATGACCAATCATGCTGGAACTTCAAGTTGTCGATGGTGTAAAAAGAATGGTAGAAAGATTCAAGACCGAACCATTTACAGCTCGGGTGGAAATGAACAGGAACGGGTTTGGTCTGAAATTGTTGCAAATTACAAATTAATGCTAAAGGGAGAGATTCAACAATTTGATGGTGTTAAAGGCTTGTCCATACTGGTGAGACTACCATACTTTACATGGACCACACAGATTGCTTGTGATTTGTTACATAATTTACTTGAAGGCCTTTGTGCAAAATTGTTGAACTTTATCAAAAACAAGTACAATATTGATACTATTAACAGTAAGTTAAGAACTTTTACTTGATAAACTACTAAAAGAACGATAGACAAGCTATATGAAATCAAAACACCTTCGTTCTATCATCGAAGAGTCCGTGGATTGGATGAATTGAGTTATTTCAAAGCAATTGAATATTATATAATATTTTCATATTGTATTGAGGTTTTTCAGGATGAAATATCAGACAAACACTATCACATTCTCAATAGACTTTCTACTTTTATACGCACCATCATGCATCCAGTAGTGAGAGGCCTTGAAGTTCTATACAGTATGAAAAAGGAAATTTTTGAAATATTACAAGCCATCGAGACAGATTTTGACATTATTATTTTAACACTGGCTTCACATACAGTCTTTCATTTTCCTCTGTAAGTCGGCTAAATGATATAGCTCATTTTCACATATTATCCATCATGTAATTATTTTTATATATTATCCATCATGTAAACAGTTCTATTTTCTATCTTGGACCTCTATGGTGTACGAGTACTTTTATGCTCGAAGATCTAGCTGGATCCATCACTAGCTCTGTTCAAGGAGGAAAGAATAACATGGACCACAAAGCACTGGAGAACTTTTCATTACATCAAGTCATTTCCATGAAACGAGTAAGAACTTTTCATTTTCAATTTGAAAAGGGTGATTATTTTCATGCTCAAGAATTTCTCGTGTTAAAAGTTTAGACTCGAATCAAGTCAAAATATTGGACGAAATGCCAAAAAAAGCCATACCCTGTTTCCAAGTTTGTGGTAAATTTAAACAAGTTCATAGGAATGACTTGTTCTTGATTTAAACAATACCAAGTTTATTCACGTGATTGTGATGAGTATGAAAATTTTTTCAAAGACTCAACCAAACTCATTAATTGTTACAATCGAACATTCCTACCCTTCACTACATTCAGAACAATTCATGAATCAAGGTAAGTTGGTATTACTTGACCCAATTGAACACAAGGTGTCATGGTCATCGTCAAGGTAAGCATTGAATCATTGGTGATCAGCTTATTTGAAAAGATGATACGATGATTGATAGCGAGAAATTATAATTACACTGAATTAGAAGTGGATTACTCAAGCCTTCCATGGATTACTATGAAATACGATATTGGTGATTTTCATTCCAATGAGTGTCTTATCCGTAGACTAATTTCAATACCATAGTATGATTTGGAGACTGATTTTAATTCAACCCAGAGTCAGATTTGGATACTGATTTCAATTCAACTCAGAGTCTAATTTAGGTACTGACTTTACTTCAAATCAGTCCCTTATTCAGAAACTGATTTCACTTCAAATCAATCCCTTATTTTTCAACTGATTCATCAATAAATTTTTCTTACTGAATTCGATGAAATATTTCAATGCTTATTTAAATAAAATCAGATATCGATTTAAGTGAACTGCAGATTTGGAACAGAGCAGAGTAAACTTAGTAGGGATTAAATTCAAAAATCCGCTGACTTTTCGACTAACTTTAAAATTTTCAGTTTTCAAACACCAACTCATTTACTTGGAAAGTCAGTGAAAAATACTGCAGAATTTCGAGTGCTCGGGCAGTTGGTTAATTTCTCTTTTTTTTTATACCCTTAATCATTTACCTTCCAAAATGAATCTTATTCAGTCGAATTAACTAATCGAATTTCACCAGGTGATAGCACTCAATTCTGAATTTATCCTCTGTCTTAAGATACACATATAAATCAGAGTCATCCATCGATGAAGGAACATTAAATCCTTTCTTGGGTATCAATTAATGGTTAATGGTGAGACATTGAATGTTTCAATATTTTCCAAAGCTTTTGCCAATCATTTAAACCCTTTTTCTGTTTGCAGAATTGGCTAACAATTCCAACACTTTCTAACATCATGTTCTCTACAAAGAGCGATTGACCTTTCATTATTTTGCAAGGTTACAAAAAAAATGGGACAATTCACATCATCATCACAGAACTCTTCGGCTCCTCGAGTGGAAGAAGTCTTACAATCCGAATCTCAACTATTTTATTATAGGGATTTCCAGGCTCATGCAAATTGTGCTGAAAAGATTCGGCAATTTAAAGCATTGAACAAATTGATTGATCTCAGAGAACATGTGGAGTCCGATGGATCTGGAAATGATCCCTACCAAACTTACCACAATCGAAAAGTGAATAATTTATCATCGGAAGAGAAACGAAAGCATGAGAAAAAGTACAACTCTCTCAAAGATATGATTTTGGAAAATGCGTGTGTCATGTGCCAAGTTTTTGCTGGCAGACCTGAAGAATCACACAATGAAAGTCAATTAAGATCTTGTATGGGAGATGAATTAGTGGATTGGAGTTTGATGAGGAGGAGCGACACTCAAAATATCAATAATGGAAAAGATACAGAGGAAGAACAAATTTCATCGTATTCAAATTTACCGTCACTGAGTGTGGACTATGATCGAGTGGTTCATTGTTTTCATCAAGATCACACTCTTTCTGAGATGTTTAACAAATTAGCTGCTCACAAAAGAATGTTAACTCAAAAAGGGTCCTTTCAACAATTATTTCCCAACATGGTCGAAGAGTTAAGAAAAAAGAATGATGAAACTCAACTGCAATACAATAATACACAGCATACACCCGAGCTCAACACCAAGTTATTACACGAAATTTCACAGAAACATGCATCCAAAGAGCTTGCTATTCTAGACAGTTGTATCAACAAATCAGATGCACAGATACATCCAGGAGGTCATTCCTGTTTGGGAGAAGCTATAATCTACGCTCATGCCCTGACCACACATTTTTGTAAACGTTCACTCACAAAATGCTTGGAAAAGAAGGTTCCTTCTTTCATTATTGACGGTCTGGAGGACGATGAAGCGTGGAACCAACTCTCTGTTATTGACTTTTCACAATGTCTGACGCCAAAGAATGACAATGACGTCGAATGCTCTCATTGCTTTGATCAGGTCATGGATTTCATGACAGAAACAGTTTTGAAGGAATAAACCATGTTAAAGTTCCAGTCTATATATGCTTATAAGCACTCCTCTTTGTTTCTTTGTTTTCAACAGCATTCAAACTTTAGAAAATCTAACTGGACGTCAACCTAAAGGACTCGTTTGATTCTAAATTTAAACCATTGGTTTTTTTCCAATTTATTGAATAAATTATTATTACGTTCAAAAAAATTTGATTGTAAATACCGTTCATGAATGGCCTTGACTTATTAACGGCCGCTGCAACTCTGGAGCAAGCATCTCCTTCTGTCCGAGGTGGTGGTGGTGTTGTTTTGTCCTCCGATGAACAACAACAACATGCCTCTTCCTCTTCTGCAATTATACCAACATCAAGAAGTACGATCACTTCTCAGCAACCATCATCATCATCATCACTGGTTGTAGTAGTCAATGATGGTACCATAGAAATTGAATGTTATCAGATTCCTTCCGCACATGTCTTGCAAGACAAGTACAATCAGAAACCTGGTCGTAAAACCATGAAGGAAATTCAGAAAGAACAAAACAAAGATGTATTCCAAATGAAAACTAGAGTTTCAAAACTTCTCAAGAATGGATTATTCCTACTCAAGAATTTACGACTGTATTTGCATGTCGAGAGTGGTTTTTTATATCCTGGAATATCGACTCGGGATGGAGATTTGTTTTTTCCGGTTGATAAGAGTCAACTCTTGCAAGCAATCAAAATTGTTGCACCAGATATTGAAGATGAGAATTTACCACAATATCATGTCAATGTGAATGGAAAGGGATTTAAATTGAATGGAGTCAAATACTCCAAGCAAGATGTGGTCTCATTGATTGTACTTTTGAAAAACTCGTCCACCAATTATGAAGAATCTTTTAAGAACAGAGAACGAAAGTTAATTCTGCTCTCACCACCAACGTATTATCCTCGATTGTGTGGTGAGAATGATCCCAGAGCGATCAAATTGAAGCAAAAGATTCAACAACAAGAAAAGAATAATGCCACCACATCATCACTTGGTGATGAACGAGTAACATCCACATCAAAGAGAAAACATGGCAAGGGCACGAGTAGTAGTACAGAAAGTAGTAGTGGTGATGGCAGTGGTAGTGACTCAGAGATGAGCCATGAATTGATGATTTCCGAAATTCCTCATCCACATTCACCACCAGCGATCGTTTTGTCACAAGATGCTGTTTCTGGTACCACCACACAAGAACCACCAAAGAAGAAAAAGAAGCAATCAAATACATCACCGATGAGCAAGACAAAAAGACTGGAAATAATGAATACCGTCTCAGAAAATGATGAGGAGACACACACAGCAAACTCTTCCGTGCAATCTCCATTAATGCTTGTAGAAGATAAGTTGAATGAAATTGTGAGTGTTTCACACTCTTGTGATTCTGACTTGCAACGATTAATTTCATATCTGTATCAGCAGTCGCTCATTTCAGAAACGTCAACTCAAACCTATTGTAACAATAATCATCTAACCTTGGAGGAACTTGTTGAGAAAACGCCTTTATCTTCCTCGACCATCTCATTGGAATCATTAATTGAATCATGCAACAGTTTAGATAAGGATTTCCTCGCTTTGATGGGTGAACTCATGGAACGTGAGTTGTTGCCGTGGATGTACGGATGGCAACATTATCTTCGACGATCGTATGACTATGCTCTTGAGAAAGATCCTACCATTATCTACAAATTCTTGGATATGCATCGTGAACTTTTCGGAAATAATCCCAATTACAAAATAAAAGATAAAATTTGATCAAATTTCGTCATATGAGCGAGTTGTTGACAGTTAAAATCAAAAAGAGTGGAATATAAAGCTGAAGGGAAATTGGGATTGCACATAATGACATTATATAAACATATTTTGTTTGAATTGACCAAACCTACTCTTAAACCCTTAAAAAAACATTGTTCTTGGTTTGGACGGGTTGATTTGTTGGGTTATTGTAGTTGTGGTTTTGGTTTGGGTTGTAGTTTGGGTTGTTGTTTGGGTTTTAAGTAGTTATTGAGATCAGACTCCCAAAAAAAGTATATGTTTGTATTCCATTATCTGTCACCTCAGGGAAATTCAAGCTAAGGGGGCTCAGACTTTTTTATGATGTTGTATTCCAAAAGGTTTTCCTTAATCAAATTTATTTGTTAATTTCACACATATCCTCTAATAAGAATCTCACAGACATCTTTTGCAACATCCTCTTCCACATAATTAACCTGAATTCACTTAACCTTCAACAGCAACAGCTGTATTTGGTGATCGTCGTCTTTTCACCGCGAAATACACCACCACCACTAAACCCACCACCAACACTCCCAACATGGCTGCAAACACAATTCCAACAATAACTTCATCTGAAAGATCTGAAAGAGGCTCCTCCTTGGGAGGAAAATCAGTGGTATAGAAACACGAAGGGTCCGTTGTTGGATCCACTTCCTCAAACATATCCTTCGGATAAGTCATTAAAAGAGCAAAAGGTTGTTTTGTTCGATTTTCGTCAAAGAGTGAAGTCACATATACGGCAACAGTCACGAAGACGGAATGATCTTTCAAGGATGAAGAGGGTAATTCTTCCACCACCACTCTTTCCACATTGTTCGTCGTGTCCACTCGGTCTCCATAATTTCCAGCAATCACAGAGAGTGTTGAAATATTGCCTCTGCTGATCACATAGGTATTGACGAATAAATCCAAATCACTCAAAAGTTGAGGCACAACCGCAATACTTCCTGGAAAATCATACCATGCAAGAGTGGCCTTAAAAAGGGTGAAGTTTGAAAGCTCTTGTTTTCTCTTGAAACATAATTGGAGAGACTGTGATCTGGTTTTAAAGGATTTTTCTTTGATAAGAATTGTCAAGGGAATACCATCTTGATTTTGTAACAAACTTCCCAAATAAACTCTTCCAAAACCTTCGTACGAGTTTGGGCTTCCCAAATTTGAGAGTTTTAATCGTCGATTCTTGTCGTAGGAATAAGCTACAGTTCCTGTCATGGGAATGGAGCTGTGGACGAGAGCTGCTTTCAATAAAGGACCTGATGGTTTCGAAAGGTTCATCTTGGTTTGGAAAAATTCTCTCAATAAAGCAGCGGCTCCAGCAACTAATGCAGTGGCCACGGAGGTTCCTTTCGAAATGTCACATACAGAATATTATTGTAGATGATCATCCATGGTTGAATATATCATTGAATGGAATATTAAATGTGAATGTTAAAAGTGAAAAGAAATGTATCAACAGTGAATTCAATAATACAAACCGTCAAATGTCATGAGAGCAGCTGAATTTCCAAGAGATGGAGAGTTGGTTCCACATTGATCGGTAATTGTTTTACCATCGGAATGAGCACTCACTACATTGTAGCCAATTCCTGTCACGTCAGGTTTGATACGATTACCAACTGCGGAACCTCTTGATGAGACTAAAAGATTAAATGATGACAAAATGATTCAAAAATCGAAAGGGTATGACTTACAGTAAGCCAAATTGAATTCATTGTAGATGGATGGATTGCTGGTATATTCTTCCTCCACTTTAGATGGGCAGCAGAAACTATGAACTGTAAATGTCCAACCATTAATTTTCCAAAAATGGTTAAAAATGAATTCCAAAGATTCCATTGGAATCACTTAAATTTAAGATAAGTTTAAACTTACTAAAATATTGATCTTTTCCAGAATAGGCGCAACATTCATCAGGGGTTGAGAACGGTAATTTAGCAAGTCGAATTTTGTTTTTAAAATCTTCAAAATAAACTGATTCCTTGAAAGCATCATTTGAGGTCATACTTGCGCCCACAGAGATTGCATTCTTTGACGTTGCAGGAGATCCAATATTTCCTTTCGAAGAAATTTCTCCTGAATTTCCCTAAAAGTGACGTCAACAATGGTTCAATAATGAACATTTTCAAAAGTCACACTTACCTGTGCAAAAAGAATGACACTATCTTGATAAAGCCACAAAGTTAGGTCTACATCATGGCATCGAGAGGTATATTGATTAGAAACAGAACAACAAGTGTCGCTTCCAAATAATGCTCGACAAGTGTCATCTGTCACGCTCTGTCCAGCTCTATAACCATCCATCGTATCTCTCCACACACAATCTTTACAATCGTAACTACATGAAAAATAATCCTCAGGACTGTTACCCCATGAATTTGAAAAGATTCTTGCTCCTTTTTCATGGGCAGGAATGAAAACGGAAAAATGATACGAAGGAGGAATCCAATTTTTTGGATTTCCTGTTTGTTGTGTATCTGTAAAATAAAGTCTTGCATTTGGAGCAATTCCATGATATTCCTTAATTGGATTGACACTCGAATTGAGAACATTATTTTGAATACTTCCACAAATAGAACCAGCAAGGTGAGTTCCATGTCCATCCACTTCGTCTTCCATCCGTCTTGATGACACCATTTTCAGTATAAACAAGCACCGTATTGTATCCAACAATTTTGCGATGATTCATGTTGACACTGTCAGTTTTCACAATGAGATTGTTTACATCATGAAATAAACAATTGTCCCAATCAATTCCTGAATCAGCGAGTCCAACAATTTGTCCATTTCCGAAAATTCCCATATCATAGAATGGAGTGGCAGACATTCCAACACTTGGAGAAGGACCAAATCCTTGCATCATGACACTTGCTTTCTTATTCATCCATTGATGTTCCTCAAGTTTTCTTTCAATGAAATGAACATGTGCAAATTCTTTCAAAATTTCACCCACATGTTGAGCTACGAGTGGAGAGAAACTCATTTCCAGTTTATCCTTTGAAGAAACATGAATTTGAGAAATGATCTTCATTGGAGAAACATGTTTGTTCCATTCTTGTTGTTGTTCTTGTTGTTTGGATAACCATTCTGAGAATTTGGAATTTAATTCATTGGCAATGAGATGAGCTTCTTCGAGTTCTTGATTGACGAGAACGGCATCGAGAGATGGAAGAATGGTGATGATGATGTTTATCATGTTGTTGTTGTTATTTTCCATAGGATTAAAAGTTGAAGTAAATGTCTGGTTTTGGTCTTTTAAAGTGTTCAGTTGAAGATGAGCGAGTTGTTGAATTTTATGAAAATGCAAAGCACTTTTGAATCTAGGTTCATATTCAGCAATCCATTCAATTGCTTTGTTGGAAGATGACAATGAGGAAACGTGTGAAATGATTTCTGACGTTTTGGCCACCACGGCAAAGACATTTGAAAATCCCAAAGGATGTCCCGATTTCCTCACCATGGATTGAATCCTTTCTTCAATACTTGTTGTATCCGTTAATGATGCGTTGTGTTTATCGTCATTTGTTTTGGATTCATTTGTTAATTTCTTCAACTTGACAATAAACTGACTTCGAGGTTCATCTAAAAGTTTCACAATTTGACCATGTTCTTTCTTTTGTTGTTGTTCGCAAGATTCAAACCACTCACAGAAAAGGAATGAACTGTGTATGCAATCGATTCAATTGGTTCATTAAATTATTTTCATGAGAGAGTGGAAAGGAACGAGTCTCTTGTTCAGTGGAAGAAGATGGATCACGATTATCTTCATGAATGAGCGAAACGAAGGGAATGGCTTGGATGGATGATGAAGAAGACAATGCATGAACATGATTGACACATTCGTTGTTTCCTAATAATAGCATACACGTCATGATGAAGAGTAGCAATCGGAGAAGAAGAAATTGAATCCCCAATCGTTGGTTTTGAGGTGAGGACATGTCGAGTGGAGTGGTGGACATCAATAGGTGTGAATGTTTTTTTGTCTTTTTTGCGAGATGGAGCACACAAGGATCACTTGTTTAAATAAGAAGATTTGGTAATTGCGATTCGGTCCAAATTGAGGAGGAGGGAGTGAACAGTCTCACACAAAGAAACAATGAAAAACACTCTGACAAAAGTATTTCGATGCTTTGAATTTCAATGACAATCATCAATGACATCTCTCTACACGCGGTCATCATCATCATGATTAGTCTCATTTCTTCATCAGCCCAGAGTAGGTGAATGATCAATGCAAGTCCACCAATGACATCCATCTTAATCTTCGATCATTCATATAGGAAGAGATCTGGAGAAGACAACCATGAAAGTTACTTACGAGTCCAAATGAATTGTCCGATATTACCAAGAGAGCAAAGTATAAGACCTTCATTTTTTTGATCATCATTTAATGAACATTTACAGCTCATTTCATTCAAAATGTCTCACTTTTTTACCCTCATAAATGAACATTAACGGATTTGGAAATAGATGATAAACATATTCCATTTGTGATGAATTCATTTTTTTTGCTAAAATGGTCCCAAAACTGAGTTGCGCTTGATACCTACCACCATTTATAAATATCTAAAAGTGCCTTCTTGCTTTTCAGATCGAAAAAAAAAGAAAAAAAAAGAAATATCAAAAAAAATGTTACCTGCCGTGTTCAGGAGTTTCTCTACAAGTACGTTGTCAAGACAACTCTATTGTAATAAACTAGGCAGTAAGAAGAAATTTTAAAAAATTTGCAGTGTGATGGAGTCGATGCAAATCTTATTTGTTCACATCCAATCTAGATGTATACGCGAAATGTGACATATGCGACAGAATAAATAACCCGTTCTATCAACCAATTTATTTTACAACAAATTTCTTTCTTAAAAAAAATGTTACCTGCCGTTATTCCTTCTTCGGAATTAAAAGCCAAAAAACGAAAGGAAACACATGCAACTTTTTCTTCTTCTTTATCAGCGGCGACGACAACTACGACGACGACTACGACGACTATTATTGGCAACGGTCATGAGGATCCCATTTGGGGAAACATCTCTTTCATCACATTGGAATGTTATCATGTACCGTCGAGTCATGTGGTCCAAGACGCTTGCAACAAGAAAGCGGAACGTAGTAATCGAGAAGAAATCATGATTTCCAATCCGTCCTCTTCCGGTTATCGATTTGAGATGAAGACTCGAGTGCCAAAAAAGACACAAAACTTTAAACAAATCATCAAACAACTGCGGATTTATTGGGTTGTTGGAACTGAGGACTTTTATCCAGGAATAACATTTGGAACTGAATTATTCTTTCCAAACAATAGAGATGAATTTATACAAATTATTAAAACACATGTGGACGATTGGACAACGAGTGATCGAGTGAAAAAATATCATGTAAAAGTGAATGGAAAGAATTTTATATTACAAGGATTAGACAAGGTATTTAAAGCGAATAAGAGCTATCCATTACATGAAATGTTGGATCACACCTCGAAGAACCATGTGGAATCGTTTAAAGGGAGAGATTTGTACAAAATGTATCTTGATTATGATGATCTTTCAATTTTGAAAGTTGATCTCATTCAATCAAATGTACTTAAAACAAATGTACAATTTCTTGAGGAGGATGGTGACACTGACAGTGAACTTTCCATAGACCGTCCATCTAAAGAAAAAAAAGAAATGACTACAAAAAAGAAAAAACTATCAACGTCAATTACAAAACTCATTGCCTCTTCAGAATGTGAGGACGAATCGTTCATTCAATTAGTGGCTTCACTTGTGAAATATGAAAATGTTCCAAAAGACGGCATTGGAAAATACGGCACCAAGATTGAATTGTTAATTGGCCAAGAACTACCACGGGCAGCAGAAATTATTGAAAACTCTACTTGTGTTGACTATGAATTTCTCAAATTGGCAATTGAATTAAGAATGAACGATCTGGTGCCATTACATCAATTCTATAGCTACGTTGCTAAATGCTTTATTCCTTCTCAATATGAAGACAATCGAAATTTATGGTATTCATGTGATTCAAATCTGAAAATGACGTGGTAAATATGCTGGATCGAAAAGGACAAACGAAAAACTGCATCGATTTATGTAAGAAGACTGAATGCCATTGACATCGTTAAGAAAAGAGTGGGACGACGCTTTGCATCAAACTAAATTTGAGAAATCCACAATGACCAAGTGCAGTCAGAATTACTCTAAAGGTTGTTGTTGAGCAAAAAGTAACATGCTTCAAATGAGAGAAAATTGTGTACTTTATTTTCAGAGAAATTTTGGAATTCTTCATTTAGGAAATAATGCAACGCCATTAATGACAAACTTTTTGAGACCTTGAAACTCATGATGAAAAAAGAAAAGAAAAACCGACCCTTTGTTAGTGATTGTTTGGAAATTCTTGGACTGACATGAGGAAGAAATAATAGATTATTTAAAGCCACTCGAGCAATATTATTATTCAAAGATCCCTATTCGAAATTATAACCAGATTCAACCACCTCGACTATTTGAAAGTGCAGGTCACAAAAAGAAAATGATGTTTGGCTCTCCGACCAATCAAAAGCATTCTCGGAGAAAAAAATCCAGCAATAGCACAGAAGTTTACAAAACATCATTTTCCTTGCACCTTCGCTTGATCAAGCCAATTCCCAGAGGGACTGGTAATCTCTAGTGAAAAGATCTAGCCATGTTTTGGGTGAAGGCTTTCGAAAAGGTACAAGCGAGCAAGAAAATGAACTACTTGAATCATGCCAGAGATTTTATGTCATGCAACATGACCGTCCCAGCCTCAACACCTTGTAGCCATCATTGGGTGCAAAATCAATGCAAAGTCATTGTCACCAAATAATTCACCAGTCTCGCTTGATGATCTGGGCACAAATTATTTGAAGTTTTTCAATTTTGATTTGAAAAAAATTCCTCTCCATCATCGGCCCACTTTTTCCTCTTCATCATCATCATCACTAAAACAACAAGATGCGTATTGAAACATGTTCAGTGTCGGGTGCTCCAGTATACCCAGGACACGGTATCACCTTTGTGAGAAACGACGGCAAAGTATTTAAATTCTCTTCCAAGAAGGCTAGAAGACTCTTTGAAAGACGAGTAAATCCTAACCGACTGCGATGGACCAAAGCCTACCGAAGAAAGAACGGAAAGGAATTATCAGTGGATAGTACATTTGAATTTGAAAAGAAGAGAAATGTTCCAGTCAAATACGACAGAGAATTGTATGCCAAGACGATCCATGCCATCAAGAGAGTCTCCGAAGTGCAAGAACAACGACAACGTTCCTACTATTTCAAGAGAATGGTTCCTTCTCTCAAGGTTAGAAAGATGCAAGTGGCTAGAGAGTTGAAGACGAATATTGATTTAATTTATGCTCCTGTTTCTGCTAAACGATTTGCTGAGATGCAAGAACTCAAGGCTAACCAAGATGTTATGATGGAGAATGAAATGAAATTGCAGAACACATACTCCTCTAAATCTAAGAAGAAGCATCAACAAGACGACGATGATGTTGAAATTGAGGATAACGAATAAATTTAGGATCACATGAGACAGGCATGGACCGATGAATTTAGCTACTCTCAAGAACCTTCATCAAACGTCTGCTACCAGCCGATGAATCGTTGAATGTGAACTGTTTCACATCTAGAGATTATCAGCCTCTTATTGATATGTTCTACATGTTGCAATCTCTTAGATTTAATAAAGAAATGGTTGGCACATTTCATGACAAATTTTCACATAATCCTCATAGAGACTTTTGTTGAGAGCAGCGGAAGAGGGAGTGGCCACCTTCAAATCATCAAAATACTGACCTGATTGGTGTTCCACTTGTTTCGAAAATGCCAAATGAATTGTGTTTTGTGATCCTTGTTTGGTATTTTTGAAAAACAAGTATTCAATCAGTAAGAAACCTTTGGAAAGAATAAAAGGTAAAGATCCAGCAAATTGTGTTGAGAAGGCGCTTTGAATAGCACCAGGATGACAGCAATTAATGGTGACCTTACTTTTTGGATTTTTCTTAATTTTCTCCTCATGAAAATAATAAGTTTGATAAATATTGCACAACTTGGTCAATCCATATTGCTTGTTCACTTCAAAGGTTGAAAGGAAATTTTGGAGAAAATTTCGTGTCCTTGGCTCTTTCACATATTGAGCCAACGAATATGAAGGTCGGTTGGTGGTTGATGTGATATCACTTTTCGACTTTTCAGCTGATGACACAATGAAATCACTCTCGCTCACAAAATGATGAGCATTTGACGCCACATTCACAACTCGAGCCCCATTCACATTACTCTCCAAATTATGCCACAATAATTCTGTCAACAAGTGATGTCCAAGAACATTTCTCTGAAACATATTTTCCACATGAGACTCTCTAAAAGTAATTTCGGTCAATAAACTTCCAGCATTATTGATCAAAACATCCAAGACATGACCACTTTTCAAAAATTCATCAGCACATTTCTTAACGCTTTCCATTTCATCAAGATTTAACTTTAAGAAATGTAATTCTCCTTTTAAATCATTCAAGTGATTATTCTCAATCATTTCTTTCATGACTCGTCGAGTTTTTTCTTCATTCCGACAAGCCATAAATACTCTCATTCCATGTCTATAAAATTCTTCAGCACAAAATCTTCCAATCCCATCGGAACATCCTGTAATGAGAACATTTATTTTGTTATTGTTGTTATTGTTAGGATGGATGAATAATTCGGAAAGAGCATTTGTGGTGGGACCATTGATCACATAGATCCGTAATAGATAATAAAAAATTAAAATAAAAAAAAGGATGAGAAAAAGACTGGCAATCCAAAGATGACTCATTTTTTCTTTTCCTTTTTCGAAAAGTTTAATCGAATGAGAAGAATTTTAAATCATAAATAGTATTTAATAATATTTTAATTGTAAATTTAATTTTTTACAATATTGATGGATGGTGTGAACATCCATTCTGATCGTCAACCTTTCAAAAAGCGTTTTTCTCTATCTCTTCTCGAACAGTCTTTTTATTTCCAAACTTATCCAAAGGTTTCTTTATTGTAGAAACAAATTCCAAAAGTTTTTTCAAAAAAAACAACAAAACGTCCGGCAATCATTCGGATACAACACACAAACACTGCCACCACCACAATTAATCACATTCGTCTTGTTGATTCTCTTCATCAAATTATCAATTTTTCAAATTATTTACAAAATGCTCACTCAACGGAATGCAACAAATATTTCAACCAATAACTTGTCATCATCTCTGAATACAAAATTGAGTAATGACGGTCATGGTGAGGATGAGGAGAATGGAATTGATCTTTCGGAGCGTGATGCTCACAGAGAGACTTGTTTTGACAGTAAAGAACCAATCATGCCAAATGTCAATTTGGGTGGCACTTCGTATTTTCAACGATTTAAACTTGTGGCGAGAAGAGTGTTGGCAAATTATGGATGTCTAAAGCCAGATTCAAGCAAAACTGAATCTACGGGTTTAATCTTCCGAGATTCAAACTTTCCATTTTGTAAAATACTTTGTGTGACAATTCTTGGTGTTTTTATTGCCTTTACCATTTTTGGCTATTTGACATTTGTTGTGACAAGAAATTGGCTCATCAATTCTGCTCCTGATTTTCTTGTCACACAACTCGTTCGAAAGGGAATTTTAAAACATTTGTTACATCAAGTCATTGATCGAGTCTATTTATATGATCTCGAAAAGAATGAACCAAAAATGTTTTTAGGAATGGATACTTCACACGACGGAGAATTCACAGCACTCGTTCGTCACATGCTCAACAATGAAGATTTTTATAATTATGAAACTTTTACTACTAGTAGTGGGAAGAATGAAATTCGTCACACGGTGGTCGATATTGGAGCTCATGATTGTCTCAGTGGTTCTAATTCATTTAATTTCATCAAAATGGGATTTGATGCAATTTTAGTGGAACCTTTTCCAAATAATATGAAATTATGTAAATATAATTTAGAGAGAGCCAGAAAATCATTTGCTGGAGACAAGGGAGCTGTGAGAATGAAACAGAGAATAGAATTTGTCGAAGCTGCAATTACTTCACAAGATGGAATGGCTGTGTTAGGAAATCGAGATGAAAGTGACGCTTGGGGAATGCAATTCTTTGTCGAGAATAAGAAATCATCATTGAATCTTCCCTCTTCTCAACCACAAGATGAGAAATTATTGAAAGATTCCAATGATGGAAAGAGAGAGGGTGGTATTCTAGTCAAGACCATGACATTTTCAACCTTTGCAGCTCAATGTAATCTTCCAAAGAAATTCACATTATTATCCATCGATGCAGAAGGTCAAGATGTCAACATTTTATTGGAAATGATGAAAAGTGGTTATCGACCCTTGTATTTAATTTATGAACGTTTACATGGAACTGGTTTGAAAGTAGAAGGAATGGCCAAACATGGTTATAAATTGGTGGCAGAGAGAGGATGGAACCAAATTTATGTCTATCGAGGAGTTGGTGGTGGTGGTGGTGTTGATGGAAAGTAAAGTTTTTATGGTGAATGAGAATTGTTGGATTGTTGATATGAACATGTTCTGTTCTCATCGGCAATAGTTGTCTCATATTGAGGCAATCCTTGAGAGCGTGTTGCATGATGTAACACTGCATTCACAAATGTACATTTGGAAGGAACTGAAATACAACAAATTTTAAAGAAGAGGTTTTTACGTAAAAAAAAGATGACATCCTGCGAGACTCAGTGTGTCACTACTACTGCTTCCGCGACCGCATTCCATGACCACCACAATATGATCAGTTGTTGAAATCTTCTTCCAATCGGTTTTCATTGACGAAACCAAACTCGCAAGATCATCCATCAATGAACCCATCAACCTCATTGACAGCTCAACAACAACAACAACCACTCAAGATTTCACTCACTGGAGCGTTTGGTGTTGGAAAGACTCTTTGGATCTCACGCATGGTCCAACAACAAGTAGGTTTTCCAGCCAATCTGAATCCCTATTGGAAGGTTGGTTGTGAACGATTATGGATCAAGATGCTTGCTCAACAGGAACAATATTGATCATATTCCTCATCGGAAGCACTTGCTGTTCAATTATGGGACACGGATGGTGAAGAACGATTCTCCAGAAAGAATCTTGCTCTTCGGAACTACCCTGCATCGTATCTCATTAACTTGTGTTTCGATATGAACGATCGAAAAACATTACATTGGCTAAAAGAAGAATACGAAACGATTCAAAAGATGGCAAAGAGTGAACACTTAGGCATGTGTGGCTGAGCAGAAAGCTCCCACATTGGTATTGGTTGGATTTAATCGATGCTCCCTCTGCTGGGATGGGAAGACGTGACAATGCGGAGAGAAAAATCTCTTCCGAAGAAAGTGAGGAATTTTCTAAGAAGTTTAAGGCACCCTTTGTGGAAGTGTGTTCGCCCAGGTTTTCTCATGTGAATGCCATGTTGATCTATGTGGCATTGAGAATTTACATGAGTGAATATAGAAACCTCTAGGTGTTCAATCTCGAATGAAACATGATGGAAAATGGTGATTCATCCTTATAAGGGGTTTCACTCGAACAACAAAACATGACAGAAAATCATGATCATCCTTAAATAAATGTAATTACTAATCAACTATTAGAGGACAAGATGTTATTTTCTTTTCTTAGAAGCAGGTTTCTTGGAAGTTGGTTCTTTTCGTTTTTGAGAGGAACTGTTGCCTTGTTTTTTCTTTGTTACAGTAGTTTCATCTTGATCTTCCTCTTTCTGTGAAGGATGATCCTCATTCTGATCATTACTCTCTTCTTCTTGTTCATTCGAATCATTATCTTTGAAATTCTCTCTCTCTTCAATTCCCTTCTCAAAAATACTCAACACTTTCTTTGCACTCAAATCCTTATCCTTAATTTCCAACATGACATCAAAATCAATCCATTGATCCTTGTTTGGATCTTTACATTTCATTAAGCGTTGGCAAATGATTTTCCGAAAGTGTTGAACCTTAATGGAGCTTCGATGTTTTCCTACACGGGAGTTTGGCTCTTGATCCGAGTAGTCAATCATGGGAGGACCATCTCGTTCTGCCTTCCATGTGGCTGCAGCCTTTAGGAAAGCCTTTTCCAAACTCTCTCCACTGGTATTCAAACATTCATGATGCAAGGTATCCAAAAGAATGGGAATCCCACATTGTTCATGGACCCATAGAACATCTTCCAAACTATAGATATGATCATCATTCTCCAAAACCAAACGAGCCTTGATGGAAGTGCTCAAACGAGTGTTGTAACGATCCACAAAACGTTGCATACTCTTTCTCTTATCATCGTAACGACCTCCGAGATGAATTTGAAATTTGTGAGTCGTGTCGAGTTGCATGGCATCCATCAGATCGGCATGATATTGTAATTCTTGTAAGGATTTTTCAAAGATTTCTTCATCGGGAGAATTGAGCAAGACAAATTGATCGGGATGCATACTGATGCGCATTCCATAGGTTTTCACGAGTTGTCCAATTTCAGCCAACTCGTTTTTGAAATGTTCTCTCCAATTGAAGGATTCAGTAAATTGGGGGTCTCGTACCTTGGAATGTGAGGCGAAAGGAACAAATTCACTTCCAATTCGAAAGAATAGCAATCGATGTTCAGAATTGAATTTCAGTATTTGTTTCAAATGTTTGAGGTTGTGCTCCAGTTTTTGTTTGATTTTTTCGGGAGTGACGGATTTGAGTCGAGTCGTGTTGGAGGTGGTGAGATTGAGCGTTTTGCACAAACAGGGGTATCCAATTCTCATGATGACGATTTGAATGAGAGATTTGAATGAGAGTCACACAGTTCTTTTTTTCAAGGGTTGCGGTATCCATTCAAAAGAGAGGTGTTGCAAAATTTAAAGCTCTCTGAACTTGAGGTTGGTTATTTAATACTTGAAGTCCGAAACGAACCCAAGTAGAATTCAACAAAACAATGTCCAGCTCATTCAATCAATTGAAAATATCCAACGCTGACCAAAGAAAACGCATGTGTACTGGTCGTGTGGTAGTTGTTGGCACAGCAGATTCAACCTGGGATGCATACTAAATGTTTATTATTATTCTGTTAAGCTGCAATCACTGAGGAGCCACCAGAACCCCACTCTTGAACGATTGAAGTAAGATCCATGAAATACACAGCACCAGTGTTTCCTACACCGTTCAAGGTCTTTCCTGGTGCACCAATAAAGAGAGTATAAGCATTCAAAGATAAGGCCACTGCATAACCAAAATCATCATGAGCTTCAGCGTTGCTAGCCACCAATTTGGCTTTTTCTGTCCAACCATTGGAATCAGGATTTGTGAAAACGTAGACGGCTCCTGCGTAGGTTTTTGTTCCGTCTTCGCTGGTCTTTCGATAGGCTCCCACTACAATGGTGTCGTTCATACTTGAATACGAGACAGAACTTCCAAAGTAGTCGAACTCGGCAGGATCAGACGCTGTAAGCTTTGCTTTTTCTTCGTACATTCCAGACACCTGATTCTTCTCATAAACATAGACTTGGCCAGCATTGGTGGCACCATTCACATTCTTGTACATGACTCCAACAATGATGAGTCTGGCATCTGCAGAGATGGTTACAGTTCGTCCATATTGATCCCATGAGGCTGCGTCGGAGGCTTTTAGTACTTGCAAGAGTGTCCACTGAGAGTTGGATCTTGTATACACAAATACAGCCCCAGCATTGTTGAGAAGAGGTGCTGATGGATCAGTAGAGTTTACATCCATAAATCTGACACCGTCGTAAGACACTCCTTGTGCACCTACCACTAACGTATTGCCGTCGTGTGACAAGGCAACAGTCCATCCAAAGTAGTCATAGTCTTTGGCATCACTCAACATGATTTTGGCTTGTTGAGGCCATGAGGTTCCTGACCTTGTGTAAATGTAGACTGCCCCTGACTCGGTTGCCTTAGTGGTAGGGTGTGTCGTGGCAACAGCTCCTACTGCAACAGTATTCGCGTCACCAGAGATGGCAGTCGCAAACCCAAAGTAATCTTCTGCTTGGGCATCGCTGGCTTGTAACTGTGCCTGTTGATCGAATCTTAGGTTGAGAGCACTGCGATAAAACACATATGCCGAGCCGGCATTGGTCTTCCCTAATACCGTGTTCGAGTCGGCTCCAGCCACAAGGTAACGAGTGTCATAGGACATTCCCAACGATTGCCCGAATTCATCTTGTGCACTGTTATCGCTGCTGCTGGGTCTCCAGTCTATTTTGTAGGTGTTCAAATTCTTGTCGTAAATAAATACATTTCCAGCATAGGATGCTCGTCCATAGGCTGATGCTGCCAGTACGTAACCATCTTGATTACACGCTAATGAATATCCGAGCTGATCGGGTGAGGCTTTCAAATTTTCTTCATCGACAAAGGTAGAAACCGTTATTGTTCTGGTTTGTGCCAAACTAGAGCCTACACTCATAGCAAGGAGGAGTATTGATATCACCGCTAAATTCATTAAATATATATGGATGATCGTCTTGGAAGATGTGATGGATGGTTGATTGGTTTGGTTCTTTAGGCTCAAATGCCTCAATAACGCCCAAGATGAGGATGGTCGGTAAGCCCGAGGTGAGGGTGATGGCATTTTTAAGGATAAGTTTGCGCTTATGGATTTGAAATTGTGTTCGGGCTGGCCAGTATACAGTAATTTCAGTGAAATTGCAGCTTGTATCATTATGTTTACTTCATGGGATCCTTTTCATGGGCCTTGGTGATGGCATCTTGATATTCCTCCTCAGAAATGTATGGCTTAATGAGATCAATTTTACCAATTCTTGCCAAACCTCTTCTCAATAATTTGGCCAATCTGGGATTTCTCTTAATTACATCGGCATAGACCAAATGAGCATTGGAGGAATCACAAAAGTTTTGAGTGACTACAGAACATGTATAATGATATCATTATGTAGCAATTAATGATAGTTTTTTAGAATAATGGAATGAAATTTGGGTAAATTAATTGTAAGAATCATTACGATGAACATGAAATTCTACACATTTGAGTCGATGCATTGACTTACCTGCCATGGTATCATCCAAATTCAATACCATATGCCACCATCCACTTGGAACAAAGATGAGGTCTCCTGGATATTGGACACACTCCCAAGGTCTTCTACCTTGATTGATTGCAGTATAGTACTCGTCGGTAAGCCACTCTAAAGGTTCAGAGCATGGCACGTAACTTGGAATGGGTTTGTTAGAGTCCTTAATTTCAAATTCGTCGTCATAAATCTTGCCAATCTTGCCTTCATGGAGTAACTGTGTTTTGATTTGTTTCTCGAACATTAATCTCTCTTTGATGATTTCCTGCTCTTCGTGTTTCATTTCTTCGATGGCTTCTTCCAAATCTTCGCTTACATGATTTAATGGATAAAAGAGCCATCTTTTTCTTCCACAAATTAATGCATTCCATGCTGAGGTCAAATATGGATCCATGTGAAATTGAGTTCTATCATGCATGTATTCATTCATTCATTCATTCAAAACGTAACACAATATTTGGAAACAAGGACAGATTAAAGGAAAAAAAGGGTGGTAACATTTGGCATGAACAGGCAACGAAATTCGAGAACGATTTGTTTCACAATGAGCGAGCAACATGTTACACCTTCATGAATAATAATCATACATATAACTACGTACCCACTTCTTGCAGGACCAATTACAATCCATCTGAAGAGTGGTCGATCCTCTTCATCGAGGCATTGTTCAAAGAAATCCTCTTTGAAAAATTGAGGAACTTCATATTCCTCAATAAGTCTCTTGTCACGTTCTCCAAACTTGGAGTCAAAAATATAAATTGGATTTTCATCCTTATTGTTATGCATGTAATGATAGTAATTTCTAAATTTGATCTTAATATTTCCCTGTCTTCTTTCATTGTCATATTTGCTGAGATCCTTTCCATCCTTCTTGTCTTGTAAATATTGCTGATAAAGTTCAGAATAATGAGGATACAAGTGTGACACTGCTTGATCGGTCTTGAATTCTACTTCTCCATACTTTTCCAAGAAATTATCAAACTTCCAATTTTCCATTGCCTTCCATGAATTGAGAGCTCCAGTTATGATGACTGGTACTTGATATTTGGCATATCGTTCTACAAATTCTTCGTAGGTAATACTATCGGCTGCAATTCTTTGAATGTGTGAAAAGGGAATTTCAAATTGGTTCATGTCATAACCACTTTTAGACCATCGTGTATAAAGAGTGGACGTATATCCCGTGTAAGGACATGGTGTGTTTGGTCGATGTTTTGCATACCATGTGTGAATGTAGGTATATTTCCAACAAAACTGATACCAAAAGTTGCCTTCAAATTCATTTAACACAAAGAGTCTCCACAACTTGTCATCTTCACTCAACACAAGAAATGTTTTTGAGACAAGTGCTAGTTGACAAATTTCAGCCTTGCTCAAATATGGAATCATCAATTCAATAATACCAATGTCGGGAATGACTGACAAGACACCTAATCCCTTCTCTCTTATAATTGGTTTTAAATGATTGGCCTGTTGATCGTTGACCGGTGTGGATGACGTCGAAGCAGAGGATGTTGATTCCATGTTTTCTTCTTCAATTTGTTTTCGGATTTATAAAGAGACAAAGATAAGAAATTCAAGTCGGACTAAATATATTCAACAACAATGCGATCTAATATATATATTACAAAAGAAAACTGCACAATACAATCAATCGAGAGAAAGATCAAAATAGAGTAGCGGCCAATCGGATGTGATGAGGATGGGCGAATTGGTGATTTTTTTCTTGCTTTCAGTGTGCCATCGTCATCTCTTCTTCCTTTCACAACGATCGATGACAGAAAAGGCCTCTCTCCCAAAAAGTTCATATTTTTGTTTCTGCCTTTTCTGTCATCGATCGTTGTGGCCAAGAAATCTCAACCCAATGCTCGAAGGATATTCACAAAAGTTCGTTTATGGATCATTAGGGGTGATCACTGGTACTGCCACTACTATTACTGCTACTACCACTACGACTGAGGTTGTGGTTCAACAACAAGGCTTGTAAAAGCTTGGGTTTGTGAATGTTCTCAAATCGATGACGAGCTTGCTTGATCAAATTCATGTCTTTCACTCGAGGAAGAGTCAAGAAGGAGGTTTGACCATCCAAATGCAAGGTATTCAAAGCAGTGATGAGAGGCCATTCCTTGATTTCCTTTCCATCATCATTTTGTATCATGCTGCTGCTTTTAATGTTAGGATCATGTTTCAAATCCAAACCATTATTGGGATTCACTGAAAAACGAGGATAATTTGAACTCGTAATGGCCACTCGAATTCGATGTCTCTCATGAAAGATGTAAGCGGTGGGCCACAACTCAATTTCCAACTCGTAGATTTCATTTGGAGTCATCAAGTGCTTCTCCGAACCTCCATGTCTCCATCGCATTCTCTGTATGGAATCACTCAACAACATGGATCTTCCATCAGGTTCTGGATACACATCCGAGAGGCGAACCACAAAATCCGTATCGGTACAATTCGAAGAGACCCTTAATGAAAGTTTCATACTCCCGACCAACATGGTTTCTCGTGTGAAGGGTTCCGAAGTGAAAATGATATTATCGGGACGATTCTCATTCGTTCTCTGATCGTAGGGACCACAGGTTGGAACGAAAAGATTATTACCACCAATGGTTGGAGTGGGATTTCTTGGATCGTACACAAAGGTGAGATTGGTCAGAGGTGATGAAGTGAATGGATGTGGAGAAAGAGTTCGAGAGGAGGTCAAATACAATCGTAAGGGTTCAGTCTCTGGGAAATCGGGAAGAGTGACATAGTAATTTCCGTTTGCATACGAAGAGGGTTCACTATTGGGACCCATCATGTAGAGAGTGATCTTATCAATGAAGGGAAGTGAGGAATATTTGAAGAGATAGGGACACAAGAGTTCTGGATGTAGCAAGAGTTCTTGTTCTGGATAGGAAATTTCTGATTTTTGACAATGACCAGTGGGAACAATGATGAGATAGGTGTCATGAGGTCGATATTGTCTGTACATTTCTTTTAAGAGTGTGGTGTTAGAAATTCATTACCATGTTGTCAACATTTATATGAAGAGCATTTAATAAAATCATTTAAACAGCATTATAAAGCATATAAAAAATTTAAAAGGGCAGGAAAGCAGAATTTTGTTAAAGAGACCGTTCTCGAGTTGCTCTAGTCTTGAATAACTGTACTTACTAAATGCATTCAATGTTCCATCTAAAAACAAATCATTCCATCCAGCTATGTGAAGTGATGGAAACGTGACATTCTCTCCGCTTCATCTCCAAATTCATTAAAATTCAATTCATCATAACCATACATCATCCACAAGAATTATCATACGAAAATATTTGAATGAGTTCTTTTTTCAGTTTGGTTCTGATGGACATTGTTATACTCACCTTCGTAAAGTATTACTCTCCCAAAATTCACTCATCCCTTCATGCTCAATAATAATGGGCAAACTTTGTGGTTGATGCGCTAATCGCTCTAACCACACCGAAAGGTCCTGTTGACGAAAAGCACCATTTTGATAGATAAATTTATGAACATTGGCTGTTCCTACGACCAAACATTGTCCCGCCAAATATGGAGATTTCACACGAGGCAGAAAATAGGAACTGATGGCATCTGCACTCGCTCCATAACTGAATACTTTGCCTGTTAATTGATTAGGCATTGTTTTCATTAAGAATTCAATGGTTTGATGAGAATCAATTGTTTCTGTTCTCCAAATGGAATAATTTCCACTCGATTGATGGCAACCTCGATTATCTTGACCTGCAAAGGCAAACTGTGCATTATTGAACACTTTCTCTTCGAGTGTAAGTGAGTCTGTTCCGTATGGTGTCTTTTCCAGAACTAGATCAAATTTTGTCTTTTCTGAAAGATTCGGGAATGTTACAAGAGTGAAAAGATTGGCCGGAGGAGAGTGGACTGGAATGGAAAAGTTGAACTGTGTTTGATATGATGATTGCTTTTCAACATGGTGGTGTTGAGAATGATGGATCGTGGTTGTGGTGGAAAGTGTTGTCTGTTTCTGAAATTGCAATTCAAGACCAACGATTGAACTGGAACCCAATAACATGATAAAAAGAAGAAGCAATAGGAACAGCAATGTTTGGCTAGCATCCACCGATGGCTTGCATCTTTCTGTGATGCATGGAGGAATGAGCCATTTTGTTGTTGGATGTGAAATTTCAGAAGAGGATGACACCACGCACGACCACCAACAACAATGGAATGGAAACATTTTTTTTTTTTTTTTATCACTGTCCATTCGTTTATTTGTTCGAAAATTCAAACGTTATTCATGGCTGTGTGTGCAATTAGTACAGTTAAAGGTGGTTCATGTCATCAAAGTTAGTGTAATTATTGTTGTAAATTTCAATTATTGTTTGTCATCAAGGTTAGTGTAAATTTCAAATATTGTTGTAAATTTCAATTATTATTCATGGTCGTGGGTATTTCATGTATAGTTTAAACTTGTTCAAATCAATGAAATTGGGATTAAAATCGTATTGTTGTTCAAATTCATTCCAGGTGAGTTTCAATTCTTCCATGAAAAAATGATTTCGTTTCATCCACATTTTAGTAATAGATCGATAAGCTTCCTTAGTAAATACTTTGTCCCATTTCTTACCCAATCCAACTTTAGCACCTGTTAGGCTATGGATATCTTGTTTAGTCTTGATGAGGTACAATAGTCGTTTGGAGAACTTCTCGTTATTCTTTGCATATATTGAGATATTATATAAATTTCTAAACATTTCTTTTCTTATATCACTATAGTATTTACATTCGAAAATAATGTGTTGCATTGTCTCTCTACTACAGCAAGGACATAGCAAGTTCGTCTTGGATATCTTGTTTAAATTTTCCAAAGTCTTCATCACGTTCACTCTAATTTTAAATATTAGATTTAAGGTTCTGAAACCGATTCCTATTGAGGGGTAAATGTTGGTGAACTTTCTGTTCTTGGGAGGAAGGTTCTTTGGCGTATATGTTCTTTTGTGGAAGCGTTGAAATAGAAGTTTGTACATTGTTTGTCTAGTGTTTTGAGTGTATAATACATTGTTGATAATAATATACCAATTATTGGATGGAATATTAGTAAGAATATTGTTACAATCAGCACCTTTCTTAGCAGCCCTATCTGCTGATTCATTTATGCGGCTATAGATATCTTGTTTACCTGTATGACTATTAACATGCATAATTTTGATCTGATCCTTCACTTTTAAATAATTACGAATTTCTTCAACATAAGGATCTCTAGATTTTCTGAATTGGAAAAGTTGGTCATAAATACTTTTCGCATCTATGACTATTGTTCTAGGAGTGTTGTTATCTAGCAATCTAACAACTGTGTGGAGCGCTTGAACTTCACTGTTGTAGGAAGTTCCTTGTCCTAAGGTGTGACTTGAGATGGAAACATTCTGATCAGTTACAATACCGTATCCAGCAATATTATTGTTACACGATCCGTCAGTACCAATTAGTGTAGCTTTGTTCAAGAGGTTTGACATGGATGTGTTGTTACCAACATATTTGTAGTATTTGCTTTCGTCTTTGATTTTTCCAAAATCCATGCTATTGAGAATGTTGCGAATTTGGGTGACATGATTGGAATGTTTGATGTCATTATGTAATTTCACTTGTAAATTTTTAGGGTCAGGAACCCACATACTTAATCTGTTCCAATCTTTATAGAGCAGGAATTGTCTTAAACCTTTAGGGAATTTTCCATAAGGGATGAGAGTTTTTTCATGCCATTGGTCACTCGAATGCCACAATCTAATATTGGAAGATTTGTTCATGAAAATTATTCTCTTGAGATATTGAGGAATCCATGGGTCTGGTTTATACCAAGTAGGGATTGGATCATTGAGGATGTCAAAACCATGCTCCTGTTTGATTCGTTCACAAAGGAATCTTGTAGAAGATCCAAGACAAATATCATATTGTTCAAGGAACTTTCTGACTTTACACATTAGGTCCGAGTAACTCATTTCTTGAACAGAAATTAATCCAAGTCCACCTTTGTCTTGATGAGTATAAAACCACTCGAGAGCTAATTTTCTCTTGGTTCTTAATCTTTCACATATAAAGTTGCGAAAGAATTTATCAATTTGTTTCTCTAGATGGTCATTAGCAAGAGGAATTAGGTGGTACAGTGCATACGGAACAATGTCTGTGTTGATAATTTTGACAATGTTCTGTATTGGAAAATTCCAGCCAATAGAGTTAGTTCTTCTTTTAACTTCTTCAATAATTGAAGTAGTGTATTTCTTTTGTTCCTCAGTATTATTGGTAATATTATTACCAAGTATAATAATAGAATCATTACTTTTGATCGTACTTCCAGATAATGTCTTGATACTACATTCCTTATCAGAGAAGAGGTTAGTTTTGGAATGGTCTAATTCCATGTGATAGCCATGAAGATAGGTTTCAATGTCATGCAAAGAATTTTCAATTTCAGGTAGTTCGTTGGAAAATGAGTTCAAATCATCAATCCATGCGCCTGTACTAATGTTCCAATAATTTGCAACACTAGCACCATTATATGTTATTTCTAAAAATTGTAAGAGAGGCTCAAGCGCAATTTTGAATGCAAGGGGAGAGAAGGTGTCGCCTTGTTTCAATCCATCTTTCACATTGAAACATTCAGATTTACCATTAGGTATAACAAACTTTGTCGTAGATTCACCTAATATTTCCAGAATTCCATCAGCAGTAATTTCATCAATCCCTAAGAATAGCAGTCCATCACGAAGCATAATTCTCGGTAATGAGTCATAAGCTTTTTGATGTCAACAGCCAAACCATAAAAAGGTTTCTTGTCCTTTTTGCCCAAGCAATCATATTGTAAATTGAAAGGACTCTGTGAATAGTTTCTCTGCCGTCTTCACCACCAAATTGAGCTAATGATAATCTTCCCTTTAACACTTCCTTCAATCTTTTGGTGATTAATTTAGTAGCTATTTTAAGTCCTGAGTCCATAAGGGCAATAGGTCTATAGTTAGCAGGGTTTGAGTGGTCCTTATTCTTTTTGTGAATTGGGAGAATGCTGACACTTTGCATAGATTCAGGAGTAAATCCAGTTGTGATGATATTTTCAATAATTTGAAAAATTTCCTCCTGTAATTCCTTACACATGTATTTGATAGTTTTTGTCTTAAACCTAGTTCATTGGGTGCTGTGGATTTCAAATTCTGAATTATCCATTCTTTCTCTTCCGTGGTAATTCTACCGAGTATTTTGTCATTGCAATTATCAATTAATGGATGTTTGTACTTGAAAAACTTGGTAATGTCAATTTGATGATTTCTTCCTCTAAAGTTGAGGTTTTGTTGATATTTGTCCTTGATCACATTGGCAACTTCATTGGGGTCACTAATTTCAGTTCCTTCGATAGATAATTTGTATGGTGGTGATGACGTTTTGTAAATTTTCTTTCTCAGATGTTTAGAGTTGGTTGCATAGTTTTGTTCCCACCATTTCATCTTTCTGTTCAAAGCCTTATCATGGCTCCATTTGATATGGTTCTTGATTTTCTCTTTGACACTTGCAAGACATTTTGGAACCTGTTCTAAAGTTTTACCAATAGTGGTCAAAAGTTTGTCACAAGGATATCCGTGCTCATTTCTATCAAGTATTAACATGAGCTTCTTATATTGCTTATTATATTTGTAGATTTTAGGATCAAGTTTAGGTGGATTGACCTCCACAAATTTGTCGCCTAGTTTATCACAAATGAAAAGCCATTTGTCGTTATCAGATTCTAAATTCTTAACTTGAGATACACATTCTTTGCTAATGGCCAGCACTTCTTTCTTATTTTTGGGATCTTGAAAGTTACGCTTCTTCCGAATTAACAAAGGTGTTCGTTGACATGAGAGGTCAAGTAGAATTTTAACCATTTTGTGATCTGATATGAAGTTGGCATTCAGTACTTCTCCAGATGCAATTGGAAAATCTGTGGATATGTAATCTATTATAGACTTGGATTGTTTGTTAATAGTATAATGAAGGTGCCATGATAAATGAGGGAAAGGATAGTAATTAAGATTTCTCTTGTTAATAAGATCTAGTATGTTTTGATCAGTTCTTCTAGATTCGTTTGAGGAGTGATTCTCGGATAAAATCGCATTGTAATCACCTCCAATAATGATTTTGTAGTTAGGATATTTTTCAATTAGGTTGTCAAGAATATATGTGAATTCACATCTGTCAGCTGGTTGATTTGGAAAGTACGCAGAAATTACTAGAGTATTAATTGAATTGATTTTACATTTCACGCCAATAATTCGCGCGTTATTCTTAATGATCGGATCTAAGATGATTTCTTCAATATCTTTGAAAGTGCTTTTGTTGAGGCAAATAGATACACCACAGGAATCTCTTGGATTGTGATAATATGTAAATGAAGAATAATATATAGAGGGAAAATCTGGACCAATGTAGACGCTTTTAACTTCCTGGAGCATGATTATATCAGGAGTGATTGAGTTGAGGTAGCCTCTTAGGGCTGATAATGGTTCTGCTCTGAGACCATTAATGTTGAGGGTTAGAATAGATAATTCTGGAGCTACTGAAGTGAATCAAGTAGTTTTAGCTTTTTGTGACACTCATCAATTTCCTCTTGATATATCTTCCTCTTGGTATTATCTTTTGTACAACCAGACAGAAATGTTAGAGTAGCAATTCTATTGGTAATCATTAATTCTTCATTATTTGCTCTGATAATATTAGCCATTTCCTTAAATCCCATAGCCAATTTCTGATTCTGTCTTGCCTCAAGTTCTGCAATTCTTTTATCCATAGAAGCTTCAATTCTCTTGATTTCTTTTAGGTGATCTTGTTGCACTTTTTCAAGAGTAAAGGAAACGTCTTTCGCTGCAATTTTAGAAGATCTGCCTAAATTTTGTGAAATTTTGTGAACTGTATCAGGTTTCTTTTCCAGGAAATCTTCTAGCATTGGATAATTGAGAGCAAAATCCAATGTCCATTCATTCATTCCATATGCAGCATGGTTTACCAATCTGATGGCATTAGATAGATTGTTGAGTCTAATCAAACATATTCTCTTCTCTTGATTGATGATAAGTATGGATACAGGTTGGTCATTATTGTATTTTCTGGCAAGAGAGGATTCCGTTTGTATTCTAGCTCTAATCAAATCATTTCTTTCAGGCCATCTACCAATGATGTCAGAGTATTGTACATCCATTGCATAGTTGAATGGTATGTCGATTTTCATAGTGACTGTTTCCTCTGTTCTAGGAATAGTGATATCATATGTTTTTGCCTTACATAGATTATTTCTGGCTTTCATACTTTTGACAGTGATCACTGCTGCCATTTCTTTACCAATTCTAGCTGTAGCAATTTCAACAATGGGTTCACCAGTATCGCTTTCAATAGCATTCCTCCAATCTGCCTTGACTGTAGTTTTCCATAGTTCTCCTATTGGAATATTATGGACACGTATAATTTTGTTGGTGTCGTTTTCACATGATGAAGTGATATTGACTTCTTTAAATTTTGTACGTAATGTTTCAACTGCCTGTTCTACTTGAGCGCAATCTTCAATAGTGACAATTATGGTATTATTGAGCTTAATAATCGGATTGATGGTGACATATTTGCCACTAAGTTTGTCCTTAATTAATTCAATTACCTCATTCTCTTCAAATATTTTGCTATATCTAACAGCAATATATCTGGGAGGAGTGATTTCCTTCACTGCTATGTCATTGATGTTGAATTCTTCATTGTCTTGTTGGACATTACTACTTTTCTTGTTCTCAGATAATAGTTTGTTAATATTCTTCATTCTTTCCTTCCATAACTCCCAAACATGTTTTCTGTCTTTATGGTTTTTAAAAGCCTTTCTTTCTGTGGTGATTTCGTATTTAATGTCATCAGAGAGTATTCTGAGAGTGGCTTTTACAACATGTTGGAAATTTAAGGTCATAGGGTTGTGTGGGCTAGCAATAACAGATACAATTTCTAAAATCTGATCAGTGTCAAGAAGAGTTCTGTTTGTATCTAGTTTAGCATTATTGTGTTTGAGAAAAGTTTTACCAACAATTTCATCAACTGACATGTCTTGTATGTTGAGGTTATTAGTCAGCTCATTATCCAACAATTCAATGTTGTCTTGGTTACTCATGCTCATACTATTAGTTTTAGCGGCCAATTCTTCATCAGCTATTGGATCAATAGTTGGGTACAATCTAGTGTCAACACTAGTAGAGCAATTGTGAGTAGGGTTGAGATTATTTGTCAAATTGGGCTCATTATCTACAGATGAACTAGCAGAAGCAATGTAGTCGTTTAATGATTGAAGTGAGCTAGAGTGCTTGGGTCCATGATTGGATCCATGGTTGGGTCTTGTTTTACCGATCTTGCTGGGCATCCTAATTGAATTATTCTTCTTTTTTTTTAATTTGTATAACGAATCTGATCTTGTTAGTCTGATTAAATACCATTCAGTCAATAGCGCTTTGATCTTAATAACTGCCATCGTAATAGGGTCTTGATTACAGTTTGATCACAACGGTAACAATCTCAGTACTTATAACCGGTGGTAGTTGTACGGTACCAAATCAGTACAGTACTTCGTAGAGAGGGAGAGATAAGTTTTAAATTTAAGTTTAATGATTCGGAGATGGTTCTTTGGGTGGTGATAAAGGGTGCTCAAGGTGAACACCTAGCGGAGGTGTTGTGTTATTTTTTTTTCCTCGATGGAATGGAAACATTTTTTTTGAAAGAGATTTTAATTCGGATCCATGCATCCTTTTACGGTGATCCAGATCAGTTCATGAATCGTTTGATCCCGAGAATACTGTGCTTGTCTTCACTCATTTCATTCAATTCTACACTCTCTCTTGCTTTTGGTTCGGAGAAGCCTTCATTCGAGAGAGAGAACCCACAAAAAAATGTTTCGTTGCTTCGGAAGAGGTGGTTATGGGTCTCGACATTATGGGCCCGTGCTGGAATGTGCAATTTACAACAAGAGAACCATTCCGATGATGATAAATTGGACTGGGAATAATCATCATGTCATGATGGAGATTGGCAGTATCACGATGAAGAGATTTGCAAGCAAGGAGAATGTGAGTGGTGAAGAGAAGAATCATATGGATGGAAAAAACAAATGGATGCCTTCTTCATCATTGGAAGGAAAGAATAACCTTGAAGCCTCCCCAATCATACCATCCTCTACATCATCATCCTCTTCATCACCATCATTCATCACACAAGTATATAATTTGAGAAACAAAATAGAGGCTTTAGAGGAAAAAACTCTTGCATACTTTCCGAAAACATCTATCCAACTGAGTCCCTTCTTTTTGAATGAAATGATGAAAAAACCAAAAAATTATTATTGGGCTGCATTTGTTGCTATTGCATCCATCATTGTCATGTTATACGTACGCTATGTGTACTATTTTAAACAACAAGTAGAACAGTTATTTGAGCAAGAGACAAAGACACAGAAATCTGCAATCGCTACTCTGCGAGTGATGCAAGTGTATGCTGACAATTTTGGAGCCTTTCCCTCATTGAGGAATGTTAATATTGACAAGTTAGTGGATAAACTCAATTGTGATGACCTTAACATTGAAATCAAAAAGATACACTTGCCACGGTGATAAGTCTCATGAATTATGAACATTTTATTAATCGTTTTGCCTGGAAACGAGACTTTTTATCGACTATCGCTGCAACCAGTAAGATTCCTCTTACTAAAGAAATGAGTCTAGTAATATTTGAGAAAATCTTGTCATCTCCTTCTGGAAAGAGAATTCTCAAGGAGGAGTGTCCTCAGAATTTGCTCAATGCGCTTGATATTTTGTTGAAGGACGACACAGACAATTTTCAAGAAATTGGATCCAAAATTTTGTGTGACTTCTTTGAAGGAGATCAAGTTAAAATAGATGAATATTTGAGGACATTCTCATCAAAAAGTGGAGTCGATATTTCTAATATTCAGAACTATATTGAAGGTTTAAGGAAAAGTAAAACTTTCAAGTTGCAGCTATCCGATCACAATATCCAGTCGAATGACATTGACGTACGTTTAGGACTACTTCCCGTGGAAATATTTTCTTCTGTCATGTACTGTGTAAACTCATGGAAAAAGAGAGCCAATGCTCCAGCTGTAAGTAGTCACTACATCCGGAATAACCTTTACTTAACACGAGAGTTCTGACTCTGAAAACGTATTACACACATGCATCGTGTTATGAAACAATTAGATCTTTTTAAATCATATTCGATGGTGGGCAGTTCTTGCTGGTGCTGTCCCTGCAATCGCAGATATGATGATTTCCATATTGCACACACAACAATACTCTCGCAAAGTTGAAAACTTCTACACCACCCAAGACCTGCAACAGCAACCGTCTTTTTGGAAAAGCCTCATTGATTTCACTCCAACATCTTTCAACATTATGTACGCTTCAATTCGATTTTTCGAAACAGTTGCCTTTTTACTGCTCTGGAAAAGAGCTAGGTTCACTGTAATTCCAATGATATTCAACGAATTACTGAGATACAACATTTTACAAATATTTAAGACTGACAATAGCTTGAAATTCTTGCATGAAAATGAGCTAAGTATTGATAAAAACAGGACTTACAAGATGAGCTTGGCTGAGTCTAGAAAGAATACTCAAATCGCCAAGTCAATTCGAGAAATCATTGAAGAGGAAGATGACGACGAAATTGAGGATTAATAGTGCCGCTATACATAACACAAAAACAAAATGAAGGAGAAGAATAATTACTATCAAAATAATATGATCAAACTATTTGAAATTTAAAGTACTTCTGATCACACAAGCAACAAATTTGTGAAAAGATGAAAACATTTCGTCATGCATGACGGATGACCACTCGATTTAAATCTTCTCCTCTTCATCTTCCAATATCTGATGTTGATCCTGAGGATCAATTTCTCCACTATTGATACCAAAACCAACATCTTTTGCTTGTTCCTTTTCTTGTTTCATCTCCAACCAAAACAAACCCCAAATTTCAATGGCCTTCAATTGACCTATTGCCAAAAAACTAAACAAAACTCCTAAAGTGGTCGAATTGATCACATACATTTCATAACAGATAAATCCCAAACAAGCAGCATTCAAAAACATGAAAACAATCAAAAAAGCCAAAGCATGAGAAAAGAGTGAATATTGTGCACACGCAAAACTCACACCACTCACAACCATCAACCATATCGGAATTGAATATTGATGTTCACTTGTAAATGCTGTTGATGATGAGAATAATCATGGTGAGAGTGAGCAAGTTGAGAAATCCTGGGACAATATTTGCCTTGTCAAAAGTTCCCAATAAAAACCGTTTCCAATTCATGTTTTGGAGATGACGAATCATGATGAGTGTATTGTGGAGACTGTTTAGCTTCAATTTTTTGGAATTGTTTTTAAAAAGAGAGATAGACAGGGACATTTTTGGGTTGTACCTTATTGGTTGACAAAACAGGGTTGTTGTCACTAATCATCTCAAATTGACCCAATTGAAGTTATTTACTAGCGCTTGAATTGAGATTTACAACGTACAATCCTTCCTCTTAAATTATAAATAAATATTTTCACGTTCCTCGGTTTTCCAATTTCCAGTTACTCTTCCAACCATGAATCTATTAAAAGAATTAAAAAAAAATAATACAATCCACTCACTCATTCGTGAACAACAATTTTTTTAAAACTCTCTCTTAGAGATCATCGGACACACACAACGCTCTGCTGATTGATCCCATATCTATTTCCAAACACTCTTAACCTCTCCAAATTCAAACCAAATGGAAAAGAAATTTTTGGAATATTCGGAGAAGGCTCACCGAACAATGTCGGAAGCCAATCAGAGAATAGCAAACAGTGATTTCAAATCTTTACAGGATATTCGTGTGATGAGTGAAAATTTATTTAAACGAATTCAAGACTTGGATACATTGGATTTATTAGAAGAACCAACGCTAAGACAAGAACGAAAAGATGTAATTCAAAAATTCAAACATTGTGTAATATTTTAGATCACCATGTTCGATCAGCCGAAAAATTAGATCAAAATAGTCTCGAATTTAGAAATTCAAATATGAGATGGATGGAATTATTGCATCAATCAAAATTGATTGAGAGTGGAAATACATGTTCAAGTTTGGATTTTTTGAATGAGCTGAGCAAAGTTGATCATAAAGAGATTGCCTCCTCTCTGCAATCGTATCGAGTATTTATGAACGAGTTTAGACCCTTGTCACTTGACGTGAAAACAAGAAAAGATGAGTTTCAGAAAGTGATTAGCGACAGTTTTCATTTATTGGTGATCATTGTTCAAATTGTACAGCCATTCCATCAACTGTTAGCAACAATTACCCATGCACAACAAGTTGCCTATCAACTCATCCAAACTATTGAATCACAATGGAAAATCAATGGTCTTGCCGCCATTTCGAACACAATTTATCCAAATTCCACCTCCACTTATTCCCAGCTCTGTGCTCATCATGTGAGTTCACTTAAAAAGACCATTGTACAATTAGAATCATTTAAGGAAAATATACTGTTAAAAGAAGCAAGATCGACCTACATTTCTCATTCCATGACGGAACTTGTGAAATTAGAAATATTATCAGACTTGTTACATATTTGCCCAGTACTGCAGAGTGTGAGTGAACAATTGGCCAATAATGGAAACCATGTGACATGTCTAAAACAAGCTCAATCGAAATTACAAGAAATTTCAAAGAATGTTGAACGTTTGAAATATGAAGAAGGTCTGGATGACTTGTATTATTTACAAATTGCTCAAACTCAATCCTCATACATGTTCATGAGTTCACAATTACCTTCATTGATTTCTTTTTTCACTTCTATTGATGAATTCTCCAAAAAGAATTGGTGAACCAACTAACATCCATTAACAATGAGTTTTAAATTTAATTAAATGAATTCTCATCGAAAAGTTCATTCTTTTGTTTCTGATTTAATGTTGCAAAAGGAGTGATGCATTAATTTATGGAAGAAATGGGTTCTTAAATATGATTTAAAGAATATACCAAACTTGATGAGATGTACGAGGAGTTCTTGATTCAGTCTTCTGAATAAACAAGATTCTGTTCCTTTCCAACCATTATCTTAGGTCCACCAAAAACACATAATGAAAGCATGTGATTGGATGCCTAATGCAAGGATTTGTCTATGATACGTTTCAAAGTGATTCCAGTTGAACATTATTTGTCGTTGTCGTTTTGTCAATGTCTTGTTGAATAATAAATTATGTTATTTCTCATCATTACTCTTATGATCATGACTGAAGAGTGAAAAGTATTGTTGAGCTCTCGATAAATTCTTACTGAACAAATATTGTCCCCACGATTTCTTTGGTTTGTTTGAGAACGTGTCGTTGTCAGTAGATTTTCTTGAAATTTTGTCTTCAGGGTGATCATTTGATAAAATTGATATCACTTCTTGCACTTGTTCAGTTGATAGTTTTGGAAATTCAATTTTAAAAGAAATGACTAAATCTCCAAAAGTACCATCATCCATGGGCATTCCTTCGTTATGAATTCTGTTGAACAATTTTATATTTAATTAATTAATAATTTTTTCCGATAAAATATATATATTAAAGTACATCCATTAAATTTTCACGTTATATCATCAAGAAAAGCATGTTCATTAAGTAAATCAAATTATTTCGTGACAGCATTGTATTAATTATTTAAAAAATAAATATTTGAAAATTAATTGGCAGTAATATATATTAATTTTTAAAATATGTTAAAATTAATTGAATATTTCAAACTATGATCTTGACAACAACACATCCCAACTTACACATGATAATATTGTGGTGAGATGACATTATGTCTATTGTCCACTTTAACATTCAATTTCTTTAATCCGAATATATCCACAACAATATTGACCTCCTCCAATGTGAGAGCATCTTTCAAACTCATTCGATAAACCATTTTCAAATGTTCTTGATCAAACCCAACTCTCTCCAATACATCATGAGGACTCTTTTTCTGCTCAACCACAAAAATCAAATCTCCACTTTCATTCAAACGATCATCAAACTCTCCCTCTCCTTTAAAAACAACCCTAGCATGATGTTTGGTTCCTCTCGGAATCTCCACCACCTTCTCCACCACCATTCCCAAACTCTGATGATTGATAAACGTCCTCCGAATAAATGTTTTTCTCTTGATACATCCCGTGTACAATTCCTTCAATGAACACTCCACACTCACATAAATATCTAACACTGTATTCGTTCGGAATCCATGTGTATTACTAGGACTATTACTCGCACGAATTGATTCTTTCATTGCTTTAAACATTTTTTTAAAGAAATTCAAATTTCCCAAAGTGGAAATATCAATGCAACACCAAACGTAACATGAGGATACAAAGTATTTCATCCCTTTGAATGCATTCTTCTTGCACAATGAAGAGAAGATACCTATTGAGAATTCAATGTACGGGTCGATTTTAAATGATGAAGGGGATGAATATTAAAAAACAACGGCACCCTTTCGAGAACGAATCCTTTTGTTGATTTCTTACATGCACGCGCCTTCTCACTTGATCAAATTTGGAAATTTTGGTTCTGCAGGGAACGAAGGACTCTCTCTTTGATTCATTGTTAATAACTAATAATACAACAACAACAACAACAACAACAGCACTGTGAGAACCAAAGAGTGAGTGCCTGCCTTCACATGTCCTTCCATAAACGAGTGGTGGTGATGAAACGCGTTCACCTTATTCCTTGCAACCATGAAATTGATCACTCACATGCAATGTTGATAGGAAATATGTTCGAGCGGTGATGAAGCTCTTTTCAAAACCAAATCGGTTCTCCAACTCGTTGCTTTTCATCACCATAGATCAAGGCCTTTACTCTCTCAGTCAAAAAACCGAAAGCTGAAGCCTTTCATAGAAGAAGAAGAAAAAAACTTTCCTTCTACATTGTACTGTTACGTTCGATTATCATTATCGTTCGTTCTTGTTCCGTGCAATTGTTACATACTGACATCATCACCGTACGTACGCAACGTCTCTTTTTCGGTGAGAAGGAGCTTTTTACGTTCACCATTGTCTCTAATAATAGAGTAGTAGCAGCAGTAGTAGTAGTAGTAGTACCCGACTTTTACGACACATCGCTCCTCTCTCTCTTCTTTGTAAACTTGTCAATGAATTCCTAGAGAAGAGAGAGAAAAAGAAGAAACCATATGATGATCACAACTGTGTGCAAGATTGCAACAACAACATCCTCAATTCTGATGGATTCTTCAGGAAACCTGACCTTGGACAACAATGCTGTGTCCTCCACTCCTTCTATGGGCTCATCATCATCATCAACAACAAACAACAGCCACAACGTCCAACCACGAATGTATCATACTCTCTCGAGAAGCACAACTCGATTGAAAGTCATTCAATATCAACAAACAACCAGAACAATAACAACAGCCTCCTCCTCCTCCTCTGCTGCACAATCAGACTCTTCCTCTTCCTCACCCCATGCCAGTAGGAGTCTGAGCAACTTGTTCATCCTGAACCTTCATCATGATCAGACCACAACATCCTCTGAAATGTCCTTCTCATCATCACAGCATCCACATCCACACCAACAACACCAAAACACTCCTCCAACATTTCCAACCCGAATCCGAAGAAGGAATTCCTCATCAGAAATTCCTCTCGTTCAAAAAAGCTTCTAAATTCACCCTCTCTCGACCTCCTCTTCCTCAACAACAACAACAACAACAACAACAACACTTCCATCTTTCATCCCAGCAACATGTTGCTCCATCCAACTCTTGCTCATTCTCAAAGAAAACAACAACAAGCTCCAATGAGGACCTCTCCAATAACAAGAACAACACGACTACGACTACGACCAACAACCACAAGAATAACCACAACAACAACAACAACACTAAGAACACGGAATCCCCAACAAACAACAATTTGTCCACTCCAAATAGCAAAAAGAACATTCCCATTGGTAGAAGCAACACGATCATTGAACTGTTGAAACAAGAGGAGGAGCGACTGACACAACTCAACAATTGTGAACTAGATCCAGAAGAAAAGAAAAAATCCATGTTTGACAAACGACGATCCAGAGCCATCTTTCGAAGCAATGCTGAGAATCCAAGTGAGACATTTGACTTTTCACAACTTGATCAACACTTTAGGGCAATTTCTCAGTCAACTTCAACAAGTTGTGGCATTCCAGACCAACAAGTGGCAGCAAATGCCTCCCGCTGTTATCCAGTAAGGCAAGAGACTCTTCCTCCTCCAAACGACACCTCCGATATCAACACCCAAAAGTGTTCCATATCAGCAAAAATTGATCACACACAAGAAAAAAGAATGGCCAACATCAACATTTCGAGTTTGTATGACTCTCGTGACTATGACAACGAGTTCTCCACCTCTTCGTCCTGCTACTCTCCAACAGTAGTCACCATTGTGCATCGTTCGAATGGAAGCACTCAGCGTTCACCTCTCATTCAACAAAATGTTGAGAGATTGGTACGGAGTGATGCCTCATACTCTTCACCAGGTTCTTCTGACTATGCAGAAGGTGCTTCAGATGTTGCCGTAGTGGATGATGATGACGACGAAGAAGACTACGATGATCCATTCCATGACTTTGAGGAATATGATGATGATGACGAATGTGTATATGGTGATTTCGATGAATATGATGACGATTCGAAACCTACTTTCATCAGGAGTGTGGTTTCACTCAATGATAGACCATCGTCACCGCTCGTCATGATTCAGCAAAACGAACAATTCGAGGACGAGGAAAGACTCTTTGAGAGAAGACGAAGGGTGAGCACATTGAACAGTCCAGAGCATAAATTATCCTTCTCTCGTTCCAGCTCTGGCTCATGTTCTGCTCCCTCTGAGGATACTTGCCGAATCTTATCAGAAATTCATTCCAAGCAAGAGTTATCAGAAATGATCTCTCACTTGTCGCCGAACACAACAACAAGCAGTGCCAGTCTTTCCTCACTAAATGCAACAGTGGCTCTGGTTTCGAGTCCAGGTAAATCATCATCACGAGGAAGTGGATCGCCTCTTCTAATCATGAGAAGACCTTCACAAAAATCAATCCATGGAGGGAGACGAAAGTCAAAGGCAACTTCATTCACTGTTACATCCATAATGGCTGACGAGCAGCTTAAAGAAATATTCTTTCAATTTCTTACTGAAATTCACAACACAGAATTGGTCACCTTTCTACAGGAAGAAGAATCCTTTAGACTTGGATGTATCAATGCTGTGGTCAATGATGTTCCAAGCTTGTTACTAGAGTACGAGACTGCTCTCCAAAAAGCATCTAAAATATTCGAAAAATACATCAAGGTTGGATCCATTCAAGAATTGAACTTGAGTGGTGAAACAAGAAACATTATGCAGCACAGAATGGAATCATTATTAACACCTCATGAAAGAAATAAGGGTGTGAATGGACGACTTCAATTATCCGAGTGGATTTCTCCAAATATTTTCGAAATTGTGACCACAGAGGTGAACATTAGTTTGAAGAATCACATTATTCCTCTCTTTTTAGAAAGCTCTGCATTTGAAAACTACCTTCTTAGAAAACATATCCAGGACAATACAGTTTCTAATCTGAGAGGAAAAAACAAGGTTCAACGAATGCTTGGTTTTTACATTCCAGAAAATGCCAAGGATAATATTGTTGTGAGTGGACCAACTGTAGCAATTGGGGGAAATGCAATTAACAAACAACAACAGCCATTGTTGTCACCAAACAAGCAGCCAAATATGTCAACCTCGTTCTCATCATCTTTGGATACTTCTGGAAACAACAGTTCCATGAATGAACATAATTCTAAAAAGAAGAAATCATTTGCGGCTCTTTTTGCACAACACGGCTCACCAGTCAATGCATTCGATGTGGAAAGTGATTTCAACTTTGATCCATCGCTTGTCAACAAACCTCAACAAACCCAAACTCACTCTCAATCTCTAAACAAATTTAAGAAATGGATTTTAGGGAAAAAGTCACATTCAAGTTCCACAACTACCACTACGACTGCTGCTGTTATTGATTCAAATAATTCCAAACTCATTATTGCCAACCCCACCCATGCTCAACTCGCGTCTCTTTCCTCTCCTAATTTGAAAACTCCTCTTAATGATACACATGTATCTCCATCAAACAACAAGAAATCATCAACAACTCCCTCGCTACCACACATTCCACCCAATATTAATATCACTCCAGAAATTTCTTCTCTTCTTAATGATGGAATTGTTTTTATCAAGGTGCACACAAAAAGACGTGGAAATATCCGAATTTTGGAAATTAATATCGACAAAATGTCCATGCTGTCAGAGCAAGACAAGAATTTAGCTCTCGAGCTCAAACATGTGCTGCTTACACATACTGATGCACTCAATCCATTCGACAAGCTGCCACATTTAAGAGAGTTCCTGCAGACAAAAATTTCAGTTCAAGCACAGAAAAATTGGGAAGAAATCAATGAAGACTGCATCATCAAGGTGAAGAGTCCTGCCTCCTCTAATTTTTACAAATTGTAATCAATAATAGTTGAATTGCAACAATTAAACAAGTTTACATTTGTTGATTTCTTTAATACAAATAAATTATTGAAGTGGTGATGGCGTAATTTTGTCATGATGATCGAAATATGATTATTCTTTCTTGTCCTTGTTTGATTCATCAGTGGACTGGTTTTTCGACGATAAATCCAAAAATCCAAGACCCATTTGATTCAAAATTTCATCAATCACTTTTTTCTCTACTTTCAAGGAATGGCTCAATGTAGCACGAATAAACAAAGTGAGCTCCTCCTGTACATATTACATGACCAACATAAAAGTCACAATAAATGTATTCAATTAAATAATTAATGTATCATCTTTGTCAACTTACCAAAGTTTGTATTGACCTTGAAAATCAACCATGCCAAGAAAATAATCTTGGCCTCAAAATAGAAAGGAATCCAATAAATCAACCATTCAAAAAAAGCATTCAAAGGTAATGACAAAAGCATAGACACTCCAATAAGTGAGCTGTCATGGACACGTCATGAACAATTACACCGATGAGTGTGTCATCATTTGATCCATTGGCGTCAACGTTTGTGATCGAACGAGATTGAAATGTTTTTAAATTTAAATTCAAAATAAATTCAGTATCATCATCACAGGCATTCAAAATAATTCAGTATCATCATCACCACCACAAGTTATCATCATTAGTCAATTCTCCGAATTCATTGACATTGAAAAAACTCACCCATTGCTTATCATCTTCCTCGCTAGGACTTTTTAATGCTTGAAAAGATTTAAAAGCAGGATAGAGTGCTCCGATCAAATTAGAGAGACTACGAGAAATAACAAAACCGAATAACATGATTTGATGTCAATCAAATATATTTTTTTAAAAATGGACTTCATGAAACTTGATTCAGTTTTGAGATGGTCAAAACAAAAAGTCAGAGAAAGAATCCATTTGTCCTCCATCGTCACTTCGTGGATTACTTGCCACACCACGTGATGACGATTCTGCTCCTGAATGAATGACAATTGGTGTGTCAGTGGCTTCTTGAGCTTGCTCTCTCATACTCTTTGCAATATTCTCCACATACTGCAGTAAGGCAGTAAGAACAACATGGTTCTGAGTGGGTACTCCCATACTATGTGTAGTAATGGTCGTTGGTTCCATATATGCAGGAGGAGTCGATGGATGCGCATAATAACTATATTGATTGGCATAGCATGAAGAGAGAGAGGGATTAGTGTCACAATTGGATGAATGGTTGACTGTTGAAGAGAGAATTTGATTGGTTGATGTTGAGGATGATGATGGGGTAGCAAAAGCATTCATTATTGCTGCTGTCGCCATTGAAGAAGAGTTCGTGGTAGAACTATTTGTGGCTGTTGAGGAAGAAGAATTTGTCGATTGGGATTCTTCACTACTACCCGAAGGATCATGTCTCGATAGAAATTGTTCCATTTCATCGAGGAGAGATTGACATTTGGAGGAAAGACGTCTGTATTTACGTGTCAATAAAGATAGTGCCTTGTAATCTTTTTTAAGAATCGAAATGTAGTCGAGAATGAGTGTTTTTTGAGAGGTTGTGATGAGAGTGGATTTTCTAGGACGTAGACCACGTTCGATGAGTTTACAAATTTCCAAATGATAGGCTGAAACGTTCATGATACCTCCAGAGACACCTAAATTGGCATATCTGTGGTGGTGGAAGAGAATTCATCCGCATGATTGAGAATAATAGATTGAAATGTAACGGGTATGTGTTGAATGTGTGACATCAATATGAAGACATGCCAAAGAGAGAGAAAAATGCAATGTGTTGGTGAATTGATAATTGCATAAATATAGTAGCTAATACTTACTGAAAGAGTTCATGTTCGGTCATGAGTGATATTTTGAGGGCTATTTCTTCCATGAGATTTTTTGCAATTTCTGGAATTTTCGAAAGGAAAACAAATTTGATTCCTTCTACCATCAATGCTCCATGTAAATGTTGGCTTTTAAAGAATATCTCGGAATGACAATCTACCACGGTACGAATCAACTCGACCTTATAAGATTTGATTGCATTAAAAACGAGCTCAATAATTTGCATATAGATAAGGTAGTTATCTGCTGTGACATTTTCTTCTTTAACATATTCGAGTGTACCTGGTGGTAATGCATCTTCTAACTTTTTGTCTGAAGACAGTTCAAACAAACTAGGCATCTTCTCAAGGAAAAATCCAAAGCTACCAATTGTGTCCATACTGGCACTGTCAACATCTGATGAAATAAATACTCGATGTTTTTTCAAATTTCTTTCGAGAGGAGATAGCTCTCTCTTCTTATTTTCATTCACATAATAACCAGTTAGAGCCAGAAAATATCTAGCTCTTTGCATGTTTCCCTCTCCTGTATAGTAAATAGACATTTGATGGCATGTTCCAGCAAAATAAAAATTTCTATAGTAATCTATTGATAACTTGGCAATTTCTCTTTCGGTTTTTCTTGCTGTTTCATCGGCACGAAGTAGCTGGGCTGTGAATTGATAATAACATGTCAGCATAGCTAAATAAAATGCATAGAGACATCGATTTTCCTCATCTTTGGGATGAATTTGTTCGAACTTGAGTGGTTTTCGTTGCAATGATTTTTCAAGTTCAGGTAAAACCGTTTGTACAAAATGACGCATCTGAGACTTGAGTACGAGAGGATGTCCTTGACATAGGAAAGTGAAATAATAATCAATGACAACTAGCGGAGAGTTTTGTTCTTGTTGTGAGATGCCGTGACCAACCTGAGGCGAAGAACTTGGAGTGCTGTTGAATGAATTTTTTACAGACGTTGAGGACGAGGATGGATTATTTTGTGTTGATGCTGTATTGACTGTTGTCACATCCATGTCGTTGCTCTCCTTTCTCTTTTTTGTTCGTTTTTCTTGATTAGTTTTGGTTGGATAAGCCTCGGAACCTTTTCCTCTTTTTTTAGGTATATTATACTATGAATTTTAAAAGATTGAATTACATGGTATGTCCATGAGTCATATCATGATCAACCACACGTGAACATAGAATGAGATCATGAAAAATTTTAAAGTGAGAAATTAAATCATCCGCGGTAAAATACATACCGTGCATTCCAATCCTTTTCTTATACAAGTGCCGCATGCTGGCATTTGTTTATCACACTAATGATGTGGCAAAAGCGGCCATTGATAATGTCACAATGATTTGCTCTCTCAGTTTGAGACTTACCTTCTTGTGTAATTGTCGACCTTTATGATGCATAGTCATCACAAAAATTTGAATCAAAGTGATCACGATGATTATAATTATTTTCAAATATTATACATCCATTGAATGCATCATCTACTCACATTGAAGACAAGCAATCGGATGAAAGGCTCCTCCAGCAGCATTACTATTGTTGGCATTCATGGAATCATCCTCACTACCTCTTGTCGGTAGCGATCCATCAGCACCACTGCCAGTATCATGACTCACCTCTTGTTGAGTCAAATTCGGATCCGAAGCTGTGTCATTTTTCAACAACATATTACTTGAATTATTCTCTTTGTACTCGTGGTGATGATGAACCGAATCTGAATCGGTTGGCCACATTTTTTTTTGAAATTGTGGTTCGAAAAGCCTTTTTTTTTGAAATGGATCTCACACAAAAGTGCGTCAATAAGTGCGATCACAAACTAGTGAAGCTTTCACAGAGAGACACGATGAACAGCTATTGATTTTACAAAAAAAACATCGACCTCAAAAAACACAAATCTTGTCATATCTATTCAATTATTGCTGATATCACCAGTCCACCCAACAAATTGGTGTCAGTACTCTCACATGCTACGCTAAATCTTCAATATCCACTTGATCGAATCCCTTAAACCACAGGTTGTTGTTGCGTTGAAGCATTTCCTTTTCCCAATCTCGATAGGCTTTAATGCAGCTGTCTGCATTCATTATTCGGTTGTACACCTTGGCACCGTGTTTGGAAATATTTTCTTGAATTCCAAATAACAACTCCAAGTCCTCATCCAAGATTTGATCTGCCTTCTTGACAAGCCTATTGTAAATGAAAGGAATTTTGTTCAAATAATTAAGAACGGGAATGGTCGAGTAGAAGCGAATAAGGACTCGATGTTCATTCTCCTGTGTTGGAATCATGCAAAACACTTGAGTGAGCTTTGGACCGCTGCTCTCTCCGTTACTGTTCGAAACATAGTCATTGTTTTCCAATCTCACAAAACAAGGTGGAATGAAACTGGTCAAATTAGCAAATTCTTTCTTTAAACCAACTTTTTGATACTCGGGCTTTGTCACACGATACATGAAGGAGCCCTCATGTATGGTTTGATCCCAATTCATTTCTTGTGGTAATCGGGCTCTTTTTTCATCGTCGAGAGGTACTTGTTTGGACACGATCAATTCGGCCTTAATTTGTGTTGCCTTCTTTCTGTTACCAAGGGATCCGTCATGTGTAAAATCAAGATGACACATGTCCAACAAATTATCAATCACCAGTGAATAGTGACATGGAATGTCTCTATTTCGTTGTAACATGATGTATGGCTTTCCACTTCCTTCCATAAATTCCTCCCTGAAGAGCTCTCTAGGAATCAAGTCTGTATTGGCCTTTGAGGTTGTACTGGGCCAGACCCAGATCAACCCAGCAAATTCGTAAGTGCTCCTCGTCTGAGCTTTTACCGTACTACAAACGCCTTGCATTCGGGAGGACTCCACCGAGGAAATTCTGTGACACTCTCCATTCTTTCCAAAGCGCCAACCATGATATTTACATTCGACAGATCTCTTTCCCTCAAATTCATTCACCACTCCAGTGGAAAGTTTTGCCGATCGATGTGGGCACAAATCCACACAACACTCGACCGAACCATCCTCCACTCGGAACAAAATTAAAGGCTCTCCAAGTAGCTTCACTGCATAGGGTTTTTGGTCTTTGAGAGAGACCTCTTCTGAAAAGCATACAGGATACCAAAAATCTCGCATATTCATTTGAGAAAGACTCTCTCTGGGTTTCGGTTTGAAGGGCGAAGATGGTGGTGGGTTATTTTCATTCTCGTCGGAAGATCCTTCTTCTGGGTGCACATCGGCGTTCTTGTTTTTGGACGAGTTTTGATTTCGGTTTATAAAGTAATTCATGATGGGCATGTACAATTTGTTGGAAATTAAGGCAAGAGATCCCAAAGACAAGGAAACAAGAATGGCAACTTTTCCGATCGAGTAAAGGAAGGGTGAGATCAGTTGAGGATTGGAAGTGATTGTGGTTGTACCAGTTGCTTCCGAAGTGATAGTCGTGATGAAAGAGTAAATGGGTTGAAGAAGCTTTTCAAGGAAATGCGTATCTTTAAGAGTTGCCATTCAACTGAATCTCTCGATCGAAAAGGAAACGAAAGGCAACAGAAGAACCCGCAAAATGGATGAAACCAAGTGGTCGTGAATTTTTTTTACAGGTGAGAGCTCTTCAGAGGAGATAACTCAGAAATGACTTTTAAATTCGCTCGAGCCCTTTTTTGCCTTAGTTGAACTCTTCCACACGCATCCTTGAAGTTCAAATATATCCAAGTGATGCGTGTTAATAAGGAGAATTCAAGTAAGGATTGACGTCCAATGGTTACAAACATGAAAACTTGGACATTATGCCACATTGGGAAAGAATCGTCTCAATCTCCTCAAGCGTGAAATCTATCACCCAAATGCTTTCATCACCACCTCATCCATCATCGTATCCTTCCTCCTCCTTGCATAGTCAAGACTCTCGACCACAGAATGAAATTACCAAACTCGATCATCATTCTGGTGCATTTTCACTTTTTGAAGGACTCACCGTTGTTCAACCACTTTTGACTGATCTTTCCGAAATGCACAAAGAATTACAACAAGTGGTTCCGAAATCTCATTATTCGTTGCTTCCTCTCGAAAGCTACGCGATACGTAACTCTCTCAGGAATTACTTGTCGATGTTATTTTGCCAACTATCAACAATATAATGATTTTATTGATCATTGGTATCCGAAAATGCAACAATTACAACAAGAGATGGATGCACTTCCTCCGTTATTGATTCGAGTCATAATGAAAGAACACTGAGTCAAGAAATGACAAGTGCCATTTTGGTTTTTAAAAAGCATTTGAAGGGAATTACAATGACATTTGGTCGTCCAAGAGTGTCAATTTAAGGACATGTGTGAATTCAAGCCAATATTTTCCAACATGTTGCCCAATAAAAGGCTGTTGTCAAGTAAGGACAAGAAGTGAGATTCATTGGTTGGGCAATGGTCAGTTTGAGAATTTTCTCCGTTCAATTTGTTTTTTGAGATGGTTAATAATGGCCATTGGAATGTATGAATGGGATGAGTATACGGTTCATTGGCAACACTCCTCTAAATTCATCGTTTATTAAAATAACAATAAAAAATGTTTCAACCTAAATGGAGAGGACAACATGTTATTCCTATGAATAAGATGATGATCGGATTCATCATGATGATTCTTCCATGTGTTCTATTCATAAACTATGTGTGGGCTACTTCTAGTAATAATAACAATAATAATTTAAATACATTCGGACAAGAGGAAGAAATTGTAAATTATTTCTATGGAGATCCTTCCGATTTGTTAACTTCTTCAACCAGTATTCCTGCCCCAATACCGGAATTTTGTGCTGGAAAACAATTATCATGGATTGTGGCGAGCATACTTTCGCTTGTTCTTGGAGGTCTTGGAATTGATCGGATGTATTTGGGATATGCATTCAGTGGAGTTGTAAAATTATTTATTGGTTTAGTTGTGATGGTTATGACAGTGTGGCGATCATGTTATTCGTTGCAATTAGTCGACCCACATAAATTGCCAACTCGAAGGAAAATTTGGTGGCTCGTTTTTAATTCTTTGGTCGTATTTACGAGTTGCGTTCAACTAAGCTTGTGGCTCTTTGATTTGGTCATGATCATCACAGGAACGATGAATGATGCCAATGGGTGTCCATTGCGTTATAATTGAGGTCGAATTAATTGTAACATCATATGTGCACACGAAACAAAATTCAACCCATTTAAGACAAGGTGACAAGCGCAATCTTATTTTTTGAATAACAATAATACCGAACTTTATTGAAATAGGCCAATATTTTTACTGTAATAATTAAACATGACATTTTTGTGTTGAAAGGAGTCCTATATACAAAACCCAACAACAAAATACTATCCAATGATCATGTGAAATTTCGCTTAATGTTGAGCTTGAGGTACATTCTTGGATCTTTGTTGCTTGATGGTCTTGGCAATTTGACGCAATCCTGGTGGGACATTATATAATGAAGCGTCTTCTCCCCTCTCTGTTGAGGTAGGGATTGTTTAAAACAATATTACAATATCAATCGTATTTAGAATAATATGGTTTCCGACGGATATAAGTTTGTCCACACAGTTGAATATCATCATATTCAATAATGTCATCATGATGTTCAATATCGAATCCAACCACAATTTTCAAATTTTGAGTTTTGATGAAATTCAATGGATGATGAACGAGTGATATCAAAACGATTCATTGAACCGTCAATAATAAACACCATGATGAATAGTTATCCAAGTAAAGTGAAGGACCAATATTTTCAGAATGTACAGTCATCATCATGATTCAACACAATAATAATTGTCTGTTGTAGCGAAACCATCATTCGACACCGAAGAACATACCAGCAGCAGCCTTCTTTTCATCTTCTTCAATCAATTGCTTCACGTAGGATTCTACTAATTCCTCTTCCTTCTTAGCCTTTTCACTGGCTAATCTATACAAGGAAGCTTGTTTGTCCTTTCCGTGGACAACTCCAGCAAGGAACATTGTAGCTAAAAAGAACTACAAGTATTCATCGAAAAATAACAATGTAACATCAAAAACAAATCACCAATAATTTAGGAATAGAATTATAAAACACCACGAGACAATTTCGAGCCACCTCTACCTACACTTGGCCAAGCGCGCATGGTGATGGATGAATATTTTTTTAGAGTTTACAAAAAAAAATAATTTTAACGACGATGTACTTGACATTTCTATTCACTCTTCTTGATACATGCCAATACTTGCTCCAACACTTGATCGAAATTATCAGCCTTTTCTTGAGTTGGATTTGACTTTTTCAATTCAAAGATGTGCAGATCTAGTTCATCCTCGCAAATGTTTGCACAATTTTTGAAGGTTTGCTTCATGCGTTGGGTGTGGTCCTCTCGCAAAGTGCTTCTCACTGTAAAACCCCAAACAATATTCTCTAATTTACCATATTGGGAGAGGAGCAACTCTACTGTTGGCCAATGACTTTTGTTGTGCAATTCGAGTGCCAAATTTAAATATGCCCAAAATCAAAGAAATTCAAACAATGACAAAGATTTTCAAATAATGAACGACCAAGTTAGAGAAAAAGAAGCAACATCATCATGAAATCTCTCTTACCCTTTTCCTTCCATTTCTAACCATCCCAATTCATCCACCATGACAACAATCTTTCTCTCACCACTTTTTGAATTGGATGCATTTCTCGTCAAGTGTTCCATACTTGAGAGCATGAGAGTTTTGATCTTTTCAAATACTTCATTCTATTGAATGGGCAGATCGCACAGAGTTCCGTTTCTTTTAAACTACAATTCAACCTTCTTCTGAAATATATACTTACGTTGAATAACCATCTTGGTTGTTGAGGACGTTTGGACTTAATATTTTCTTCCATCACTTTGATCATGTTTGATGAAGGCTCATGATCAAGAGATTTGAATTCTGGATTGAGAGTGGCCAACGTGAATATTTGTGATCCTTCTTTGGAGGAATCAATGAAATGAATTTCAATGGCCTTCCGATGAGTCTCATTCAACACAAGAGACTCCAAAGAGTGATTGGAACAAGATGTGTCCGTTGTCTTGCTCGTGTTGGTGCATGGTGGCTTATTGTCCCACGCAAAGACAGAAGGTTGAATGAATCCGACAAAGTCAATGGTTTTGGTGGATGTTCCGTAATCACCACCACTTGAGTCTTGTTGCAATTTTCGAACCAGAAATTGCAAGGTGGTGCTCTTGCCTGAAGCCATCTCTCCGTTCAGAAGGATGATCTGATGTTTGCTTTGAGTCATTTTCTTGCGATGAGAATGAGAGGTTGACCAAAAAAGTTTTATGGGGTTGTTGAAATTCTCTTGTGATTGATTTATTCATTTGGACGTTTGTTCGAGTTGGAATTGTAGAAACTTGAAGTTCACTCATCAATATCAATGTCATCAAAGGTGGGTTTTCCATTGGTCGGTGCATGGTTGTGTGAAAAATCAGAGGCTCCACTTGTTCCTTGTGGTTGTTGTTGTTGTTGTTGGTACAATCTGGAAACGATTGGAGCACACGTACTCTCGAGTTCCCTTCGTTTCCCCTCCAATTCTTCCTTTGTGGCATTTGAATTCTCATCCATCCATTCATCCACTAGCTGACATGAATTTTTAATGGTTTCCTTCTCAGTGTTACTCATCTTGGCAGAAATGTTTGGATCGTGTATGCTCGACCTCAATTGATAGATGTAGCTTTCTAGTTGATTCTTTGCCTCAACCTTTTGCTTAATCTTTTCATCATGTTGCTTCATTTCCTCTGAGAGTCGAATATTTTCCAAAATCTCTTCAGCACTCAAACGACCCTTGTCTTGATTGATGGTGATACTTTTAGATTCTCCACGTGCAGTGTCTCGAGCTGAAACGGTCAAGATACCATCTGCGTTCACTTCAAAGTTCACTTCAATCTTTGGAGTGCCTCTAGGTGCAGGTGGAATGCCCTCAAGGTTGAATATACCCAACATATGATTGTCACTGGTCATGGCTCTCTCTCCTTCATAGACCTTAATGGTGACTGCTGTTTGATTGTCAGCATAGGTGGTAAAGGTATCACTCTTTCGACATGGAATTTTTGAATTTCTCTCAATAATCTTAGTCATGACCCCACCAGCAGTTTCAATTCCGAGCGAAAGAGGAGCAACATCAATCAAAACGTGTTTCGTGTTCATTCCAGTAATGGCGGCGGCCTGAATGGCTGCACCATAAGCCACTGCTTCGTCTGGATGAATGGATCTGCATAACTCCTTACCATTGAAGAATTCTTTAAGCATTTCTTGAATTTTTGGAATACGAGTGGAACCTCCTACCAAGACAATGTCATCAATTTTTGACTTATCCAAACCAGAATCTTGAATGACTTTCTTTAAGGGGTCAAAACACTTTCTAAAAAGATCCATGTTCAATTGCTCAAACTTGGCACGAGTGATGGTCATGTCCATGTCAATACCTTCCATGATGGCGTCGACATTGACGTTGGCATTTTCAGTGGCAGATAGGATTCTCTTTGCCCTCTCGCATGCTGTTCTCAATCTTCTCAATGATCTTGGATTTTCTTTGATATCTTTCTTGTGCTTTCTCTTGAACTGTTCACAACAATAGTCCACGAGTCGTGAGTCGAAATCTTCACCTCCCAAATGGGTGTCACCAGAGGTTGCCATCACGTCGAACACACCATCTAGTGTTGGGGTAGCCCAGTGAAACATTATAATATGGGCGTTGATTTCATGATTTAAAGAGATGTTATTTGTGACAATTCATCACAAAACAATCCACTTACCATCAATCTAGAAATTAAGTTTCAATGAGTTAATTTGTATCAATACAAACAAATGAGGGAAAGATGAATTCAAAACATGTACCAACGATCAAGAACAACAAGATGTATCATGAATTAAATGAATCACCAAATGTTCATGACCACCACAAAAACTTACATTTAAAATAGAGACATCAAAAGTCCCACCACCCAAATCGAAAATGAGCACATTGCGCTCTCCCTTCTTGTTCAATCCATACGCTAGGGCAGCAGCAGTTGGTTCATTCAATATTCTCAATACTTCCAAACCTGCAATAGTACCTGCATCTTTTGTAGCTTGTCTCTGTGCGTCATTGAAATAGGCAGGAACAGTAATGACTGCCTTGGTGATGGTTTTTCCCAAATAACTCTCAGCATTGGAACGAAGACGAGACAACACCATGCTTGAAATTTGCTCAGGTGAGAAGACTTGACTTTCTCCTTTGAAAGCAACCTGAACATGAGGTTTGTTGTCTTTACCTTTTGACACTACTTTGAATGGCCAATGTTCTAAATCTTGCTGAACAGCAGGATCATCCATACTTCGACCAATGAGTCGTTTTGCATCGAATACAGTGTTGTGAGGATTCATGGCCACTTGATTTTTGGCTGAGTCACCAATTAAACGTTCTTCATCTGTGAAGGCCACATAGGATGGAGTGGTTCTATTGCCTTGCTCGTTTGGAATAATTTCAACTCCATCACCTTGATACACACCAACACATGAGTAGGTGGTACCAAGATCAATACCAATAGCTGTTACAGATGCTGTTGAGGTTGTTGTGGATGTAGACATGCTGATCGAAAAGTGCTCAATTCACTGTCAAATCAATTTGAAATTTTTGTTTGTTGATTCAAGTTGAGATTTCATTTGATGTGGTATTTATACAATTCAAACACGACATGGTAAGGAATTTGACGGTAGCTCATTACCGATTACCGTCCGCATTCCTTGATGTACCGAATGCCACTGCCAGAAGAAGCACAACGAATTCGAAAATTCAATCTACGCAAGGAATCTTTTTTTGAGGCCAAGAATAGAATTTTCGATCATAAAAATGCCTTCAACGCATGAAGAGGATGATGACGTTGTGGAGATTGGTCCAATACGTTCGGGTAGCACCAACAACGCTAACTCTATTAACAATTCAACCGGTCATTATCGTCATTTGTTTCCTGACGATATCGGAAGGGTTGAAGATGTTGTTGGAAATATAAATTCGCATTCAACATTGCAATCTGTGGAGGAAGAAGAAAATGATTCATCAAATGATGAAAACTCTCAAAGTGGTAGTATCATATCGGACAATGAAGACGAAGTAAGCGATGAAGACGACTATGAAGAATATGAAGAAGAAGAAGAATTAAATTTTAATGAAAAAGAAGAGAATGTGGATCTTCGGGAATGGAAAATTGTTTTTCCATCAGTACATGAAAAACAACAAGTATCAGAATTATCCTCCAATAATACTCGTGGAGACACGGAGATTTTACCTGCTTCCTCAGAATTTCGACCAACACACTCACCTCTCACCAACATTGGAAATTCCCATGCATTTCAACAAAATCATCAAGAATCAATTATTGTTGTACACGATCATCAAACAAATATCAAAACAACGAATGAACAACACATTCCGAACATTTTTATTGGAATGCCCAAGCATGAAAGGCTTGCAGAACTACTTGATCCGAATGAATCTCCAATATCAGAATGTACTTATATTTTACAGACGAGAAGTGATGATCCAACACCCTATGTTCCCGATCATTTATATACTTCATTGGTTTATCAATTCTATCAGTCTGTGTTATTTCACGAGAAAATTCGAAGAAAATATGAAAAGGTGATTGCCGATATCAAGTTGGTATTCCATGACACTGGAGAAGAGGTTGTGAAAATTGTTCCCATTCCCGAAGTGAATCAGAAACCCATTCCTGCAAACTTGATTCCAGAAAAACAAGGAGGTTCCTCGAAAGAAGTAATTTCTGGAGATATCAACGGGCTCGAATTGATTAAGCCCATTTCACAACGCGACGATGCTGATTCAGTCATGGAAAATCGAACCAAATTCAATGTGGATGTTGTCTCCTTTCATTACAAGCATCGGCCATTTTGTCTTCAATTAAGGTATTACTTTCCAGAGGATTACCCACCATCATCACCACCAACGAATAATTGCGACCACCCAAATGATGGACCTTTTTGCATTCTTCACAGTGCACCATTTACAACTTCAGCACGTAGAAAAAATTCGCAACGAATGATTGAGAGTAAGAAACGTAAAAAGTTACAACGACTAATCGATCGAAAGAGAGAGAAACTACAAACACACATAGCCAATCAGCAACAACAGCAGCAAGCAGCTTCCACAACCCAACCTGCCACTCTTGAAGATTTTGCGAATAAGTTGAAAGAGCTTATTTATTTTTCAGCTGTTTTACCAAAAGAAGATCAACGAGTAGCCATTCAAGCGGCACTGAGAAGTTTGGTTCAAAATGACAAAGACATTTAGTTGTGAAAATGCCACGTGAATCTTGACAAATCAAGTCAGGACTTGATGAGAGTGTTAGCAAATTAGGGTCTATTTAGATCATGAGAACAAATTTTGTAGCCTACTTGAAACAATATTGTTGTTGTATGCAAGTTTTTGAAAACCCATCTCCATATAGCTCGAAACAGTTGCAAAGCCAACTCGTTTGCAATAGAGAGAGCATGATGCCTTTTGGAAAGGTTTGTCGTGGAACAAAAACCGCCTTAGTTGCACTTTTGTAGAAGGTGCTTCAAGAGATCATACAATGCATACAGTGGGCATGTGTCTCTTTGTGGGTGGTTATATTGTGCCTGCGTGTACAGATGTTGATTTGGAGAGATGCGAGACAAAACACAACGAAAAAAACAAACTGCAACATAGTTGTTGCCTTTTTAGCACAGCTTTTTTTCTCTTTGAACTCTCGAGAGTTCTCACCTATTGTGGTGACATCTAAGGTACCTGACGCTCGACGGATATACCCCTCACATTCCCAAATTTCTCCCAAACAAGTCTTCGATAGGTGTGTGGTTTTTCCATGCTGCTCTTAAAGCCTCGTCCTAAACCACGTAACGGTCCATTTGGGCGCGCACCCATAAACACGGTGCACTTTCAAGTGAAAAAAAACCTTCTGAACCAAAAACAAGGTGAAACCACACAGTCCGAGATGCCCTCCTATTCAATTTATGAAGATTTGAATGTTGTATCGTCATGTATGCAGGGAGGAGATACTATAGATCCATCGTCGTGTATGGATTGTAATGCAGACGATGAACTTATCCATAACATTCATCATCATCATCACCATGAATCGTTTTATAATATTCAAAAAACCACCTTTTCTTCCTCCACTGCTGGCAGCAAGATGATTATGCCAACAACAGCCAACAACCTCTCCTATTCCTCCTCAAAATCTTACCATCTATTAAACACAACGACATCTACTACCACTTCTCATACAAAACAAGCAACCACACTCGGTTTTATTGATTTGAATGTACATTCCTCGTTGCTCTCTTTTGGAGACAATAAGGAAAACATTGATCCAATGACTGGTCGAGTTTATCCTGTACTACAACCACTCTCCATGAAGAGCAAATCCTCCAACAATCCACATCTCCAAAGAAATCCTCTCAAAGACATCACGCAACAAGTTCTGGGTGTCAACAGAAAACAAAGCAACACTTTTTCCACACCAACAAGTTCCGAAAAGAACTCTGCAAATAGAAAGTTGCCTGGTTCTCGATCTTCTGGTAATCCTCTTTCACCATCTGCTCTGTACCTCCGTTAAGTTGTTTAAGAACAAGTTAACAATAAACGTTAATTAAACGATTTCAAATTCTATCCTTCGAAAAGCACAAAAAAAAAAAAACACCCTCCAAGAATCAAAAAAGAAATCTCAAATCTCGAGTGCCGGGAATTGAACCCGGGTCGCCAGAGTGACAGTCTGGAATGCTACCACTATACCACACCCGATGTACATTTGATATGAAAATCATCTATTCTTAACGGTAAATATATAATCTCCTGTTTCAATCGAAATAGAAGACCCTGAAGGTGTATTTTGTTGATCTGATTTGTGGCGGAGTTATGTTGAACAGATTGACGTTTCCAAATTTTTGATATCTAATATTGAGTGTCTCATAATCTGAAATTGTCCCATAATTGTGTTAGATCCTTAAATTAAAGTTGTTTGTTGTATTTCAGAACACAATTTGTCAATGCAATCAAGAAATATTTGGACAAAAGCCAAAGGAGCAAGAAAATTGTTCTCTCTGCAAACCTGCGTCTATCTTATGAAGGACTCTCACCAACCAGCTAACTCTCTAATGTCTTGTTCGACACGTTGTTTAATCATTCAAGCACAACAGTTGACAAACTTCAATACGAGGCCTTGGAGCAATGAGAGATTCAAAACTGTTTAGAGGGAATATCATAATTTATATACACTGTCTCTTTATTGAATGGATTCTTTTTCAAAGGGATATTCCCGTTAGTGTGCCTTTGTTTCATATTCATCTTTCTAAAATATAAATACTTCTTACACTCCATACATTAGGCATTATGATCCTTATTCTCTTCTTTCAAGAAGAAGAATCCGCGTTGCTTCCAACCATCATTAAGGTGTTTCGGGATTAACAATGCATTCCCTTGCAGAGATTTATCCCAGTGACTTGTTCTTTGAAAAGTGTTTGAGAAAACACTTATTTCGCACTAACCAACAAGTCTGACGAATTCAGTCACACAAGGATTGGTTGTTTGACCTTCCAACAACTAGAACTTGGAACTCTTGCATTGGTTGATACTCCACAAAAAAGAGCGACAAATACCCTGTCAAGGTCGTCATCATCGTTATGCTTTCACAACAAAAAGACACCACCCAAAAGACAAAAACCAAATGGCAAGAATTATTAGAGGCTCCGAAGGGCTGCATGGAATATAATCCTCATCAAGCTTTCGCTTTACAAGTGTTTTGGATCGTCCGATCCTTCCGAGCAGCCACCGAAATGATTGAAAAGGGATTCCTACCCTGTAGTCAAGCCACCCTTCGAGATACACCCACCACCCTTTGCTACTTGTTTCGAATTTCACAACAGGATGGTCATGAACAAATGGCTGAGGAATTTAAAAAACAAGTGAAAACTATTGGACAACATCCTCACTATCAACCTGCTTTTAAGAGTATCAAGATGGGAATTGCTCAACAAAATATTGAAATGAAATTGAAACAGGGAGGAATTAATATCGAACCATTGAAATGGAATCCTGATGAGCCCATGGAAGGACATGAAGATGAATTGGACTTTCATCCAATTGTGTTGGAATGTACAGAAGTTTATTTGGATAATCGAAGTTTTTATGATCATTCAGCATCACAGGATTGGATGAACCATTATCCAGAAATTGTCAAGCCCTGTCGATCACTAAAACCAAAGACTTTTTGTGTGGGACATCCAAGTGAGGAAATTTGGGAAAAGGCACTTGAAAGTGCATTAAAGGCAATTCGTTTCAATGGTGATGAGACAAGACAAGTGAAAATTATTCAACCTGGATTATTCCTTCATGACAGTTTCAGTTCCAACAATGAAAATGCTCAACAACAAGTGGCAACCATGTTTTTGGAGATGGATTTGACGATCGCTAATGACAGACTTGAACATTGTCAATCCTACTTTTCCCAAATTCAACAAGATTTACACGCTCCCTTTATGGTTGTTTTACCAACCAATCTCCATGATGGGGAAGAGGTTGTGGTTCAAGAAAAGGTGCAAGTTCGAATCATGCTCTCTTTTTCTTACTCGAAAGAAACGAGTAGTAAGAATTTATCAGCACTCATCCAAGATTGTGAATCTTTTAAGGGAAGAATTATTGTATTTTGTGAGAATGGTAGTGAAAATGATCAAGCGACTCAATTCGCTCAAGAATTTATGGAACTCTCTGGCTTGTCATCATCGAACTTTCTAACCATACTCGATGGCAAATTAGCTGAGAAAAACAACACTCTTGCTGGTTTTATTTTACACCCTCTTTACAACAAGCTTATTATTAATGAACAACTCAACTACAAGCCGTAAATCATTTAGAAACAAGTCATTCACAATTATGTATAAATAATAATAATAATAACGGTCGTTCCTTCTATGCATCTCAAAGTGGACCACGCAGAGTTGTATTGTGAAATTGAAATTCCTGTTTGAAGATTAGAGGAATACACTTGATCTGTTGTGATGTCTACTATCGTATCTCTTAATTCTTGTATGACATGTCACCCCACTCATTTTAACAATTACTGATGCCTAGTATCATTATCTTCTTAACTCCCTTCCAAATTTGAATAATTTGTTCTTCATTTAGCATCTAATAAGGCATCACGCTTGCTTTGTGCACAATTGCTTTTTTGACAAATCAGCGTTTTTTAAACAAGTTGCTTAAATGTTGCCGGTAATGGTTTGTGCGGAAAAGATCTTCGAATAAGACAACTGACATTTCATCAGTGCGATGTACCTCGTTCCAACATAATAAATTATTCAAAAAAACAAAACAATTCGGTGAATTACTGATTTCATCTTGCCGGCTGATATCTCGTCCCACGCTCCAACAGAAGGCAACAAGATAGCAATTTAGGCCATCATTCAACCTGTGTCTGCTTTGCTTTCTTTGTCAAACAACAGAGAACTGTTTACGTAAACACCGAAGCACCAACCTCCTGTTTGAGAAAAGTTGCTGTTGTTGGTAGGTTGTGATTTGTGAGATGACGCGGTGTGCGTGATCCAGCCTGCCGTATTGTGCCCAAAAACATTTTCAACAATTAACCTTTTTCGAAAAATCAACTCGTTTACATCTACCTGTAATGTCGCCAGCCGAATCTCATTGATCCTTCTTCTCTTGAAAGACATGACAACACTCTCGGTACTGTAGGTTCTCCACCAGTCGAATCAAGAAAAACACGAAGAAGAACCACCCTCCTTAATTTTGAACAAACCCAAGAATATTCACACCCTTTCCTGTTGTTGAATGGAATATTCACATGATGGAAAAAAGCTTCCATCTCTTCTAAATAATGATAATTCACAAAGCATGTCTCTCCATCGTCAATCAGCACCTAAAAACAACAAACAAAGTGATGAAAAACATCATCAATTCAGCACCTTCACCATCTCTAGTGAGGAAGGTGAAAGACAATTAGAACAACAACCTAAACAGTATCCACATCCCATTCGACACGAGAGGTCACACATCCCTTCATTACAGAATCATCAAGGACATGCTCATCAAATACCTTCAACGATGGTTGGACATTTACATCATGATGTGCATGGGACAACTTCAAGATTCCACCACCATGTTGCCACTGGAAGCCATTATGGGAGAGATACATGTCACTCATATGAAGCTCATCAACAACAACAGCTGCTACCAACATCAATGCCTCTTCATCAACAAGATTATACCATGCAACAACATCAACAACTACCAACGCCACCAATCACATCTATATGTACATCACTTCAAAGAAGTAGTCATACAAACTCACAAAAGAGAAAAATCTCTCCTTCTCTAACTCTTGCATGCAGCGAAGAATCCATGAATGCTTATTGTAGTTTTGATGAAAATGCTGAACATGCTCAACAATATCATTATCAACCACAAATAGTTATGGAGCCATCTATTGAATTAGGTCCTCTAAGTGATGTGAGCAAATTATTTTCGAATGCATCTATGCATTCAGTTGGGAGGAATAACGCAGCATGCAGTAGACTTGTTTCTTCTTCATCAATATCTAGGCCAAATGCATTCTCTCAACACGAATTATTGCATTCATTTAATAATAACAATATCAGTAATTCTTTCTCTTCTTCATTAAGAAATAATTATGATGATCATGCACATGTGGCAAGTAATTTGGGTACATATAACCGCAATAATTATAATGAACCTCCGAATGCATCAGAAGAATTATTAACATCCCTAACAAGAGCCACCACAAATTCATCTCTCACCTCTTTTAAACCTCGAGGAAAATTAGAAATTTCAAGCATGCATGATCATCCTCCTGATGGAATTCATTCGACTTTTCTGCAAAAACCTCAATTAATTTCCAATGATAATAACAACGATCTGATCGCTCACAGTGGTCTAGCTCCAAAAATTCCATCCCGTGAGGATTCATCCAACAACACTCATCATCCCATTCATTCATTCTCGTCCTCGTCCTCAGTATTACTAGTCGATCCGACAATAACCTCACCTCAAACAATCATCACCTCAAATTCTTCTTTCTTTCCCTCAGATTGTTCTTTACAGTTGAGATCACGTGGACCAACTGAAATTTTGAGGAACTCACAATATAATATAATTCCTACAATCCCTAATGAACGATCACAACAACAACCAACACCACATACTTTCGCATGCACTCAAACTGGCTCTGTGAGGAGTGCATCCTTAATGTTGCAGAGAGAGGATCTCCTCCGAGATGAGCCACTTGGTGGAGAAGAGGAAATTAATACTATCATTCAATCTTGCCAGGAAGGTTCAAATTTCCAAGTGGATTCTCTTCCCTCTGTTATGTTCAATAAGAATTCATCATCTTGCTCATCTTCATGTTCCTCGTCTACTTCATCGTCACACGAGAGAAAGCCTCAATCGACCTCAATTACAACATGTTCTAGATCTGCATCGAATTCTACTACTTCATCAACGATCATGATGACCAACTTTTCAACACCAACGAATCAAGAAGTACCATTCTCCCAGAATAAGGAACAACAATTTCAACCACCACATTCCTTTTCAGAATGGACTACTTCATGTCACAAACTTCGTTCAAAACGAGCCAAACGCAAGGACAGTCAGAACATTTTCCATGTGACTTTCCATGAAGGAAGAGATCCTCCACAACTGCGTTTTCAAGACATGAATCAATCTTCTCTGCCTCCCACACATTCCACTCGCAACAGTCGGAAGAGAACTTCTTTTAGACATGACAAAATGACCCTGAATCAAGCAAGAGATTTGCCTCCATCAATTTCTAACAGACACTTTTCCCCACCTGGCCTTTCTCTCGCCACTCCATCCTCTTCCAATGCCACTGCAGTGACATCCAAGAGCTCCAACAGTACACCTTCCACCTCAACCCCAGAAAACATCACTTCGACCACTGTTGGAACTGCTAGTGATTCAGCCATTGCTCCTACGGACCTAGGTTCTCCCATTGTGCTGGATCTATCCAATGTACCAAAGCTGTCGACAGGTGGCTCCTTCTATCAACAAGCACCTCCACCCAGAAAGAAGATTAAGAATTTTGTGAACGACGGACCTTGGTCGAGTGAAGAACACGAGAGATTTATGGAAGGATATCGAGTTTGTGGGCAGAATTGGAGAGCCATCAGCGAGAAGTATGTCAAATCGAGGACTCGTGTGCAGGTACATGCTCATGCCATGAAAGTTTTGAAAAACATTAAACCAAGTCAAGAAGGGTCTTCTTCCTCCTCCCATACTGTTAAATAATCCTCGGGTTAATATAATAATATTATTAAGGTCGGGTTGGAATCATCATTGAGCAATATCGCCCAAAGGATATTTGTATTTAACCGTTTTTTAGAAGGTGTGTGATGAGCCTGCAGGTGGTTTGCAACTACGGTACCGTTTTACAGCAAGAGCCAAAAGAGCCTCACTAGAAAAAATGGGACTAACTTCTCGGTCTCCTAACTTTCACGATCAATATCATCATCATCAACAACAACAACAACAACATTATGGACAACAACACGAACGACAAAGGATTCCTCGTTTCGGCAGAGAGAGAATGATTACTGCCTTCCTGAGTGTGGGCTCCCTTATTTTAGTAGCACTACTCTTCAATTTAACGACCTTAATACTGTTTATTCCTCATGACACCGAGGGACAGAAATTATTTGATTTGTTTGAGGAGAGAAGATTGATACGAGAAAGACAAGCCAAAGAACTAGTGGACATGAGCAACTTTGTGAAGGAAATGACTGTTCAGGCGAAACGAGCCAACTATCAAAAGAAAGCTCTTGCCTTCGCGTCGAGATCGTATAGTCAAATGAATGTAACAAAAGCAGCCTACAATGATCTCCTCGCTAAATATGCAAAACGATATCAATACTACCAGGCGACACTTCAAGACGCTCAACTTATATTGAATATTACAAAGGTGGTTCACGAATATGAACTGCTCAATGTTACGAATAGAATTTATGTACGTTGTTTTTGATTTTTAACGACTCGAAATATTGGAAACTCTTTACATTATCAGCAAGAAGAAGCCAATATAAATATAACAACACCAATTGATCCAAATTATGTGGAGAAGCTTAACGGTACACAGTTCACTACCCTTAGTACCACAACATTTTCGAGAAGCCTCTACAGCGAAACATCTAGGCTTGTCACAGGAGAAGGTTTTGGTATTTTTATCACCGGCCACGGAACATTGTATTCATTCGGAACAAAATCTTATGCGTTGGGCAGAACTAATAGAAAAGACAGATCCGTAAATCCTGTGGATTTTAAATTGTCTGCCAACGAAGAAATTTGGCAACTCGTTGCAGGCGATTCTCATGTACTTCTCCTGACTAATTTGAAATTGTACGGATGGGTAAGTTTTGTAGTCATCAGTGGTTCATTTCTGCTCACTGTGGGTTCCTCATCAACATGTCATTGAACTCTGATTTCTTATCAATAATAAGGGATTAAACAATTGGGGTCAACTTGGTGATGGTTCAACTACAACCAGACAGCTCCCAGTGGAAATTCTGACTCATTCAGGAAGTATTATATATATTGCGGCAGGTACTGATAATTCGTTCTATGTCAATACAGCAGGTCAATTGTACGCTTGGGGAAGAAATAGTGAATATCAACTCGGTAAGTCTTTGCAGTTTCAAAGGTCTTGTTGCTAAAACAGCATTTTAGGTTTGGGAACTGACCGAACAATAGCACCTGCATCAGTGAAACAACCGATGCTGGTCTCATTTGCCGATAACCCAGCAGTTACTCACGTTTGTGCCGGCGTTGCTCATGTTGTTGTCAGATTTAGTAATGGAAGTTTTTCTTACTGGGTAAGTCCAACAAAAAGAATTGAGAAAAATTAATATCCAATTTTAGGGACAAAATTTTCCAATTGCTGGCTATCCCAATGCAGTTTATCAATATTTCGCAAGGCCTGTAGATATTGGAGTGAGTCCTAATAACTATCCAACGAGTAACCACTTAGACTTTGTGTGTGGCGATCGATCAACTCTGTTTTTGACCAATTTGGGAACAGTGTTTGGTTTAGGTGAAGGAGCAAACGGCAGGCTAGGAATAACAGGAGCAAATTCAAAGTCCGTATTAACACAAATTACAACCACCGATTTGGGCTCTCGCAAAATTTTGAAGCTCTTCCATAAAAAATCAGCAGCATTTGCAATATGCGACGATGGAACAGTATGGGCGTGGGGAGCCAATTATCATTGCCAACTTGGTACAGGAAGGTATGACTGGTGTTATTGGTGGTATGGATGTGGTTGCTATGATGTGACAATACCAAGGAAGATCCAATCATTTCCAAAGGCTAAAAATCCTTATTACTACGAGTTCGCCTTAATGACATATTCCACTGCAATGTTTTATTCTGACGGTAATAATCTCTTTTTGGCTGGAGCAGGATTTTCAGAAGATAGCCGGTTGGGCACAAGAATTATTCCAAGATACTTGTTCCGAAACATTCAACAAGTGAAGATGCAATTTTGGTCACCTCTTCAAAGAAAGTATCCCTTCTTTACCGCCCAAAACAATCAAACCGTATATATACGAGAAGAACATTATATGGGCACTTCAAAAGACAATCTTAATATTGTATCAATACTGGGAGTTGGATACACCTCTCAAAATGTCCCAAATCAAGGAGTGACAAGTCTATCTATACAAGACAAGAATAAGATGTTTGCTTATTCATTCTTTAACACTCACATGCTCACCGTCAATACGACTGTTTATTTCTTTGGAGGAATGCTCAATCACACTATGACCAACAAAATAATTAGTACCAACTCAGTATTTGGAGAATGGACGGTGTACAATAAGACTCTTCCTTTTCCTGTTGCAAGTGGAATGTATGCACTGGTTGAAGATTACTTTTATATTTTTGGAGGAATGACCACTGACAATATTGGAAACTTGATGCCTTCAAATAAGATTATCAGAGCTCCTTTAAGAGACATTTTGAGTTGGGAGGTGACAACGATGACATTACCTTCTTCAATTTATGCAGGGCATACAGAGATCATTGGAAACAATATATATATATTTGGTGGAAGAAAATTTAACCAAGAACCGAATTCAGATATTTTAATGTCTCCTTTGGTCAATATGACTTGGACAAATACATATCTACCACTTCCATATCCGATTGTTGATGGGCCTGTCCTCTATGACTCTAAAAACATTTACATGTTTGGTGGGTATTACGCTACCAATGAAAAATATTATGCAAATATTCTACAAGCTAATTTGACAAACCCATTGTACTGGGATGACTCCATGAACAAGGTCCCTTCTCCTGTAGGCTCACGTTATTATTCGATTGGTTGTGGTTCGGTATTTTTATTGGGTATGCAAACGAACAGGACAGACACAACTGTGAATATATTGTCGTCAAACTCTAATCGATTTTGTTCGACTCACGGAAATTGCGTGAGAGGTAATTGTGTTTGTCACAATCAATGGACTGGTTTAAATTGCTCAATTCCAACTTGTAATGGAATTCCACAAGGAACACTCGGTGTTTGTAGCGGCAGAGGATCATGCATCGGGCCTGATACTTGTAACTGTACAAACTCAACGCTTTGGGGAAGTTCTTGGTGTGACATTCCAAAATGTGATGGTGTTTTGGCAACCGTTAACTCTTCTGTGTGCAATGGAAATGGAGCTTGTGTGAGTCCCAATACGTGTGTTTGCAACCTTGGTTGGCGTGGTGAAAGGTGTCAAGTCGCAATCTGTTATGGTGTGTCAGGAGACGACCCAAGTGTTTGCAGTGGTGTCGGAGCCTGTGTTAAACCGGACATGTGTGCATGTAACATTGGTTATTACGGTAGTAATTGTCAATCTTACTTTTCGCAATCAATTCGTGTTAAGGCAACCATTGACGGCACCGATAATGTGATCATACAGGGAGGGGTGTTAACATGGCAGCACGGAGCATTTGGAGCACCCACTGGGATTACTATTAACGGCCAAGCATTCGCCTATACTTCCAGCTACCAATTAGGTTACAATACAGACGGATTCAGCCGTGTTAGTGTGACCAAAACAACGGCCAGAGATACAGTTACAATATCACAAATGCCTACGGCCCAGAATGGATGGAAAACGATTGTGGGCGTTGTAGACAATCCCGGAGGAGCTGCAGCTTACGACTTTACCATTACTATCAGTGCTTAAAGTTACTAAAGAAAAATGCATTCGAAAAACTGGTTGTTTATTCTGATTTCTTTGGTTGTAAACTGCTGAGCTTCGACTTTAAATCGCTTATAGAACGCTTTGGAGTTGCAACCACATCTTGCTTCTTTGTTTTCTTTTGAGCAGAGGATAGGACTCGAGTTTGTGTGTCCTCGTTCATGTGTTGTTTCTTTGGTGTTGAGGCGTTATTTTTCTTTGGCTCTTCATTGGTAGTACTACTGGGAACGTCTGACTTTGGAGTGGTAACTGCTGCTGTGGACGTTGTGACTTCTTCAGGATTTGCTGATAAAGGGCCTTGCTTTTTCGCTGATGTTGGTTGAACATTGTCCTTCTTCTTTGGTGTTGCAATAGCTTCTTCAGTCTGTTTGTTGTTATTTGTAGCACTCTCTGCAGTTGCTTGTTTCTTTGTTATTGATGATGTTAACTTCTTTGGCGTGCTAGTAGTGAGTGGTGCGGAAGTTTCATCCGATGATGAATTACCAACAACACGAGCAGGTGTTGCTATCTCACTCTTTCTTGGAGTCATGACTGCTTTCTTTGGTGTTGAGGTTGGTTGGATTAAAGAAGCGTGTGTGGTTGCTGCTTCTTCCTGAAGCGTCTCTTCCTTCTTTCCTCGACTTCTCCATTTCTTCTCAGCTTTGAAAGTTTTAGCCTTGTCCATATCAATATCAACATTTTCATAAATTTTCACATAAATAGAACGATTCGTGTGTAGCATGACCATTCTAATGTCACTTTGAACCAATTGAGAAAATGCAGTTCTAACTTCTGCATTGTTTGTCTTGTTCTCCAAAAAGTGTGAAACGTTTGCAAAAATGTCCTTGTCATTCCATTCAGTACGAGCAATTCGAATGGTAAAGTGCGAATTACCTTGCACAATGAATGCCTTGGAATGAGTAAGATCGTTATTGATCCAACCCAAAACATTATCAAGTGTCACTGGTCTCACTCCTTGCTTTCTCTTTTTATAGGAGTTGAATAGGGCAGAAACTTTTCTCGAAAGAGTAGCGTCACAAAATAGTAAATCGTATTGGTTCAAGAAATGCTTCTTATCGTTGAATCTGCCAAATCTAGTGTTTTCAAATGTATTTCCTTTAAGATAGGTCGTTCCAATTTCAACCATCAAGTCTGAAAGTTTCATAATTTTCAATTTTGTAATAAATTCACAGTCCTTCAATGTTTGAGTGTAGGCATCGTATTGGTCGTCTTGAACGAGAAGTAACATTTGGAGAGATGAGAATGGAAGTTGTTCCTTCGAGAAACTCAGAATGGGTTTTAAAAATGGGACATCGACAGGTGCTGAAATGGAATGCAAATATGGATTCTTCATGTAGACAGAAATAAAGAATACAAGGCTAGGATCTTGTTCTGAGAATAAAAGACCTTCACCTGGTTGTGTGATTGCTTGGTCATATGTTTTGAGTTGTTTGATGGTTTCCATGACTTCGCTCTTTTCTAATTGAATGTGACTGACCGTAGATGCACTCATTGCCTCAGCTAAACATATGGAAAGACATATTCACATGATTTGCAAATCAGGTGAGTAATTATGTTGAGATGTATCCATGAGAATGATGCACCACATAAATGTCATGTGTTGAAATGAGCATAAAACATTGACAACATCAAACTTTTCACTTACCAATCGCAGTCTTATAGTATCCAGTCGAAATGAATTTGAATTGTTTGGCGAATAATTTTTCATCCTTTCCTGTGAATGCTTTGATAGCTTGTAATTTTGAGAGAGTTTTTGCAGAGTAAACTTCTTCTTCAATTGGTTCTTGGTCGTATTCATAGGAAGGATCAACTTCAACATTTTCAATACCGGTGACTGCTTTTTTAAAGTCTGGATCAGCATCATCAAGGAAGAATCCAGCCTTGTTTTCCTCATCAAAACTACATTCACTCAAAATGTAATCCCTCATCACCTGATCAAAATCTAATTCTTCATCTTGTAATGTCTCCAAGTCATCCTTCTTCGGAACCAAAGGTACATGTACTTTTTGATTAAAAGGCTTTTTGAATGGTTTAATTCTATCCAAAACCTCCGTATGATACCGTTGAATATGGTCCTTCTTTTTTTGAAACAAACTCTTCTTCTCCTCTTCCGTAGCTCCCTGAAGAGCCTGTTTAATTTGCTCCTTGTGGAGTTGCTGTGTGGAGAGAGGCTTTGTGAGCGAAAGGTTTTTCTTTGGAGCCATTTTTTTTCAACAATCACCAAAAAATTTGAATTGATAAAATCGAGAGAGTACGTTTTTGGTCGGAGAGGGCAACGAAGAAGACAAGGAGAAGACAATGCCAACCTATGTTGAGTGGAAGGAATATATCTCTTTTCATTTGTTGGTAATGTTCACTCAGAAATTGAAGATTCGTTTGGTAGCCTATTGGATCGTTGAACTTGTTATTCGATCTGAATAAACATTACAGAATGCCATTGAAGAACCAGATTGCAACCGTCCTCATGCATTTTCAGTCGGCATCAAAATTTCAAAAAAAGAATTTTCATAAAAAATTGAAAAAAAATGAGCGAACAACAACAAGGACAATCCTCTTCCAGTGCCACCACTACTGATGAAACCAAGCTTACTCCTGAAGAAAAGAAGGCTCTCCGGGAACAACGAAAGAAGGAAAGCGAGGAGAAGAAGAGGCAAAGACAATTGGAGAGAGAACAACAACAAAAAGCTGCTCTAGAGGCTCAAATTGTTAGAATTACGGAAGAGGAGTTTCTCAATCAATCAAAATCTTTTGGTCATATTCCAACCATCCGTTCCACCTATCAAACGGAACAGAAATTTGATCAAGTGAAGGATATTGATGCTTCGTATCATGACAAGATTGTAACTCTCAGATCAAGAATTCATACTGTGAGAGGACAAGGAAAATCTTGTTTCATCTTGTTGAGAGAAGGATGCTTCTCAATTCAAGCTACACTCTTCGCTCAAGATGAAGAAGGAAAGGCAATGGCTAAATATGCTCAAAAACTCACCAAGGAGTCCATTGTTCAAATGGTCGGTAAAGTCGTGAAAGTCGAACAAGAAATTACTTCTGCCACACAAAAAGACGTTGAAGTGCAAATTCACAAGATTTACTGCATTTCCACAGCTACTGGCTTGCCCATTCAAATTGAAGATTGCATGAAGGTGGAAACCAAGGAGGAGCAAATGAAAGCCAATATGGCCGAGTTGGAAGAGGCAAAAGCAGAAGAAGAAGGAACTGGTCCGAAGGCTGTTGGTCAAAAGCTTCGTTTGGACAATCGTGTGATTGATATGAGAGCCCCTGCCCAATTAGCTATTTTCAAGATTCAATCTGCTATGGGAAGATTCTTTAGAGAATTCTTGTATGGTTTGGACTTTACAGAAATTCACACACCAAAATTGATTGCTACTGCCTCCGAAGGTGGTGCTGAAGTTTTCAAGGTTCACTACTTTGACAGATTTGCCTATTTGGCTCAATCACCACAATTGTATAAGCAAATGGCTGTTGTTGGTGACTTGATGAAGGTCTTTGAGATTGGTCCAGTGTTTAGAGCTGAAAAGAGTTTCACCCATCGTCACTTGACCGAATTCGTTGGTTTGGATATTGAAATGGCAATCAAATCTCACTACACTGAGGCTTTGGAAGTGATTGACAAGATGTTTATTTATATTTTCAATCGTCTTGAGAAGGACTTTGCGAGAGAATTGGAAATTATTAGAGCTCAGTATCCATTCGAACCAATCATTTACAACCAAGAGAAGAACTTGAGAATTCCATACTCTCAAGCAATTACCTTGTTGAATGAAAAGCACAATTTGGGCCTTGCACTCGACGAGGATATCAATTCTACCCAGGAAAGAATGTTGGGAGAAATCATTCGTGAAAAGTACAATACTGACTTTTTCATTGTTGACAAATTCCCATTGAAGTTACGTCCATTCTACACTATGCCTTGTCCAGAGGATCCAACCTTGTCCAATTCGTATGACATTTATTTGAGAGGTGAAGAAATTTCTTCTGGAGCTCAACGTATTCATGACGCCGAATTGTTGCAACAAAATGCAAAGGAGAAGGGTGTTGATTTGACTCCAATCCAAGCATATGTTGATGCTTTCAAATATGGTGCTTGGCCTCATGCTGGTTGTGGTGTTGGCTTGGAAAGAATTGTCATGTTATATCTTGGTTTGGGTAACGTGAGAAAGACCTCCATGTTCCCAAGAGATCCAAACAGAGTTACTCCATAAATATTCCACACAACTTATTGTGAAAATTCAGAGTCTTGTGTGAATTTGATTTTTATTCTGTGTTGAAAACTGTTGATGATCCACTTACACCAATGAGGGTCGTACAACAACAAATAATAACATAAAAACATGAACTCATTCAATGGTTCGTAATCACTCCAATTGTTACTGGAATGAGAAAGAACAAAACAAATGGCGAATAGTCGCACAACATGGCACTGAAACGATTCATGGTCGTATTTTTAAAGTTTTCTGCTAACGACTCAGCCTCTTCATAATTTGCAGCATTCCATCCTGCATAATTTGGTGGATATCTAAATAATTCGTTCACTCCATTCGACGATGTGACATGACTATCACTGTCACTACGATTGTTGTCTTGAATCACCACTGGAATAAATGATTCATTTCTGAACGAGGCATATTTTAAGCCAAGTGGTAAATCACCGTCCGCACAACCATTACTTTGAATATTCTCCCTCTCCAAAATTTCTTCAACCTCAAACACCCATTTTCTTAAAAAGCTCAATGATTCCTCATCCTCTCTCGTCAACTCAAATTGTTTGAAAGGGTGTGAAGTAAATTCCATGAAATGGGAATGGTGATATTTGCCATTCACTTCATGAATTGAATATTCATTAATGGATATGAATTGATTGTTCATCACATCATGATCACATTCCTCATGACTACATGAAAATTCTCTCACTTGTTTCAATTTTTCAATTTCATAATATCTATAAATGTACAATGTAATCTCTCTTCCTCTCATCGACTGAGGCCATTCCAGTGTAAATGACTTCTCACCACCGGCATGAGTATCCCATTTAAACTGATCATTCATCATGCTTTTATTCTCCGTTTCTTTATCAATCATGATGGCTTTCATTCCAAATTTCAATTTCCGTTGATAGAAATGTTTTGCAATGCATTGGAATGCTTTCGGAACATCCTGAGGTACTACCGAGAAGTGAATCTTGTAATCGGGTGCCCGATGATTACAAAGTGCTTGAGCAATCCAGTATTTTCGTCCATTCAAAGTAAAGACTCTCACAAAGTTATTGGACGCTCCAATATAATATCCATTCAATTTATGCATTTTGCTACGATCTTGAACAAGTTTTTCATAATTAAAAACAAGTGAAAGCGAGGCATCGGAATCATCGGGAACTGTATCTTGTTCTTCCACCATAAACACCTCACCACCGGTGGAGTTGGGTTTGGGTTTGGGTTTCATGAGATTTTTTTTAAGTTCAAAGTTCAGTTGTTGAGCTTGAAATCCAAACGGAAAGATTTCGATCGCAATTTCTGTGATATTTGACAATCGAAAAATGTTCTTTTTTGATCACACTTGTGATCCCTACCACAGAAGATCTGTAAATTATGGAATTTGAATTTCCTTATTAGGTAATTGCTTCGTTGTCAACAACTCTCTCACCTCTCAATTCCAACGTTAGTACATAATGTGTTGTTGAACAATCCTTGTTCTCATGAATCAAATCTCCAATCCAAAAAAACAACAACAACACACGCGAAACAACCTTTAATCTTTCACAGAAAATGATGCATCATTCCCGATTCATTGCCTTCCTGTTAAGCATTGCTGCATTCCTGTTGCTTCTTCTTTCATGTACCAAAAACAACAACCTCTCTTCTCTCGTTCATGCTGATTACTTGATGGAAGAATTCAAAAATCTTTCCTGTAGTGGAACATCCGTCTATAAGGAATACAATCCCACCACTTGCGATAACTTGAATTCTGGCGTTTGTCAAAACCATACTAATTACAGTTCCAAAAGATCATGTCTCCCTACCATTCAAACACCACTCTCACCAAAAGTAGGTGAACACATGACTCTCTTTTATGAAGATTCGAAATGTTCAACAAAACCATCGAAGGTCATTGTCACTACTTTGGATACTTGTATTCCAGCTAGTTTGGGCTCTTATATGATTAAGGTATTATTATTCTGATACAAATTGTCAAAATGAAATCATGACGGACACGATTACTGTCAGGGATTGTTTCAATGGAAAGTCTGTTCAATGCAATAACAGAACGGAAATTCCACCCGTAAGAAATTCTACTCGTCTCAATGGTGGCACCTCAGAATTCATGTTGAGACTCAGCATTGGAATTATGGTTTCAGTGATGTATGTTCTGTTGTTCTAATATTGAATCTAATCTTTGATTGAGGCCATGAGAGAGGATCATGTTTGAAGGAATGTTTGCAAATCATCATCAAATTCACCTGAAACAATTTGTTGGAATTCAGAGTAATGTTGTTAAATCAAACACCTCAAAGTGGACTGTTTTCAATTCTGGACACATAAAAGTTTAATAATTGGAGAGTAAAAAGAGTGAACATTTGAGTTCACATTTCTACACCACAACACAGGTGTACACTCCAAAAATTCCGTTATTCTCTCTGGCTGTTTCTTTAAGAGTATTATTACTTTAGAATTAAGCTATTCGTTTCATCATCCTCTCCTTTCGTATTTCTTGTTGTTGATAAATACATCTTGTCATTGATACTGTTGTCAACAACATCGGTCATCATGGTATCGAATGTGTGAGGAAAGAGAGCGAGCATGATGGAACTAACTCCAAGCCATTCATAGGCTGGAATATACGTACTCACATACGCAGGAATAAACCCTAATCCTGCCAAAACAAAAATCAATTGCCAAATAATGACAAATGTGTGACAAGTGACCGATAATAAAAACCAGGTTCGTTTTGAAGGAAACTGTTTCGAGTCGTGATGAGTTATTCGTCTGAATAATTCGAATGGAGTCGATTTGTTCTTCACAACCTTAACGACTCGCCATGTGTGAATGACCACGGAGCATGCTGTATAGGTCAGTAAAAGAATTAATCCAAGAAATGCTGTCACAAAGTGAAAGGACTTGGTTCCTTTCTGGTCAGGAAATATGGCCATTAACAAGAGTAATAAATTGCTGACGAGTCCAAACAATAATTGCGACCAAATGAGCCAAAATGCCACAGACTTCAATTCAACACGTCGTCTTGGCATGGTCAATCCACAACACATCATTCTCCACCATCCACTGTGAGCATTTGCTAAACCAAACCATTTAGCATGAAGCATGAGAGCTCTATTGAAAAACAACACACTCATGATCACCCAATAGACTGCAAAAGTTGCCACAAAAAAAGGCCGTAACCAATGATCCTCTCTTCCACACGATGAAATAGCTCTTCCGAAATTAATATCCACACCACAAATAATGAGTAATACCAACAGTAATCCAAATATAAATAACCATGTCAGGGTTGCAAGAATTGAAATCATTCTTAATGCTGTCGGAGAGAAAATTACGGACCCATGATGATGATGAGAGAGTCCATGGTTCCAAGCATTTGAAGAAATTCCTTGATTGGATTGAGTGCTAGGTTGTTCCTCCGAACCCGAAGACGTAGCAACAATTGGTCCAATACTTGAAGAAGGAAACAACAACCATGAGCCAATTTTCCAACCCGATGCATGGAATGAATCCTTCTTTTTGTTGTTTTCAATCATTTTTTGAGAGTCTCATTCAGCTCGAGAAAACAAGCTTGGGAATGCACAATATAAATGATGATGATGGCGTTTTCAATGATCACTTCTTCCATCATGTAATGGAGGTCATGTCATTATTGAGACTACATTCGTGTTGAAGCAACAGCATGCTGTTGTCTGCACTGCTCAACAAACGTTTCGGGTGAGGTCCATATAATAGTTAAGGAATATTTCACTTTTCGATCAGATATGGCAAGCGCTATAATGCCATTTTCGAGAATGATGAAGGTTGTCTTTTAGATATTTGTTGCTTTTGATGTATATCAGCTATTCGTATTCTTCTGATAGCCAAATGATCTCAATAGGAAGGTTTCAAAAGATTAACCTGTTTTGTTCATGCTTGCTTGATACAACGCGTAAATATTTGGTAACAGTCCACTAATTCCAAGTCTCACTTCAAACCTTTCGGGTGTTATTGATTTATGTTCAAAAATAGAAGAATTCATAGTGCATGACACTGTTGAGTGGTAGTTTTCTTTCGTTATGAATGTTGAAGAATTCATCGTTCACCACTCAGGAGATCACAGAGCCGTGATAAGAGGTCAATCATCATGATGAACACTCCGGATCTCTAAATCAAAGCTGCAAACCAAACGGCCGTTACGTTTCTGTGCAGGATAAATCAAATTGTGAGAGGATAGAGCCAAGTATTTGACGCGCCTCTTCCAAATATTCAATTGCCCCTGACGTAATTTGCTTTCCTTCTAGAGTGGTGCGAACCAACATCCGCCAACCGTGTTTTTAACCCAAAATGCATTATCATCAATTTCTGTTCTAACTATTGACAGCAGACTTTTCGCCTGTGAAAAAAAAACAAAAAACAACAAATCGTCTCAACAGTGAAAACTGCCGTTTTCAAACAGCTGACCTGTTGACTCGTATGTGCACCTTTTCTTGCTCTCTTGTGATATTAGACCCTGTCTCTCAATATTCAATCTTTGAATTATCAAATCATTATCGCTTTGTAAGTAGTGTTTTAACATGATTTGTGAATATATATATTCAACAACAATATCATTGACATTATGATGTGGAATCTCATAACGCGAATTGTGTCGATGAAATAACTTCTCTCAAATTGATTCCTCGACGTGGATATGTCCTCCGTATGACCTCTCTCACATTCGTCTTCGCTTCCCAATGTTTCTTTTTGGTTCATTGAATCTCATTGAATCTGAAACATCCTTTGCCTCTCCTCTGATTTGCTTTTTTTCATGAGGATACTTTTGGTGTTTGTCTTACGTGCTGATGATGATGATATGATACATACTGGTTGTTCTATTGTTGCACTTCTTCTTCTTCTAATAACGACCGAATGATATTATCTCTCCCAAACACAACCTCTCTGCACATTCGTGGTGTTCTTCATCCCAAATCTCATATCCTCATCCCAAAATCTCCTCAAACCTTTCCGTTTCACTCTCTCCTTTTAAATCTATCCTTTACTCAACTTGTAAAATACATTTTTTTATGGTCAACTGCTGCTCTCACTGGAAGGGCCTTTCTATCCCTTCAAAAATCATCTTTTGGCTCATACAAGCTTCAAAAGAATTCAAACAACAACAGTTGGCCATCATCATCAACAACAATTATTCATCATCATCTTCATTATTTATAACGATCAGCAACTCGATCGGCAAATTCCCAAAAAAACACATTGTGAGTCAACCAAGAAGGTGCCATCTCCGCTCAACTCTCGATTGAACAACAGTTCATCATACGGATATTATTATTATTTAAATAGTATTATTAATATTTCCAGTTCCAACTGTACAAACTGGTTTTCCAACTATTACATTTAATTATTATTTATAGAAAAAAAAGAGAACTTGACTCTCTCCATTCTCTTCGCCCACAAATATTCGATAGAAGAAGAAGAAAAGCCTTCTTCAAAGCACAAGTGATTGATCATCAACCTACCTACTCACCTATCCACTCTCTATGAACGCTTCCTCTTTCTCGACAAGTTATAACTCAACTCTGATGGACTCTCTCAGTTCCTCCTTATTCACGAATAATAGCACGAGTACCCTTGCATCCTTCATCCAGTTCTGGTCCAATATTTCTACAACCATTCATGGTGCGCAGATGGTGTGGTCGTTTATGGCAACTCTGCCCTGGATGTGGATATTGAATTGGATCTTCATAATGTTGACTGTCTTACTCCCTGATGAAATTACCATGTGGCAATCAGATGCCTATACTTCGAATCCAGTTGCAAATTTTGGCAGTGATAACTTTTTAATGCAATCAGTGACTGGATATGTCTATCACCAAGTGCCTTTCAATACTTGGTCTCACATTCTGACCTTTCCCATTGATTTGACATGGTGGGCTCTCTACATTAACTATTACAGTGAAATGTGGTTTGGCGATAGTATTCTCATGTATACTCACTATGCCATTTGTGTGATGCAACTGATTTCAGTATGCTTTAGACCTCAGAGTACCTTGTCACATCAAGATGTTGCTGCCAGTGACAATTTAAATCCTGCCACCTCTCTTCCAAAATCTTTGATCACAACGAGCAGTGCTCCAAACAGTGGAGCTGATGTTTCTGCTTCTTTGAGACAGGATCCAGCTCAGTCCTCTTCATCCTCAACTGTTCAACAAAGTACTGAGAATGCCACCACCACCACCACCACCACCACCACTACTGAAACTGCCACAAATACCACTCAAGAAGAGTCATTCTCATTCAGAGAAATGATGAAAGAATTGTACAGAGAATTTTATTTCACTCAATTCGTGGTCGTCTTTTCTGGATTCACCTTTTGGTACATTGTGTTGCAAATGTTACTCCCAGCCCCAACAGTTATGGTTAAATTCTTTTGTCCTCAATTCATTTTCGAACAATTGCCAACCCTCGCTCAAACAAGTGACATTTTCTGGTTGAATATTTTCATTGCACACAATGTAATTTTCAGAGTATTGGGACATTGTGCTGATTACTTGCCTCCAATCATGTTCATTGGAAAGGATTTACCATTCACTTCTATTGGTCAAGGTTTTGCCATGTTTGGAAAATTCAGAAGTTGGAGATGGATCTTGCAAATTCCATTCGCCTACTGCTCAGAGTTGTGTGCTGGTTATCCAGGAAGACTATTTGCTTGGAGAATGTTGGCCGATTTAAGAGTTGTTTTGAATTATTGTGGTGTTGATGATAGCAAGCAAATCAACTTTTTCACATTGAATTGGTTTGAAGTCGACCATGCAAAGGATTTGATCAATCTTCATGGATGGAATTCTTGGACACCAACTTCACACTTGTTTGGAGCAATTGAAAAGGGAGATGAAAATGACTTAAAGTCCCCTTCAGGTTCTGTCACCACCAACACTCCTCCCACCCTCTCATTGTCAAAAAACAATGAAAATAAGGATGTGGAGTGAATTTGTCACAATAACTGACAAGAAGAAGATGAAGCACAGAACTCAAACGCTAGAGTATTCTTTACATGCTTTTGTGAATGCACCAATACAAGGACATTCAATCATTCATACACACACATATATTTGTGACTTTGGATAAATCTCTCAATTTGCCTTCTTGCTCAACAACAAGAAGAGGCTCTTTCTGAACATTCACACAACATTTTCGTTGCATGTAAATAATAAACATGTCAATCTAAGTATTATTTGGAATTCCTATTTAATTCTCCAATTTAGAAATGAAACAATTTATTTAAAAACATGAAGATCACAGCGGAATAATAATAATATTTTCCATTTCAGGAGAAAGGCGCAAGGACCATTCTTGATCCATCACCCAATGATACGTTCCTGTACAGAAACGCTTCAAACAGTATATGTACTGTTGGTCAAGAAATATATCTCATCCTCAATATCGTTGATTGTGCAATTTCCAAACACCTTATTCGAACAAGGAGAAGAAGGAACTAAGGAACTTGGAAGATTTCAAAAAAAAAACTCCAAAAAAAATATCTGTAATTCATAGTCGCGGGAGAGAATATATTCATCTTCCCATCTTCACTCGACCATCGAAGACAAACCTTGAGAATTTTTTAATTATATTAATTAAATATAGTATCATCATCATCATCGGAGGAGGAGGATGAACAGTAGTAGTTCTGCAATGTATTTGGGTGAAGGTGATACCATCCAATGCCGAGAGATGGAATATATGAAGAGTTGTAACTCGGAATTTCCTCATCATGTTCTTTCGCAAGAAGAGGAGGAAGAAAATGAGAGGAATCCTTGGAGTTGCTTTGAAATGAAATACAATCTTGGGAATTTGCCAATGGAAATGATTCATTTCATTTGCAGACATTTACATTCGGATCAATTGTTTCGTTCATTGTTTGTTTTGAATCGTCATTGGTTTGAGTGTTTGAAAACCTACCCCACTGTGTTTTTAAGAAAGTGCAGAAACAGCGAAGGTGCATTGAAAGTATTGCGTGATCGCTTTATGGACTTGAGATTTTTGAATTTGAGTGGACTGGACTTGCATGACAGCGAAGGAAATTGTCAACACCACTTGCGAACACTAAGAGAAGCCATGAAGGCTGCTTGCAAAAGATTACGGTATTTTAGAATGTCCAATTGCTTGACAAGTCCAATTCAAAAAGGTATTGTAAATCAGATGACCTTACGAAACATTGAAACAGAACTCGGAAAAGATGGTCACAACTGGTTCGCCCAGCTCAGCGATGACGGAAGAGAAATAACCATTGAAATATCAATCAAACATATTGAGACCCTTGTATTTGAAATGCTTGGACAGATCAGTACCGTTCGAGTAGTGAATATCGGTGAAGAAGAAGTAGATAGAAACTGTAACTTAACACCAAATTCAATTTCATTATTTATCTCAAGATGCCGACACGTAGGATGTGAAACTTTTGAAACATTTTCACAGAATGAAGAATTCTGTAAACGTGTGACAGAAATGATGTTAGAATGGAACGTTGGTGTGGATGATTTGACATTCGAGTCCATAAGTCGGTCTTTCCCGAATGTTGAGAAACTGAGTGTTGCTAATTGTGTTTCAATATCCTCTGCTGGTTTTGAAAAGATTTCATGCATGCATAACCTTCGTTCCTTGGTTGTTGTGGGCACTAAAATTAAGGACGAGGATCTCATCAAAATCTCCACTCTTCCCAACCTGAAAGCCATCGATCTTACAGGTACAAAGGACACTATTGTCTCTGAAGAGTCCTATCTGAAATTTGTTGAAAATCGCCCTCAACTGGAAGAATTATCAGTGTCTGATTGCAACTTGACAGACGTCACTGTCCTCTTAATCAAGAAGAATCTCAAAAAATTGAGAAAGTTGGACTTGTCGTGGAATGTGGAAATGACGGATGAAGGGATGGAGAATATTCTTGGAGAACTTCCTCTACTTGAGAATTTGAATGTCATTTCGGGAGCTAAAATCGAACATGCACTGTTGTTGAGAGAAAGTATCGCAGCAGATCGTCCTCTGTTGCCTCATCTTAAAAAGTTGTGTCTTGGAATGAGAAACTTTCAGTCCTCACAAAGTATCAGCAACATACTCAAGAATGCTCCAAATTTGACATCACTGCTCTTGTCTGGTTGCTCCTCTTTGACTTCTGATTCCTTTGAGGTTTCTGAAGCTCCAAATTCTCTGAACAAGCTCAAAGAAGTGCATCTTATGAGATGTAGGCGACTGGACGACAGTGTCCTTGATAAATTGATGCCACTTTGTCTCTCGAGTCTCGAATCTTTGCTGTTGCAAAAAACAAAAATCTCAAAGGAAAAGATTGAACACTGGAAACAGCAGTCTGGAGGTATCCTGAAAAAGATTGGTTACCCCAAATATTGATTGCATTGGATACATCATCTTATTTGGAGGTTATATATCTACATAAATTAAAATTCATTGATTTATATAATTATTTTAGATAATACGATCGAGTGATTCACGAATCAATCATATCCGAATATCAGAACTTATTGAGATTTTAGAAATTCATAAAGAGGTTTGTAGTCATCATTCTTGGATGCCAAGTTCTTCACGACCGATAATGGTGTGTTACCTCTCCAATTTTCAATGTCCTTATCAGCCCCCAGCTCAAGTAATAATTTGGTTGCCTCCAAATGATTGTTAATGGCAGCCAAATAGAGTGGTGTGTCCTTGGTAATGTCAGTCAATTGATTAACATTCTCATGCTTTTCTGTGACAAAGAATTTGATGAGCTCACAATTTCCTGCTTCGGCAGCCATATGCAGAGCAGAGATACCATTATTTCCAGCCAAACTGTAATCCAAGAATTTAACTGACCATTTCGAGTCGCAAAATGCACCACTTACCTGTAATCTGCATTCAACTCGTTGACCAAGAATTTAACCATTTCAGCAGAGGCTTGTAAAGTCTCTGGTGACACATATTTGTCGTCCTCAGCATGTGTATTCGCAATGGCAAGTAACAATGGATTAATGTGAATATGATCATTCGAGAGTGTTTCATAAAATTTGGCATTTGTGGTGTTGGCCTCTTGTGAGTGTCTGTGAACAAGCGCTTTTAGAACTTGCAAATTATTGTTCAAAATGGCTGTGTGAATTGGGAGCATTCTTTCGGTGGTGCACTGAATATTCTTATTTGCATTCAATTCATCAATTAAAAAGGCCACTGTTTCTGCGTGACCATATTGAGCAGCCAAGTGTAGTGGAGTGTATCCATAAACATCTTGTTGACTATCGACATTTTCTTTCTTTTCCTTCACAAGATATTCCAATATCTTATTTTGCCCATTAATGGCTGCCACATGAATTGGAGAAAACAAAGTTTCACTTGCATTTTTATCAGTATAATCATAGAGCTTCTTTACAACCTCCAAATATCCTCTCTCACATGCAATCGTTAAAGCTGTCTTTTTGTCGTTGATGGTGGTTAAATTACAAAACTCTCGAATCTTTTCGGGATTATTTTGTAACTTTTCAACAAATAACTTGTCCACAAGAGCATCCGATCCAACAAAGGCTGCCACATGGAGCAGAGAATGTCCATCAGAATCTCTCTCGGAAAGTACATCAGAAATTGAATCCAACAGTGATGAAAGAATACTTTCTTCATGACCACTATGACCAACAAATAATTGTAAGACTTTTTGAATTGTTCTGCCTTGATCGGATTGATCTTGAATGAGTGTTTTGTTCATGAACGGAGGCTGAGAAGGAGGTGTCGTGATCACCATGCCGCTACTCGATTGCATTTTTTTTATTTGGAACAAGTGCTGTATTGGGCACTTTTATGGTGTTTCCTAACTTGTTGCTCATTCAATATTGAATTTCACACTTTAGTCTTTATGCTAGGTTCATAACTACAAACTATTCAGTCCGTGAGTCGTTGCTTAAACAACCAAATCGTTCATTGTCATAAACTTGCAACTTCAAAATCACCCGTACAAGTGACAGGTTGTAGCAAGTTCGTTCAGAAACAATGAATGTTGATGTGAGTTTGAATTTCCAGACACAAATTGAGATATGTGTTCTATGCGTAGAATTGACAATGAAACAACTGTTTGATATTGGCATTATAATTGTGGTTCGGAATGATGATGGTTCCATAATCATCTCTTCAGCAAAGTGATTGCAGGTCTTGGCTGAAAATTATGATAGGATAATCATCCCAAAATGCGTCTCCAACTGAATTTTTGATACCAAGATCAAAGTACTTGCACAATTTAAACAACAAAAGGTGTTAATTGTCATAAAATTGAAATATACCGCTGGTATTATCTTGGGCTGGTTCTTGTAAGAAATCTTCTAATGATGAATTGAAAAACATGAGACTTTCCTCTGAGAAATTTCCGGCAGTAAAAGAAGAAAACGAAGCAGATGGTACCAAGGTGTTGTGGGTACTAGTATTATTTGGTTGTTGTTGTTGTTGTTGTTGGAGAGGAGTGTTGGGTTGTTGCTGCTGCGCTTGTTGTTGCGGTCGCATGAGTTCTGACATGAGTTGATGCTGAAGTGTCATGGGTACATCTGTTTGACCAAATTTTAAAGAGTGTTCATAGAGTGGAAGTAATTGACCAAATGGATTGTCACTTCCAAGTGGATTGACCAGTTGATGATTATTTCGTTGTCTCTCAAGAATTGTTGCCAGCACCTCTGAAAGTTTGTCCTCTTCTTTTTTCTTGGATGACATGACCTTGTTCGTTATTACTAAATTTCCACGCATGGCAGAATTACTGTGTTGTGGAGAGGGTGATGATGCGGGATTGTTTGCTAATGATGATGATGATGGTGTATAAAAAAAGTTATTCGTACTCGTCGTTGTGGTACCATTATTCAATAAATGTGATTGATTGTGTAGAGATGAAATTCCAGATGAGGATGAAGCATTTGATGGAGATGAAGATGATGATGCAGGTGTACTTCCTGAACTACCAGTACTGGCATTTCCACTAGAATTCTGCATTACTGGCCCATTAATGATGGATAACGATGAATTGCCGCTAGGATTCGGAGGACTAAAAAGCATGTTTTTTCCATAACCCGTCGTCGTGGTCGTCGTCGATGAAGATGGCGTTAAAGAAGCAAATGGATTCAATAAATGTTGTTGCGGTTGATGATGAACATGTCCCGAGCCAATATGTTGTTGTTGTTGTTGTAGTGGTGGTGGTAGTTGATGATGATGTGGTTGCATCAACACACTCAAGCCTTGTGAGGATGATGATGACGACGACGGATGCTGCTGCAAATATTGTTGATGATGTTTCATTTTTTCACTTTCCGTTACGAGCAACTTCCGCAACAGCATGAGTTGTTCCAATTCTTGTGGTGAGAGAGAGGATGAAGTGGTGTTTGGCATGTTGTTGTTGTGGTTGTTAGGGTTGGAAAGTGTTTGAGAGGATGGTTGTTGTGGTTGTTGTGGTTGTTGTGATTGATTTTGGTTGCCAGTATTAATACTGCTGTTCAAACTCTGACTGCTCCTCAAACTTGCACTGCTATGAGAGTAGGTGAGAAGAGGAGTTGTCGTGGAATTGCTACTGCTTGGAGTGGCAGCAGGAGTGCTAGCACCGAGAGAGGAAGAAGTGGTCACTGAGGAGAGTGGAGTGTTCGAGGAGGATTGCTGTTGAGTGGAGGTGGATTGAGAAGTCGATGATCGTTTCTGTGATGTGGTGGTGGTGTCAGCGAGCATATTCCACATGTGGAGAGGAGGATTGACCAAGCTTTGTGGTGGTGCTTGTTGTTGAGAGTTATTGTTGTTGTTCGAGGCCATCATGTTCCTCCACATGGTATTGAAAATTTGTTGAAGTTGTTCCAAAGACGCCCCTCCATTGTTGTTGTTGTTGTTATTGTTATTATTCATCATCATGAGCATATTCATCATCATGTTCGTGAGCATATTGTTGTTATTGAGACTTGCATTCGTGTTGTTGGTTGAACTGGTTGGATCCGATTTTTCATTTATGGTTAAAGTGGTCTTGTTGCTTGCAGCTTGTGGTTGTTGAAAGCTATTCGTCGTTGTAGTAGTAGTAGTATTCGATGAATAACTAGTACTATTCGGTGCTGAGTAATTTCCTGTGCTGTTATTATTCGCTGCAGGCATATTCACAGAAAAGAAGAAGGGACTCGATGAATTCGGATTGTTGTTATTGTTCGGCGATGGACTTGGGCTATTGTTGTTGTTGTTGTTACTGGTGGAGGGATGATGAGAGGACGATGATGAATTCATCAATTGTTGTATCATGGTGTGGTATATTTGTTGTTGTTGCTGTAATGAGGAGGAGGAGGAGGATGGCGAAGGAATAGTATTTGAATCACAGAGCGGATTCTTGTTATGATTGGAGAGTTGATTCATAAATTGTTGTAACAGATGAAGTTGTTGCATACTTGAATCAGCAACAACATTGGTAGTGTTGTTGTTGTTGTTGTTGTTGTTGTTATTAGAATTACTATTTTCGTTGTGGTTGTTCGGATTATTCATGATGAAGATATTCTGGTTGACAATTTTCTTTCTCTACAATAATTGTGTGAGTAATTATTTGAATAATGTTGATGATGTTATTGTGTGATACGTATGCACTCAAATTATTATTTGAATGAAACAAAAGCCTCTTTGGGTTGTTTGACCAACACCAATGTACAAGTGTTGATATGAGAATCGAGTAATTACTTTTTTCAGATTTTGATTCGATAGAAAGAATCCAGATCTAGGAGGAGTGTTGATGTTCTTGACCGATGAGTAGTGATGATGCTGATGGAGGAAGGTGTTCGTTCACTCAAGAGAGGACTTTTCTGACAGAGGATTCTTTACACAGGTCAACCAACGCGGAAAAAGAGAAGCTTCAGCAAGAGGGAACAACAATATTGTTTTGTTTTTTTGTTATCCACGGAGACCTTTCGTTGCGACGATTCTCGGCTCTAGTTGAAGACTGAATTGTTGAGGTGTGCCTTTTTGGTTGGAGGAGGTTAAAAGTAACTTTAAACATTGATCAAAACGTTTGCAATAAATTGCAACTGGATTATGATTCTAGACAAGAAGAATGTTGAAAACCCAAGAAGCTTGATCGCGTCGTGGTGAGAGTGCACTCACAAAGAGCATTCGAATATTCGTTCAACAAACCCTTACCTATTGTCAGTACCTTTTTGAGATTTGTCTGCGAAAACAAACTGTTGGTGAGAATGATGAAGTTACCTTATTTATCTTCAAATATCACCTTGTATCAGACAATTTTATAATCATCAAACTGCTGTGTGGTTCCAACAACAATACTCTTCTCGTTGACTTTGAATATAAAACACAAGAGAGGTGTTGAGAGATGTTTGGAAAGAATCGACCAACAACAACAGTTTGACAATCGGACGTTGTTTTTCCAAATTCGTTCATTTCCCAGTCGACCTTTCTCAAAAAAAATAACAAACTCTCTCTCGTACACACTCTCTGTTTGTTGTGATTCATTTGTAATTGGTGGTTGGTTGAAACTTTTCAACGACGACAGAAAAATAGACGGATCATATCCGAGCACAGTGTGGCATCTGGAAACAGATCCTATTCTTATTATTATTTCCTCACTACTGAACATTGGTTTTTGAGTGATCATCAAATTTTGATTTTCTCGAATTGATTGTGATGATTTTTCATTTGTTTTGTTTCTTCAAAAGATCAATTTGAACTGAATTCCTTTAATCATACTACTACCAAAGACCATCAACAACGGAACACAAAATTTCAAAGTGATTCTTTTGCTCCTTTTTGATACAAATTAATTCTCATTAATAATTGTTACAAAAAAGACCGAATCAAGAATATTATCACCATCATCAACCAAGCGATACAAACACAACAACAATGAATGATCCACCCTCTTCGGAAAATTTAAATCACACCAACCATGTACTCTCTCCGAATGAAGGAGTTCTTGTTGATCGACAACCTCCACCACATTTTCTCATTCGGGGCGCAAGTACTAAAGATCTCAACAACAAGGACACTACAAAAGATGGTGCTATGGCTATACCACCATCACTGCTACTGTCATCACGAGCAAACAAAAAGATGGAAGCTGTCATTACACCCAATGCCGATCAGGAATTGGATGAATTGGAAGATGTGATGCATAATACAGTATCAGGAGCTGCTCCTGGAGCTGATACATCGAAACATGCATATTGTGCTCCTCGTAGAGCTATTGTCACATGTCAAAACTTGGAAGTTATTTCTGAAAAATTGAAAGAAAGAAAATTACGAATCTGTGTATATATTAAGGAGAGAGTTTACAAACGACGGAAAACTCTCAAATCATCAATTATTGATGTTCCCAATCTCAGACATACTTCCTCAAATCCAGGGGAGAGTGTTCAAATACCGCTGAACAACATTTCATTCAAACTCAAATATTCACATCACTTTAAGAAGAGAATTGATGTTCTACGAATTTCCCTTCAATACTCAAAAAAGAAGGGAGATTCATTTAAGACCATGTCAATCGTGTCAATTAATTTGTTACATGTTCTTCAGAGGCCATTTGATGAAAACATTTCATTCCTTGTGAAAAAAAAGAAGAAGAAAAGTAAGGAAGAATCTGAATCCACAAGTACTGGTGCACAACCCAACAACATGTTGAGTTCAGGGTCTCTTATTGTATCATATAATGTCAACAGTGCTATTCTGCATTATCTATCAAGCGATGATGAGGATGATGAGAAGGAACGATATCAGCACCACCCACAAGTGCCAACCTCTTCAACAGCAGAATGCGTTGCAAAGCTTAAAGTCTCTATACAAACTGTTCCCATTTCCTTAACAGAGCTTCGAAAGAAAAAGAGAAAGTTCACATTTCTAGGTAAAAAGGAGGATTCTCATGCTATGAATGCAATACACCCGGGCGATCCGTACGAAGATGATTTCACTGATGAAGACGAGGAGACGGATGAAGATAGTGACATTGATTTTGAAGAAAATAACGTTAACGAGACGAACCTGGCATCTCCGGTCGCTTTAGCCACATCAATGGCCACAACACTAACACCCAGTACAGAAAAGAATGCAAAAGAAGACAAGACCCTTAAGGCCGTTATTGGAATTAAGGACAATATTATGAAGCGATGGAAAAGTTTTAAGAAGAAAGGTCAAGGTGGACAACACTTCTCAGATTTTGAGCATGATTTACCCTCTCCAAAAGGAAGCCTTGCCAATAGCATGGAAAATAATCCATTTCAAACTGCCGCTATTGTGAAAATTGAAAAGATTCCAATACAGGATCAAGTGAAAGAATTACTCCAGAACAAGACACTCGTGAAGAAAATTATTTTAATTAACGGTGCATTCCGAAGAGGTCAACGGATTTGGAGTTTTTTAAAGAGATCTGGAGGTCTCTATGCTAGGGATGTTCTTTGTACATTTTCATGTGATGATGTTCATATGGCTCTCACAATGATCATTCAAAACAATATTGAAAAGAAGTATGTGAGTGAACAGGAGCTTAATGAGACCAAAATTGTAATCATAGGTAATGATGCTTATGTGAACGATGTGTTGAGAGCCTGTCTCGCTCAGACCACAGATGAAAAGCAATGGGATCAATTCCTATTTTACATTATTCCAATTCCTTCAAAGAAAGGAGAAGAGGCCATTCATAGATCTAGGAATGAAATTTCTGCATATCTCTATACAAAATGTCCTGTCTATGCACAATTATTCTCTGCCGACGAATGGAAGAGATCACTTTCATACCCATTGGAGGTTGAAGATTGTGTAGAGCAAGTGATATTTGAATATTTAGAAAATGCCAGAAAACAAGTCAGTTTGAAAATTTCTCAAATTATTCTAGTGAGTGATCTGTCTCAACAGAACATTTTCCCTATTCCTCATACCAGTGCAAGGTATCAACAAGAAAATCAGACAGAAACAGGCTCTCCGAATGGCACATCGGCGGCAACAGCAACACAAAATTTTGAGCCCATCTCACAACAATGCATTGTACCATTGATCAACAATATCCATATTGTGAATGGAGATTATCACGAGCAAAAGAAGCCCAATATACTTCTCAAACTGGTGCAAAATCTTGAAAAAGATGTCAAAGAAAAGCCATTTTCACACAAAGCAAGCGTTAATAATACTGAAAAATCATTAGCTCCAAGTACAATATCTCTTGCCACCAGCCCACAAATGTCCTCCATGGGAAACACTTTTCAGAAACGACCAAGCTCAGAGAATCCAGTCATTGAGGATGAGGACAGCTCTGACGAAGGAGAAGAGAGCAAACAAGAAAAGATATCTCTGTTAGAAATGAAAATTGACTATTGGGATGCCTCAAATGAGGAAAAGTGCAAGAATTCTACCAAGAACTCATTTTCACATGTTGAAATTTACAAACTGCCAAGCTCTGATTTACCAGAAGAATCTCAACCAAAATCTGGCACATTTACCTTAGTCACAACACGACCTAAAAAGAAGAAAAAACCTGCTACAGATGAAGTAGAGAGAAAGTCTAATTTAACAAAAATTATATGCAAAGTTGAGAAGAAGAAATCAACAGCTAAGGTAGTCATTGATGGAGTTGAATGGGCCAATGTCAAGGTCGTTTCTGTAGCACCTTCATGGGTCAATAATTTTCACTTTAAGGTTGCTTGTTTTAGGTAATTGTGAATGTCTTTCTTACATTTGAATCAAGCATTATGTCTTTGTGAATTCTTTTGAACCAACCACTACCATTTGAAGAGCAACTTGCACGGATGAGATTAATATGGACGTTGTATGAATTCAACACAGTAATGTCACTCATCATGCTTTTCCAAATAAAAATGCCAAACAATTACTGTGGGGGAGGGATTGGTAGGTTTTCATCAAGACGTTAGTGTTTTTGAAATCAAATCTTGGAGGCATTGATTGAATGTATTTCTCATGAATACTACTATGAACGTTTTACAACTACCACCACCATCAAGAGAATTGGCATTTGAGAGGAAATGTTCGAATTCCTCCTCTCCTTCCTACGCTCTTCGGAAACAAAAACAATCATATTTATTCAAATACATTCTTAGATACATTACCCATTGCTCAAATTGCATGCGGATCAAATCATTGTATACTATTAACGGAAAGAAATGAATTATATTATCAAGCCTCACCAACATTTTCCTGTGGACGATTTTCAAACGTTATGAATAATAATCTTCAGACGAGTGCTGTGGTTGTTGATCAACAGTCTCCAATCGCTAATGTTTTTTGTGAACGTCAGAATGACACCATCACTCACGATGATCGAGATTTTAGAAAATTGAATTTCGGAAAAAAGATACGAATGGTGGCTGCTTCGAGTGATCAATTTTTTGTGATTACAAAAGATGATGAAATTTATTACACCTTTGGAGGAAGAGAAAATTTATGGAATGAACGATCATCGTCAATAATGCAAGTGTCAGCGACGAGTTTCGATGGATCAACGTCACAATCATCGAGTCCACAATTTCAATTATTTAAGCCATGGCAACAAGTTAGAGAACGAATTGAAAAGTTTGTGGCGTCGAGTTTTACGAGCTGTTTTATCATTGTCTCGACTGAAGGTAAAATTTATGTGAGCGGATCACAAAATTCTTTCACTTCTGGAATGCTAGGAATCCCAATAAGTGGAAACTCTGAACATAATAGCAGGAGATTTCAAAGAGTGACACTTCCTGGCAATGAAAGAAGCAAGATCAAGATTGTGGCCATTGGAGGTCAACACACCATTATTGTGACTGAACGAAATGAATTTTACTGGTATGTACATGAGTGCTTTTTTTATTAGCTAAATATGTGTTACCAATGAAATGAAATTTAGCTCAGGAAGTAATATCTATTATCAATTAGGTATGTCATACATGGTCAACAATCAACAACCATATTTTTATTGGTAAAATTGTGGTAAATTGTACCTTTCTAAATTCAAAGGTTTTCAAAGCTCGAGTGGAAAGCAAACAAATTTTGTAAAACCAAAAAACATCCCATTCATTGGAAAGAGAATTGAATCAGTATCTTGTGGCTACGACTTTACCTTTGTTCTAGTGGAGGGAAATATATTATATGCATGTGGAAATTCATCCAGTGGGTGTTTAGGTTTTGGCACTTTTGAAAGAATCAACTTTTTCACAAGAATCTCATTCTCCTTTCCCATTCGACAGGTCGTATGTGGAGAAGATTTTACCATGATTCAAACCAATAATGGATTATTCTATAGAGCTGGATCCAATCGGTATGTAATCGATCGTAATGATGTGACATTTTAGAACATATTTCTCTTAAAAAGTCACTCTCAATTATTCCTTAAACAAGTCATCACACGAAATGGCATTCGTTCAGAAGTTGACAAAATCGCAACCTTTGAACCATGTTACATTGACGACAATATTGATGGAATTGTGTGTGGAAGTTCATACTTTTTCATGTACAAAAAAACATTCTCACATGTACAGACTTTATTTCCTAACCTTGTAAATATTCTCAACTTTTCCTCATCTCTCTCTCAGTTCAATAATGCCGGGTATTCCCTTGTTCCAGCATTTTGTGATATTTCATTCATCCAACACTGTTGTTGTTTTTGAGCACAAAGTGTGAACCTTACATAAATATTTCATGAAGAAAAGAGAGAGAGAAGTTGTATTTTAATGACAACGACCAACCTCTTGTACTACTACTAACCACCAACAAAACTTGTTCTAATTGTTCAGCATTAAACGATCATTCGCAATAAAAGAATTGACAACTCCACAAGAAAAAGAATTTGCATTTCATTGTTCATATTTAAATTAACAATAATTAATACATTTAAAAAAAATGTTCAACAAATGGCGAACCAAGTTATCTTCCAAACAGAATGTTATTCAGAAAAAGGAGGAATGGGATCATCATATGCATTCTCATCACGCTGATGATGAGAGGATGATGATGGATGGATGGATCAAGTCTAACCCTCTAGTTCCGAAAAAGGAAGAGGACGATTGGCCATCAGCAGCACCACCATTAACTGATGAGAATGGCAAAGATACATTTCATGAGTTTGATCAAACCTCTTGTCCATCATCATTCCTGCAGGATGATCATGTACAACAAGAACCTCATTATGAAGTTCTCTTCCGAGAAGTAGAGAATGATCCTACCGTTTCAAATTTCTCTCGGAGGAGACGAATACTTGTAGATCATTACGAGAATGATTTGAATTCAGCAGCAACTTTCAATTTAAATTATGTGGACAATAATGCCATGATTAGGGACAACAAACGGTTGAATCATGAGGATGATGAAATTACGATCAACTATTTATCGCAAAAACAACGACCACAGAATTTACCAAATATCAAGAACATGCATTTGTCACATCAACTCACAAATTTTGAGTATAACTATGATGGTTGGAATACAAGTAGCGATGAAGAAAATAATGAGCCATGGATGGATGATGAAGATTTTGCAATTCTACCAACCACTACAAAGACAATGATGTCAACAGTAGTGGAAAGAAAGACAAGCGTGTTAGATCCATCGATTCGATTATGGAATGCAAATGCAAAGGCCATGTGGACACACGATGTTTTCTTTAGCGTTTTTGCATTCCTTGATGACATTTTTGATATGATACGTCTGTCGAGAGTGTGTCGAGAAAGTTATAAAGCTTTTCGAGATCCATATCTTTGGAGAAATGAAATTGAAAATCGAAAAATCAGAACGTTGGGATTTAAAACAGAAGACATTGAAAATAATGGTATTGAAAATCTTGATGTTATATATGCATATTGTAAAGTATTAATGGATTACAAGATGACAAAGCTGAAAAGTCAGGCTGAAAATGAAAAACAAGTATATGTCCATGAGCAAAATAAGTTAAAGGAAGAGAAGAAACAAGCTTTGCAACAGAGACAAGCCAACGGTCTTGTTGTGACAACCATCATTTCACTCATTATCATTTGTTTCAATCTTTCGAGAGTGTTCTTTTTCCTAATTGCATATTTTCTTTTTGGTGCAACTGTTGTGGGAACGTTGCTATTCGTGAATACGCAGCCTAAACTCAAGAAGCAACAGATCATGTTAAATATTGTGATCATTGTGGTTAGTGTTGTCCTGTTTCAATTTAACGAGCTGAATTTTCTGTTTATGATTGTTGGAGCGATTGCATTCTCTTACTTTTTCACATTTAAATTTATTGTGACTTCAGAGCATAAGATTCAGAGCGAATTTTTAGTGAAACAGAGAAAACTCTATCAAGACATGTCTGACATTGATCAAAAGTATTACAAGATAACGAAAGAATTACAAGAAGTAGCCAAAAGAATTCCTTCTTCCTTAAAAGAACCCAAGAAAAAACCCCTTCCTCCCTCCGATTCAGTAACAAATGCACAAAAGAGACCTTCCTCCAAATGTAATATTCAATAATGACATGGACCAAAGGTGTCACATCATCAGTTTGTAAATGTTTCAAATTGCTTTTAGTGTTAATTGCAACAACACTTCATTGTTTGCCTTTTTTTGTAATAATAACATGACACACTCCATTAAGGCATTGGCCTCTTTCCAATCATTCCAATTAGGACCAATCCACACAATAATGCGATCATTCTCCACCACCAATTTCCACCAGCATTTTCATTGTTCCACGTTGCGTCACTACTCACATTTTTCATTGAATTGGAAGGTTTCACCACACTCGAAGGATTTGGTTTCACATTCGACAAGGAAGGTTTTGGCTTTACACTTGGAGAAGGTGTTGGAGGTGTTGGAGGTGGTGTCACTGGAGGAACAGGAATTAAATAACTTGGAGTCTTTGTGCAATTCACATTGTACATTACCGCACCATATTTTTTCTATCAATTTGATGAAAGACAAGTTTCTAAACAAATGGAAAATCTTCAAGCTATTACAGAAGGGCGACCATTGAAGCATGAAGTTGGAGTGCAATTGCAACCTACTTATGACAATTTCGCTGGAGTTGAAAAAAGGCTATTTTGGAGATGTTGATATTGATGCTGATTGGGATGAATCACTTTATGAATACAATGGAGAACCACCTGTCACACCTCCTCTTGCTGATGATATTCAAGATCCTGAAATCTATCATGGCCAAAAGGATGCTATTACAGATGTTTCTTTCGAAGAAAAGGTTCTAAAACTTTCCAGAAATTGTAAAATGACGACTGGTGGAAGAGTTGAATCTTACAACTGCTTGTATTTGGTGGGAAGCTATAGTGGTTTGTGTGGTGTTGGTTTTGGAGCAGCTGCATCCCCTGCTGTTGCTCAGGCTAAGTCCAGAAAGGCAGCATATAAGAACATTAGAAGTATTGAACCTGGCGCATGCCTTCCACGTTCTCACTTAATTGAAGGAAAATTCGGTTCATCAAAAATTAGAATTCATCCAAGTACCAAAGAACAACCAACTGCCAACCCTATTTTGAGAAAACTATGTGCATATCTTGGCCTTAAATACTGTTCTGTCAGACTTTATGGAAGTAGAAACATTTTGAATGTCATTCCAGCTTTCTTCCAATGCATAGATCAACTCAAAACACTGTGGTTGTGACGTGTGAGAATGCAAAATTTGAAAGATATAAATAATTTCCAGTGCCGTGAGAGAGGAAACTTGAAGGACTTGTTGGCACTTGATTTGGATTTCCAGCAAATAATAAATCAATGACCATGTTGCTTGCAAAGGCGAAATAATCGGCTGGAGCTCCAGTGGGTCGTGTCAAGTTTCTAACCACATACAAATAATTGACACCGAGAGTCACATTAGAGGCTACAGTTGTGAAATAGTTTTTGGATCGAAGTGCTGGTTGACCATTGGTGGAGGCAGTGTACTTTGGAATTATTGATTCGGCGAGAAAAACGTTTTGTGAACCAAATATTTCAATATCACCAACGTTATTCGCGTCATCAACAAGGACATATCAAACCATCATCAACAACAACCAATATCCACATTACATTACCATATTATTTCTCAAAAACATGAACCATTCCTACTCACCTCATTGATCTTGTTCGTACCATAACCCATCGTAATACTCGCATCTTTCATTCCTGTCGTTCCTGTGGATTGCTTCAATCCAAAAGCACCCCATCCCTTTCCATTTGGGAGTTTTTGAAAAAGAAGAAGAAACAAAAGGCGAGAAGAGTCGTTGAGACACCATATTTTGTGCTGGTTGTGGTGAGGTTTTGAATTGGCACGCGCGCATACTTGAGAGGTCGAGTTTTGATTTATTTAAGGCCATTGACAACGAATGAAGATGATTGGTGATGAACCTCTCTAACAAAAGACTGACAGATGTCATGCACTCAAATTTGATGGTATGTCTTATAAAGGAAAGGGTTGAAAAGAGCTCACAACTAATACATGTACATGACTCGCTCAAAGTGTTTTTGAATTGTGAGTTGCTGCTTGATTGCATTTGGTGCACACCGTATGATAAGTGTCAAGAATACTAAAATTATGGTTTTTTCACATCAATCCTAAGAGTCAAATATATTGTTGTGATTACTGTTGTTTATACATGTTGTAAATGGGAATGCCAGGAACGAAATTATGTTTACGCCATCCTTCGTCGTTTGCAATGGCAGCCCATTCCAAACGGAATATGCTCCAACTGCATCGTCTCATCAATTCAACACTTCCAAACAAGATGGCCAATGATTCCTTATTGTTCTTGAAAAAAGTAGAAATGGTTCCAGCCCATGCAAATCTTGCAAATAAATTGAAAATAATGGCCACACGATAGATGATCTTTGAACGGCCATACAATCTTCTTCCTCGCATGGTAAAGCGATAGCCACAAATGGTTTGTTCTGTGAAAAACTTTTTAAGGGCATCTAATTGAGTTCGTGCTCTTTCTTCTGGTTTCACTTTTTTCACTTTGAACAATCCCCAATCCATGAGAATATCCCAACAGAAGGCGTAGAAGGTACTCACAGGTATCACGAGAATCCAAATGTATCGGAATGGACCCCATGAATCGTTCTCTTCCAAATTGGCATGCAATGTGTTGAAAAGAATAACCACCAGTGCAGCAATGTATTTGAGAGCATTCAATAATTGACTGCGCTGTGTATGATCATCGTAAAATCTTCGACAACATTGTAACATTCTCCACAAGAAAGGAAGGAAGGTTAGACATGGAGCAAGAAATTTGTTGAAATCGTGACACTTATTCTCTCCACCATTCCAAGAGTTTGAGAAATAATAGCACAGCATGTAAGCAGTGTCTGTAATTGGAATGACCATACTCGTCAATACGTCAGCCACAAAGAATTCTCTGAATCTAATGTGGCCAAAAGGAGTAATTAATAATTTCCCTAACACTTTCAGGAGAGTATATCGAGCACTAAGGTGAACAAAATGCATGGGCAACACCGCAATAAATATCATCATTAAACCCATTATGAGAGGATACCATTTAGCGTCTAAAATTGTTAAATAGCCCTTCACTGTGGACAAGTAGAGGAAGAAGAACACAAACCAAAATACTGTCAAAACACTAGCAGTCTTCCAAATTTTGATAGATTTCAAATGATTCACAGGATCAAACTCGAACAAGTAAGCAAAGTTCACCTTAAACCTTTCCCACACAAATAAATTAATTCCATAAAGCCATCCATACAAAATATAGAGACCAATCGAACGGAAAATTGGTAAAACATCGAAAAATCCAGGAATTTGGTCATAGTTTGGTTCTTTGAAAAACCACATGGCAACCAAAATGATAAACATTGGAATTACCATTCCAATGAAGAGAGCCAACTTAAAAGTATCGCTGTGTGTGTGATGGGTGGATGGTTCTCTGAGAAATGAAAGAGCCTTTGTTTGATCGGATGATGTGAAATACTTGGCAAATATTTGTTCCACGCTTTCCATCGCATGTTTCAATTCATTGGTGTTGAAATCAGCATTTGGTTGTTCATTGTACCATTGGTATAATTCTTGTGAATGCTCTCCGCAAAATTCAAATTTCATTAATAAGTTATTACTCGCAATTCTATTTACATGCAAAAAACTATATAAAAATTCCAATTCTCTGTAGATGGCCACAAACTTTTCTTTGAGCTTAGGTCCTGACTCGCTGTTGAAGAATGGCCTCATTCTGGCCTCTGCTAACTCCTTCTGCGTTCTCTGAATTTTTTCATTAATGATCTTGAGCTCTGAATTATATTTGCTAAAAACAGTTTCAATATCCTTCTTAAACATGGCTTTGAAGTTTTCAATATCCATGTTCAAACTCTCTCCAATTTCTAGTCTGAAAAAGTAATCATCCATAATTACAGGTTGATTGGTAGAATCATCGTGTTGTTGTTGCTGCAGTTGTTCTTGTTCCGAATTATTATTAATGTTGTTATTCGAACCATTTCGGGTATTTAATAGTTTATCATGACTCAACAATCCTCGGGTTTCATCCACCTCTTCTATCACATGATGATCATCACCTACTGCATCTACTCCGATCGAACTGCTCAATGACTGATGTTGTCTCGCCTGTTCTAAAATTCCAGTGCCACGCATTTTCCTCAGCCTCCTATTCTTCTTTTGCTCCTCCTTCATCAAAGTCATTTCATCCCGAATATGATGCAGTGCGTTCTTCAGCTCCGGATACGAAATGTAGAACGTCTTCCAAGCAGGTTTTAAATTCGCCTGATAACTAAAGTAGGCGGTGAAAGACATTTTTTACTTCTTCAGCAAGTCGGGACCACACCTCACACACTCCTGAAAAAATCTGATTTTTGGTTCACACCTTGTCTCCATCCATCCATTTATCATTGGGTATTATTCATTTACTAAAGGCGTATCATCATGACAATGCATGTATGGTTTGAATAGGCTGGAATGAGAATGCATTTCCAATAAATTTATTTCATGGACACTTACAACATGTACAAATTTTGCATGAGCAGTTCTTTGAGATAGTGTCGAGATGTTTCATCAGGTGTTTCAATGGTGGTATCTTCTGCATTGAAAATAATCTTAGAGTCGAGTTGTGGAATTTCAATGGTGTAAGTGCCATATTCGGATGGGTCAGAGAGGACTGAAATTTTGTCAAAACCTTCCATTTGTAAATGTTTGACAATTTTCTCCACACTCACGTCGCCAAATACCATGAGGTCTGTATTTTCTTGTTTTCGTTTCTTTTTACTGGATTCGTCCGTTGTGGAGTCTTTAATATCCTCTGAGAGTGTTGGAACATCCAACAAGTGTTTACCATTCTTTGAGGTGAGACTTGCAGTGACACGAGAAACATAGACCCCTTTCACAGACTTTGGATAGATGGTTTTGGCGAGTTCTGAGGAAATGGTGGCCAACTCATATTTTCGTTTCATGTGATGTTTCTTAATGGAAAGAATGTCGTCACCATCAATGCCATATCTTGCAGAGGTACCTGGTGTGGAAATGACATGCATCTTCTCGGTCACAAATTTAGAAATTATCCTAATATCTAAGCAGTTCAGTAATGTACTCGATGTTTGATAACCATTGAGAGCACTAATAAGTTCAGTGTTGGGTGAGAGAACATTCTTTTGATGAATTTGCTGTGGTTGAATATCGATGGATACATTGGTCAAAATGAGATGTTGAGGAACAAGTTGTTTCACAATATGAACCAAATCATTATTTTTCAGTCTTAAATCAATTGGACAGTGAATAAACTTCATGGATGGCTGATTTGGAGATGTAGGGATGAATGGTTCTATGGCATCAAAGAAGGAGTACTCTGGTTCAATATACATGAGTGCATTATTGGTATTTCTTTGAAAGATTGGAATGAGTTGTAAAATATCTCCCATTCGTAACGATGGATGACCTGCAAATATTACACATGGATGAGAACTTCTATTCTGTTGATAGACTTGCATAAATTTAGCATTCACACTCTCAAAGGTCATGAGAGATTTGTTTTGAAGCAAATTCGTGTGTAGGAAGGGAGATTCTGCAGAAATGGTCTTATCCATCTTGGAATCACATAACCACTCTGCACTGATATTGGCATACTGTATCGAATGATCTGCAACTGGAGACACAAGATAGATAAGGGTATTTCCTAAATGTACAGAGTTGAAATAGGTCGACAAAAAGTCAATCAAATCATAGACGAGACCTGTCGTGTGGCATGGGATGAGTACATCTCCCCCTGATTCGATCGTTTTTCCAATAATTCTGCAAAAGTCGTTAAGTGTCGCTTCAGGGAAGTAGTGACAGAATGGTTTCACAATTTTGATATTTTCAGTATCGATGGCATATTGACTCTTACTGGTCATGGAGGTACCTCCACCAATTCTTGCTGCAATCTGTTGATAGGATTGTTCAAAGTAGTATAAATTCTTCTCACTCTTTGGGCACACGTTGGAAACGATCATGACAAGATTGATCATGGATCCGCTGCCTGACGTGGTTTGCACTACTGAAGATACGCTTCCATTCGAGGAGCCTGTTGTTGAGGTGAATTGAGGAGTCACAAGAGACAAGTCTAATTCGGATGGATGACGAACTTGGGCGCCCGACCGACTGCTATGACTCATGTAAAAGATCTTCTCATATTCTGTCTGAATCACCCAATTACAGTACCCCAAACTATAACCACTGCTTAGAGCAGCGATTTGGAAAATTCCTCCAAATACAGCAATTCGCTCTTGATAACTCACACTCTTCATGCTCTCGACAACTTTCGAGATATCCTCATCAGAATAAATATACTTTTCACATAAGAGGGGAACCAAATCAGTACTTCTAGAATCTGACTCTTTCTTTTGTTGTTTAGTTGTGATTTGAATAATTTGGTCAATACTCGATAATTCTAAATGTTCGCTTTGCTTCACATAGGCAAGCAATTCCTGCATCATTTTCTTTCCCAATTGTACTGTTGGTTCTGTGGCATAAATAGGAGGCATCTTTACTGGGTTTGGATCTTTTCTAAAATCTGCCTGTTGTTTTAAATGCTGATAAAGAAAAGGTAATGCTAGTAAATTATGAGGGTTTGTAACAAGAATGATATCAATTTGTTTGCAATCAATTTTGTGAAAATTAGGAGTCTTGAATATTACCGATGAATTTGCAGTAATTGTATGATCATCATTTTGTTTTCCTTTCATGTTACTATTATTATTGTTGGTTGCAAATGGAGAAATACGATGAGTCCTATTCAAAAGATTGAGTAGGGTTTTTGTGGGGGTCATGGTCGTCAATTCCCCCACATGACTCACCTCCGAATAATTTAAATTATTTCCTTGCAAAATATTTCTCTTCAAAAAGTCCCAAGTAGAACTCGATGATCCCCAATCCAAAGCACAATCCAACATGATGGTTGTGTTTTTAAAGGTGAGGACATGACATCCTTCTCCAAGTGCGAATAATTTCATTTTTTTTAATGTTTGATGATTGAAAAAAGCTTTTTGATGTTCACTTACTTCATGATGCATCATCGAGTATCGAGTTGAATTTTCTTGATTTGTCGGTGTCGTCAAGAATGGAGATCCTTGCAAAAACAAATGATCCAGAGAATGATCCTTGCGAAAACAAATGGTCGGACTTTTTATTAAAAAGTTCTTCCGTGATATTAATAATATTCACAAATTGAGAATTCGATTTCTCACCCAATAAAAGTTCATCTTCCATTCCTAAAGAGAATTTTTAGTAACAAAAAAATGTCTTCTTCGTCCAATCATCATTTGCAAGAACAAGCGAGAAAATCAAAAAAGCTTCCGTTAAATCAAGTAACTACCGATGTTGAAGTTTCTCAATCCCTCTATGATGAAGTGTTAGATGGTGTTGTGAGGAATGTCAAGATGGGTCCTTTTAAAGCTACGAGTGGAATTGATCTACCTTGTAAGTAGAGTGATGCTGGATTGATCACGATGATGATCGGATCCGAATATTTTCATCCTTGAATTTATGAACTATCAATGAATGTTTGTTGGACGCAATTTGTGTGGATGCATTAATCCCGAACTCGTGGTGAAAACATTACAAACACAGACTATTTAAATGCAAGTACAAATTTCATGGATAAGAAAGTGGCTCCAAAGATTATGGAAATTCTGGGTCATTATCTCATTCATCTTCAACAAACCTTGCCATGCTTTAAGCCTGAAAACTTACCAGAAGCTCAAAAAGACCCTTCCAAACAACCACTGGTTTTGGTTGGAATGGAACTTGCTGGTGGCATGTTAGTGAGCCAATTTGCTGCCTTTGCATCCACGTTACATGAGAAGCAAGGATCAAAAACAGTTTATGAAGCCTTTGACTTTTTATATGTTAGAAAAAGTAGAAAATCTACTGGAACTTGTCAACAATTGGAAGGAGAGCAAAAATTCACATCAAGAACTTCTGACTCACCTGTAATTTATGGAATTTGGATTGATGATGCTCTCTCCACTGGAACATCACTTTTGGATGGTATTAAAATGTTGAAGAATGATTATAATATCGAAATTAAGGCAGCTCTCTATTTGGTAGATAGAAGTAAGGATCGAAAAGATTTACCACCTGAAAAACAAAAGCTTGCAGATCCAATATTTTCTCAAGTTGAAATATTCTCAGTCTTTGATTTGGAAGATGTGGACCAACGCATTGAACAGCAAAAGAACAAGAAGAATGAGCAATAATAGTACAATGCGATGGCTCTGAGTGTCAACCTATTAGCAATCCCAACCACATGAAAAGCATTTCTCGAGCTCGAAATGGCTTTCGTCAATAACAGACTATGAACATATTTATTATTTTCCTACCACTAAACGTTTCGTCAAATTCTTCTCCGTGTTAAGTGATCTTTCCGAGAAAGGTCAACAAACCGTTACGCACGACCCAACTTCCAAATCAAAACTCTTTTCTTTAAAAAAATGCCTTTATTTAAAAAGCACAAGGGTTCTCAACTCTTAGAGGAAGAAGACATTGGAGAATTGGATGATGTGGTTCTTTCCTCATCGTCGTCGTCGTCGGGTTCAGAGAAAGGATTACACTCATTGACATCAACAACAAAAACAATACATGAAGAGGATGATGAAGAAGAGCGACCCGTAATAATGAATACAACCAGTGGAACAACCAAAATCTCATCACCAACAATAACAACACCCAACCGCAACCATGTCAAGAATGACGATGATGAATATGAGGAACCACATTCAGAAAAAACTCCTGCTTTTAAAGACGATCGTTCTAAATTGAGAGTCCGATTTGAAAATATCAACAAGGAAGAGGAAGCACAAGATTTAGAGACACCACCCCAACACCGAAAGCAAATCCTCGTTTCTAAACACCATCACGATGCTTCTCCAACAGCATCAGCATCCACCAGCCATCCATTACCTCCTCCTCATTTGGCGTCTCCGAGAGGCTCAGACGATGAAGAAGAGGAAGATGATTCAAAGAGAAAAAACGATGTCAAGATTTCACTCAATCACGAGCACGATGATATGCAAAATGTAGGATTAGATGACGACGTGGAAATTGAAATTACAGGAACAACCAAATTACCCTCCTCAAAGAGTGAAAAGAAATCACACCAACCATTATTACGTAGGAATGAATATGAAGAATCACTCCTGTATTCGGATAGCCATGTCGACGATCCGTATGCCGACTATTTGAAACCTCAAGTGATGGAAGATGAAACAACGAACTCTAAAAGTTTACTTCTGAAACTCCTCTCTCAATTCCCCAGAGTCAATTCATCTCAGTTGATGTGGCTTGTGAGGATGGCCTTTCAAGAATTTTGGCTTGCCACTGTTGGAACGATCTTTCTCTTGATTAGCACTGGGCTCGGGCTTGCATTACCAATTTATGCAGGAAAGATTATTGACCAAATTCCATCACAAACTCAAGGAAAAACATTCTTAAATGAAATGGCACTCGTTCTGTTTGGAATTGTAGCAGCTATTGGAGCAACTACTGCGGTTCGAAACTTTTGGTAGGTTGATTTGACGTTTTCGTAGAAGATTCATTTTGATTAACGCTTTGGCTCTTATCCTTGCCACTTCTTTTTTTTTCGAATAATATTCGGAAATGTTGATCAAATAATACTCCATCCGCATCCACATTAGCTTTACATTTGCTGGAGAACGTGCTGTAGCTCGTCTCAGAAAAAATTTATTCACTTCAATTGTTGTGCAAGAGGTTGGATTTTTTGACGTGACAAAAACTGGAGAATTAATTAATAGATTGAGCTCAGACACCAAAACTTTGGAAAATGCCATCACCGTTAACTTTTCCATGTTTCTACGATATGTAATCCAAATGATTGGAGGAATCGTATTTTTATTTTTCATTTCGTGGAAATTAACACTTGTCATGCTCGCAGTTGTTCCAATCCTTGTGGTTGTGGCTTTAATTTATTCTAAATATATTAAGAATGTGTCGAAACAAATGCAAGATGCGTTGGCAAACTCGACCGATGTCGCAGAGGAAACTTTTTCTAATTTAAGAACTGTACGCAGTTTCACCATGGAAGAAAAACATGTGAATTTGTATGGAGCAGCCATTGACCTCACATTAACCATTGCAAGAAAATTGTCTATAATCAATGGTTTATTCACTGGTGGTATGATGTTCTGTGGTAATGCTGCAATTATTCTTGTCTTGTGGTATGGAGGTTCCTTAGTATTGGACGAAGAAATCTCAGTTGGATCTCTCACTTCCTTTATTGTTTACACACTGTTGGTGGCAGCCAGCTTTGGCGTTTTGAGTAGTTTATTTTTCGATCTTGTAAAAGCTCTGGGAGCCACTGTTCGAGTTCATGAGCTATTGCAACGAATTCCCGAAATTGAAAGAAGAAATCCATCCGTCAAGGAGAGTCACACTCGAGAATTACCCTCACTCAATGGCCACATTGTTTTCCATGATGTTGGTTTTGCATATCCATCAAGAAAAGAAACTCAAGTTCTCAATCGATTGAATCTCGAATTGTCTCCATCAACTGTGGTAGCACTTGTAGGTAAATCAGGTCAAGGTAAGACAACCATCGCATCACTGTTGCAGAGATTTTATGATCCCACAGAGGGACAAATTACACTCGATGGTGTTCCTCTCACTCAGATTGACCCTGTTTGGTTGAGGAAGAATATTGGTGTGGTGAGTCAGGAACCAGCTCTCTTCTCCACAAGCATTCGTGAAAATATTTGTTATGGATGGCCAGATCGAGAGAATCCACCCACGGAAAAACAAATCATGGATGCTGCAAAGAAGGCCAATGTACATGAATTTGTTTCAACCTTTGAGGATGGATATGATACTTTGGTAGGCGCTACGACCTTATCAAGTGGTCAAAAACAACGAATCGCCATTGCAAGAGCCATCTTAAAGGACCCAAAGATTCTCATTTTAGATGAACATTCTTCCTCACTTGATGCGAATACTGAGCATGAGGTGCAAGAAGCTCTAAATCGTCTCATGGAAGGCCGAACAGTCCTGATTATTGCTCACCGATTATCTACTGTAAAGAATGCTGACATTGTTTGTGTCATTGAGAATGGAAATGTAGTGGAAGAGGGTTCACATGAACAATTAATTTTACGCGAGAATGGCAAATATAAGGCTCTTGTTGAACGACAATTGATAGGTTTCGATGAGCTGTAATACAATTTCGAAGAATACAGAAGTTGAACTAGTGTTTTTTGTTGTGATCTTTATGCTCGAAACAGGTCGTATTTCCAACCTTACTTGATACTTGTTGGATGAATAATTTGCCAATTTTTATGAAGCATATCATTTCATAACAACCTATATTAACAGGCAGAAGATCATTAAAGGAATTTCAACTGCTCTTGTACTGCTGAGGCATTTGGTCCATAATGATGGACGTTCTTGGAGATAAAGCAGCATATGGTCTCACATCCCATCAAATTACATCCGTCCAATATATTGTAAAGTGTTTAAATTAGATTTAGAGATGACACAGTTGGACAATTCGCAACAAGAAATCATCTCTCCAATGACAGAACATGTATTTAGCTCACAGGCGGTAACAAATCCTCCAAAGAGAGAGAACCTTGTTCAAGTTTACATCCCATCAAAGAGGTGACTCGAGGAAACTTGCAGTTCACAAAGTATGTATCTGCATAATTTGCGTTTTGAGCAATTGTACAATCTTTCGCAATGTATTCATATCCATGTTGTTATGTTGTTTCCATCTTGTACATTCAACATCTTCCCGAAAAAGAGCACGGTTTCGTAAAAAGCAAAGAATAACAC